CAAACAACTGTCTAACATTTTTGCAATTCATTTCCTCTGTTGTAGAGTACCTTTTGGTGTTTCCGGAGCTGCGTTCTACAGAAAATTACGCCATGAAGAATCCAGCCATAACTTCAGATCTCAACCAGTTGTCGTTGTGTTTTTTTATCAAACTTGTTCAAGACCAAGGGAAGCACATAGTTGTCAGCTATGCCCGTGAACATAGCAATGACATGATTGTCGAAATTTTTCCAACACGAACACAATTTACTGTTGGAAACAAGTTGTTCGGGTAATGCTGCGAATATTTTTAAGAAGTCAGTTGGAGAATTTCTTAATCGAACCACAATAAGTTATTATACAGGAAATGCTACGATCGACTTCTTCCTAACGCTTGGAGAGAGAAAGTTAAACATACAAACAAAAGGAAAGCGTTAAGCTTCTTTCTCTTTTCTTATCATGATTTAAATACCAAATATGTTAATCTTTGACATAAAAAAAAAAAATCTGGACTTATTTTCCTTGCGCTTTGCAAGTAACTATTCGGATCACTATTCTCAGTGGGGCTCAAGAGTCGTCTTTAAAGTGACGAGGACTCGCTTTTTACGGTTCTACCCATAAAAGGATGGGGTTTCTTAACCGACTCGGCTTTCAAAATAGTAGCTCAGATGATACTTTGATTTAAACATTTTATAAGAGAGAAAGATCCTTTTCGTCTTGTCACGAGCGTGGGACAAAGAAAAAAATTTGAGTTCCCATGAGGAATCGAACCTCAGACCTTCGGATTCCGCGCACCCAGCCATAGAGACTCTACATTGAGTGAGGTCTCTATTTTATAAGTAATTGCATGAATAAGAGATTAACTGAGTGAATGAAAACACTGAACAAATCGAAGCTTGAATGTATGAACGATTAAGTCATAGATAAACGATTGATTGACTGATTGACAGGCCACTTACAAATTACTATAAACTGACTGACTACGGACTAACAGACTGAATAGCTCTCTTGACTGACTTGGCGACAATGAAAAAGGAGGGTCTTGAATGATCAGTTATATTTAATATTGTTTGCTTTTTGTTTTGTCCTGTTTTTGTTTTGTTTCTGTTTTTTTGTTCGTTTGTTTTGTTTATTGTTTTGTTTTGTTTGTTTTTCAGTTTTACCTCGACAAATCTCTACGATGATACCTGGCAACACCTGTGTCTCACCTGGGAAAACACTCAAGGAGTAACGAAACTCTATAAAGATGGTCAATTTACAGAACAGGTAACGAATCATGCCTCCAAGAATTACGCACTTAAGGCTGGCGGCTTCCTGGTGCTTGGACAAGAGCAAGACTCTATTGGCGGACGCTTTGATCGTGAGCAAACTCTTCATGGCCGATTGGCAAGTGTCAACATGTGGGATAAAGTTCTCTCTGAAAGCGACATTGCCGCTCAGTACACAAATTGCAGCGTACCTTATGGTTCTGTTATTAACTGGACTGTATTCAAAAATCTTACTCGTGGCAATGTTGCAGTTGAAGAGCCGTGAACTACATTGGTCAGTGATCAAAACTCTCGAACAGCCTAAAATCATAACTCGCGTGCTGTAAATTCCTAACATTAGTGAATGTACCGTATGCATGGCATAGTACTAAAATAGATACCAAAACTGTTAGTAAGCCAGTTATTTAGAAAATATTTCATTCCTTTATTTATTCACCTATTTACCTAGTTTTTTTATAAAATGACCGGTGTTTGCCAAAAAGTTGACACAGCTCATGGCAATGTTGCAGTTGAAGAGCCGTGAACTATATGGGTCAGTAATCAACTCTTACAAAGCCTAAAATCATAACTCGTGTGATGTAAATTCCTAATATTAGTGAATGCACCATACGCACGGCATAGCACTAAAACAGATACCAAAATATGAAAAGATATTTCGTTGAAACGTTCCTTTTGGCCAGTTATTTGGAAAACATGTCATTTATTTATTCACTTATTTACTCAGTTGTTTGATAAAATATATTAAAATATGAGGTAAGTTTATAGGTTGACTGGTGTTTGCCATAAAGTTAAGACAGTTACTTGTTTTATCGCAAGTAGACTTGACAACATAAAACTTTTCCTCTGTTCTAATTTATTCATAACACTTGAGAGGAAATTTAGGGGGCCTCTCAAGATCTTTCAAGATCCCAAGGAAATTTCAAACATTGAGAGGCTGACAGGACGAGCGCTAATACTTTGAATGTGAAGTCTTCTAGAATGATTATCACATATGCCCTGTCGCATGTCCCTAATAAGCCACCGTGTTCTATCGCTTTTTGCAACCTCTTTAAACACTTAGGGTGCTTCTGTAGAGTTTTCTTGGAGTCCATATTACTTGTCATCGAAAAACATCGCATGTCCTTTAAGGCCCCCGTAGAAGAAAGATACAAGTAGGTTCTATAAGAATCTGATGTATGCTTGCAGGAGTCTAGAAAATTCCAGAGTAAAATTTGCAGAATCTGGAAACTTTGCTGTTGACATCATAATTTTAGAACTAGGGTGTGTGCTTTAAATGGAGTGGGGAGGAAGGCTTTGACAAGGTTTGATGTATTAAACTGTTACAGCGAAAGTTTAACTGTTGGCTGGCCTAAATGTTTGATGTTAACTGTTATGTTGGAGCACTTTTCGATTGAGCATTGTAAAACCGTGATAAGGGAAGACCAAAAAGTGCCAAAAGAATTCAGAGTAAAATCAGGCTAAGGGCTTCCGAAATAACAAATTGCAGCGTACCTAATGGTTCTGTTCTTAACTAATCTGTATTCAAAAATCTTACTCTTAGCAATGTCACAGTTGAAGAGCCGTGAACTAAATTGTTTAGTGATCAAACACTCAAGACTCATAACTCACGTCATGTAAAATTCCTTATGTTAGTGTATTTACTACAGGCATGACTGAATCACGTGGTATAAGTACGAGATAGATAACGAAAGTTAAACTGAGAGCACGATAAAATTGAGCTAAGAAAACTCAAGGGACAGAGATGTATGTTCCTAACCCAGGCCTAGATCTGGAATATGTGATCTCCAATAAAAGTATTTATAGTTAGTCCATCGCACGAACAGGTCGGTATGGGGGCGAACATCGATCGTATGCACAGAGATAGGAAAGGAACTGGTATTTTACACGAAGTACTATTTAAGTGTTTTACTTTCCAATTTTGAAGCCACTGTTGTTTACAGCGTAAGTGGGACGTTCTGGGACAGTTTCAATTTAGACAGTTTGAAATATTGAAAACATGGAAAAGGATAAGCGGTAACAGTTTTTCTTTTTCAAACAACTCTTGTTCACTGCTTGTTTTATTTAAGCATTAAAACATCTGTAAACGTTTATGAATTTCTTTCCGCTTTTTTTAAAATTTAATTCACAGGCGCTACTTTATGCAGATAATGAAAGAGAAAGAGAAAGAGAAAAGGGCAAAAGGATAAAACTCGACAAAGAATCAAGAGAAGAAAAGAGAAGGATTACTATGCAATTTACAGTCAAACCTTTATTAAGCAGCTAAGCACGGGGAATGGTGGGGTGACCGCTTAATAAAGGAAAAAAGAAACTGACACACAGTGCGCAGCTGAGTGTGCCACTGATTTTCTTACCAAATTTTAATGTGCTTCGTGATCAGTTACTAAACAGAGCCACGGCAACATAGAGTCCATTTATTTTCTACAGTAAAGACGTAAAACATCATTAAAAGTAACGTCATCTATACTTCTGTCTCTAATAGACCTTAAGAACTAATAAAAACTCGTAGACAATTCAGCTTATCATGTAAATCTCCACATCCGCACAGCCGTGCTTCCATAATATGACACGTGCAATTGCATTTTGAGGCAAAGTCTCATTACTCTTCAGCCGCGCGTTCATCTCGCTAAACTTCACACAGCTAATTGAAGGAGGAAGCGATTGTTACCAGCACAGCTGTGTCTTCTTCTGCCGGTATTACTGTCAGTCAAAATGACAGTGTAGTGGTCGCTCAATAATAATGAACCTTGTTTGGAGCACAACTGCTCATTTATTCCGCTTGTATATTTTCTTCACAAATTCTAGAAATAATCCTTCAGGCAGGTTGCCAGATTTCTGCGATATAAGTTCTACAATGTTCTTGTAACTTTCCTCTTCGTAGTCCTTAAATACCTGCTTCAAGTTGAGCTCATGGTATAATTTTTTCACCTTGGATGAATCTTTTTTACTTTTATCCTCCTGGAAAAAAGTAAACAAAATACAACAGAGTTATATTCCAGTTTCTCATCACGAGTGCTTGTCGTGTACAATGAAAATCTCTGAGAGAGAAGATAGACTCTTGTTCTAATTGTAATACTTCACATAAAAAATTCACACTCTTCTGATTGGCTGAAAACGAGTGCATTTTTCAAATAACACGGGTGCAAAGTTGTAACACAAGTGCAATTTACAAATAGCGCGTGCGCTGTCAAAATTTCGTCTGTTTTGACTTTCCGTGATACTTTTTTTCAAGTAATTTATTAATAAGAAATAGAATCATTTCGCGTACAATTTGATGTAAATAGGCACAATTTTGTTGTCTTTGAAAAATTTAATCGTGCTTATCAACAACAATTGAAATTACACTCGTAATCATGTTATTACCAATACTAATAAATCTTAGCTTATCCTGCAAGTCATTACATGAGCTGAAAATGAATTAAATCTCAACCTTCTCGGATGACGCAGAATTCGTTCCACTGTAATTCTCCTCAAAAAAAAAGTGACCGAAATAGAACAGTTTTACCGGTAAATGCCTGTTTCTTATTTCGAGTGTCAAACTTGTGGAATAAGAATCTCTTGGAGGGAAAGCAGGGAATACGGGTGGGGTTTTAATAAATTTAAGCTCATCCTGCAAGTCATTACATAATATGAAGATTAATAAAATTAGAAGGCGAGCTGCACACCTCGGATGACGCAGAATCTTTTTTACCGTAATTATCCTGGAGAAAAAAGAATCCAAAACAAAACATAGTTAAATTCCTGTTTCTTACTACGAGTGCCTGCTGTGTACAATGGAAATCTCTAGGAGAGAAGGCAGCCATTAGGGTTAGGCTTTTTGTTCTAAATGTGAAAAATCTTATCTCATCCTACAAGTCATTACATAATCTGAAAATTAATAAAATTAGAATACTAGCAAAGTAGCTGGTCGATATAAGTATTTAAAAGTAGGGTATATCAGAGGTCCAAAAAATGAATGAATCGTAAGTTGGAAGCGGAAACCACATGAAGCGCACACATAGATTTCGTCGAACACCAGCTCAAGTTTAAACACTGCTTTGAACACGTTTAGCCGTAAAGTAAATGCAAGGTAAGTGATTGGAGTATCCACAGACAGTGATTAGATCAGTGGAAGACAAAAACAGGGGAAAGGGAGGGTGGGCTGCTGAACAACAGCAGCTACTTAACTGCTCGTGAACTCAAAAACGTATTTTGGAAAAAAATACATACAAATATATTTGATTACATTAATAGCTCTTGCACCTTTAAAATTTGCATCTGGTCTGTAGATATCCTTTGAAGAGCTTGAATAATCAGCCAAGAGCACTTTTCTTCTTCAATATCTGTGCCTACTTTTCCTGTAACCGCTGGGTCCCCATAGCAGTCCAAGTAGTCATCCTGTGAACATCAAAGTTGATGTACATGTAAGGTAGCAAAAGTCCAAACTCTTCGATTTTAAGTATTTCTGCTCCTAAATTTACTTTCATCAATAAATCATTTTCGTCCATCATGTGAAGATCTTGCTGCATTTGAGAGAGATCCTCCATCACATTTCCTTGTTCATGTTGTAGTTACCCTGTAGTTACTCCAGGGCGGAGAGATGCTATATAAGAGTCAAATTCTTGTTCAAGAACACAAAAAAGGATGGCACCCTGGGCTTTGGAACCAGGATCTTTCTTCTAAAGCAGAATTCATTGTTCTAATCACTGGACCAGTTTATCTCCACTTGTGGGGGCTTGAATGACTGTTCCCTCTCATATAGAATTGATGCAAAATGCCTCACCTGAATTTGAAAAAATTCCCCCATCACTAGTAAAATTTCTTTGGAATTCTCATGAGATGTTGTATCCTTTATACCTGCCTACAAATACAGAAAGTTAACCACTTAGAAAAAATAGTCCTTTCCAATCACAGATGTTAATACCAAAGCTAACATTTATGGTTTAAAATGGAGGCCATGTTTGAATATCAGAAATTTCACAACAATAAAGCTACTTTTTGGATCCTCACCATATACATTGCCAGTGCAACTGGCAAATAAAATGAATAGTATGCTGTCTTGTATTTCACAATAGCTTTGTATCTGAAAAAGGGATGAAGTGCTTAGTAACCTAGCCTGGAGGGGTAGCATGGGCCCCTCCTATCTTTCCATTGTTTATTTTCCTACCAATTCATTCAGTCACAATCTGTGTGCAGAGACACAACAGCAAAGCCACAGATTCTTGATTTCAAAACATTAAACTTTACTTATAAAGGAAGTGATAAACACCTAATTAGTATGTGAAACAAAACTGGCAACAGATGACAAAACTTAAGGCAAAAAAAATACAAATTAAGTAAACAAATGGAACTTGAAGGAGACACAGGGCAAAAAGATGGCCTGATTTTGTATAATTTTAGCACAAACTAAAAGCATACAAAATAATTGACTAAATCACAATGAACCCATTGACATCAACTGTAACAATGTGAACACTGAGTAAAAGATTGTACACTGTTAGGGAGCTTCCAATATAAACTGCAACTCTGATGTTTACATCATTGCTTTCACCATATCACCTTACCTGTACCCAGCACTGATTAATTATGTTCAAGCAACCATCCTAATAAAAATTATATTGTGTTCTTTGTCTACTTTTCCTTTGGCTGCATTTTAGCAAATGGCAAACATAACTCCTGTCATTTGATGTCTTCAAAATCTTTGTGTTAAGATAGGATCTTTTATATTCTCTGTAAGTTTTCAGTTTTAGCATTGTTTGCAATTTTGACACTGAATCCTAATTTCAGTCATAAAGTGGCTACAATACCTTTCCATGGTAAAATTCTCAAAATTTGTGCCAGGCTTGGTGATAAGGTCTAATGTTTGTCCAGTTGCAGTTTGATAAGTAACCTTAGAAGCAGATCCACAAAAAAATGTCAGCCATTGATTCAATTACCCATGATAAAAATGTCTGCCAGTGAGAAAAACAAGCTTCTTCAAACTGAATTACTGGGAAAGCACACCCACAAAGTTACTCTCTTCAAAAGTTTAATATTAGTATTTTAAGGAAATGACATTCTGTTTTGCAACAAACATTACTTCAACTGCACTTTAACTGGAATTTATTTATTAAGGTACTTACTCACTTTTCAGGTTTTATCCATAATTATGTACAGTCTTTAAACACATTTCTAGTTTGTGTTTAACATTTTTAAACCTGTATTGAGTGATCTCAGTACTAACCTCATGAAATAAATTTAAAACATCAACATAATATGGCTCTTGAAATACATGTTTCTTTAGCAGTTTGTATATTGTGGCTTCTATGAGAAGAAAGTCATTGACAGCAATATTCCCAATTCCAGTCTACACAGAGAAAAAAGAAAAACAATAATTATCTCGCACAGTAACCAAAAAAGAGAAAAAAAAAAGGAACTCCTTAAAAGTCAAGTCTAGGATCAGGTAACAGATAAGGACATTATTGCAACCTTGAAATAAAGTCAATTAAAGTTGGTGAAAATCGCTTTCATATTCACATCTTTATCTATTGTTCACACAATATTCACAGTTATTTACTCATCACTTAATGGGTTTATTTGGAACCAACATAGTGACCAGCTCCCTGTTGGCTTGTTAGCTCTCTTGGTAGAGCACTGCTTTGGTATCACAGATGCAGGCTTGAATTTTTTTTCACATCTTATTTTCACTGCTTCTCAAGTAGCATTCATTACTGCAAAGAGCACTTTCATATTTGTGAAGTTGGCCTTTGGGCAAGAAGGACAATATCTCCAGCAGACCTCACCCCTCTCTACAGTTTGAAGCAAATAGTTACTACCCAGTTATTATTTTCTCAGGTCTTCTTGACAGTTCACTAGGGTGGAAGGACAAATTAGAAAGCCTGGTTTTCACTAGCAACACAAGCACAAATGCAAGCATAAAGTTAACACAAGCACAACTGTTCATATTTCACTGTGAAATGGCCTTGATGTAAACATAAACACAAGCCCAAGAACAAGAACAAGAACAAAGGTCAGAAATTTTTGCTTTTATTGTACTAGTTGTAATGTATTAGTTCAAAGTCCAAAAAAGAGTAAGGAAAAAGATCAAGATGGCAGTTTTTCTAATCTCAAACTTCAACAAATTAGGAAAACTGGTCATGTGACCTTGGGTATAAGTTAGAAAACCCACACAGAAAGATCTAGCTCTAGACTCAAGTAATTTTAGTTTTCCTTTGACATATCTCATGTTAGGTCAAGCATTGGTTTGCATGCTACTGAATAACCATGAAAACCGGTACTACCTTTGTCACAGGACAGGAAGTCAGGGATTCAACTGGCAAACCTGCCCCTTGTGGAGGGTGAAACTGGGCATCCTGACAGAACTAAAAACAATATCTATCTTAATGTTTGAGGTGGACCACTCCCAGTTACACAGGGTGAGTCTGGACATTCTGGTAGATGATCAACACATCTGTCGAAAGGTCCATGATGTACTTTTGCCAGTCAGTGCATTATGACATGCAATACACAAAGAGCAGAGATAAACAAACCAATCATCTGGTCAGTCACTGCAACAGATACTGGAGTCAGTCTGTCCTTGCCACTGATAATATCTGTCAAGAATGTGTCCCTAGTCCAGCAAAAGCCAGGGGTAATGAAACACTTTGCAAGCAGTTTCATGAAATGGTTGCCCAAGTTAACAAGGTCCACACAGTCACTGTTGCCCCTGATGGACTGCTATGATGATGATAATTTTCCTAATGTGTGAATTTGTGCTTGCCCTTTTGCTTGTCTTGCTAGCAAAACCAGGCTTAAGAGTTGGGTGTTTTGTACCCACACACAATGTGATTGACCCTGACCAGAGTTTACATCCAGACCTCTCAATTTGAGGTCTTTAGTCCACTAACCACAAAGCAACAAAGGTTTCCCCTTATCTCAATAGGCAAACCAGAAGGACTTGTTTCTCTTGAAACAAGTTTCCTTTATATTTGATCTAAGATCACCTTTCTATACCAGCAAAGCTTGCCTCGTCTTGTCAATGATTCATCCATGATATCATCGGCAACCAGGAAGAAGGCTTGTAACTATGAAACAATCAGCAAACAGAGCCTAGTGAGTTTATTGTTGTATCAGGTTTACCAGTGTTTGTGTCAAGTCACTAAAACTTGTCAGTCAGCCTTTTTTTTATAAATAGCCAAATACCACTAGGATATATAATTCAGCTCCACATTATACCAAACTTAATTCAACCAAACACATATGTGGAACTCTGAAATCTATGGAAACAGAAAAAACATCAGAGCAAAAGACCCTTAATTCAAAACAAGTGAATTTTTCAAACTCACCCACTCTACACACCAACCAAGTATAATTGCATTCTTCTCATCTGTCTCTGTTAGCTTATCAGGACTAATAAGGTGCCGTAATGATCCAATCACAGAAAGGCCACGATTCTTTTTTCCTACATAAGGTATTTGAGAAAAACGCAATGTTGCTTCACATCAATAAAAGGAAATCCTCAATAATTCTTATCATTTTTCTCCTTCTTTAAAAGAAAAGGAACAACAACAACAACAACAAAAAACAGACAGAAACAGTTTAAAAGGACAACTTATATACAAAAAAATGCTCATAGTATTTGAGGGGTGAATGCAATGTAACAGCTTAGCCTTACTCATGCAGTAGACATGCCTTAGAATTTGCATGTTGATTGAACTTTTTCATGATTTTGCTATGAAATTGCAAGTTGACCAAAATATGTTACAATTTTTACAAAAAAGGAAAATGTTCTGCTGTAACAAGGTGAAACATTTGGGGGCAAACAAACAAAGGTGGCCAGGAAAAACTGCTGAAAATGAGGGGAGAACTTGTTTTACTTCAGGGGGAGAACTTGCAAGGGCGGCAGGGAGGGGGAGTTTGTAATGGGGAGTATGCCAACAGAATTCATTGGAGACAGTCATGTCTGTAATAATCTTTGCCTAACTCAATCCTGTGATAGTTTAAGTTGCTTGGCTCAAGGGAAATTCTCAATTATTTTAAGGTTTTTCAACATTATTTTCCATCCCCTTGAAAAACAGTCTCTGGAAACTAAACAGTCAATGCTTACAATACCAGATGGGTGAGAAGAAAAAAGCTTATACCCTTACAACCAGATATGAAAACCCTAGGTTTCTCAAGACATTTCCTGCTGATCCTGATCAGGTGCAAAGTTTAGGGTACATAAAATGACAAATGAATGAATTGTAAATTACCTCCAGGAACATTATATTCCAATACCTGGCAGAAATAAGAACACACACCGATCAATAATTACAGAAAAATCGAATTAAAATCTCCAAAAAAGGAATCCACTTGTTATCTGATGTGATTGGGGCTGGACCATGAAGGTTTCATCTTAACAACATGGTCTAAGGCCGGACTAACAAGGTTGATGGCCTTTCTTGGCTTTTCTTTAGAGTTTATAACAGTATGTTTTAGGGTTATATTAATTTCGGGGCGAGTTGATTGCTATTTAGCACCAAATAGTGACTTTTTGAAACACAAAGATCGCTGACTAAGTTTATAGAGGACTTAGTGCTACTTTCAATTTCAATATTACCTCACGCATATGTCGAGCTGCTTCTCCGGTTTCCGGATCATTCTCGTTCTCCTTCACAATATCATCGACCAGTCCAGGAAAAAACGAATCAAAGAGCTCACGGTCATTTGACAGCTTGAATTTCTTCGCCATCGAAACCAATTTAAAAGGAAATTAATGAAGGAAAATACGTTCTTACACTTCTACCTCCATGTTCCTTCCCAATAACCCAGGCTCTCACGGTCGATTCACCCCAAATTATAGGTCCGCGATCGCGCGTAATAAAATTTAAGGATCTTACAAAGCACTCAACCTGGGTAATTAAAAGAACAACTGCAACCACGTTGTTTACATTACAGACGCATCATAAATTTCACGCCGGCCGTGTCCTAAATTTCCACTTTATCAATCGTATCATGATCGACTTGTGTGAGGTGATTGGCAAATGGCACTCATTACAATCTTTAAGTAATAGATAATTGAATGGAAGGGCCGGCTAAAGATTGTTGGCTCGAAGCCGAGGTACCGACTCATCAGGCAACGCGCTTTCTCGAAGGTGGAGAGAGCGTCCGAGAAGTGACCGAAAAACGGATGAGAAGGAAACTAAGGTACGAGCGCTGCGACGTCCATTCAATATGACCAAGGGCCATATATTTTCACGTCCGACCCGATCTTACTTAGTCAATAAGCAATTCATTACATGGCTGTTGCTCTTTCCTTTCTTCTCTGAGTGCATCTGACCTCGCGGGGCCGAATCAGATTCTTCCGGCCCTGCATCTGGCTATCGCCTACGGCCATTAACCAAGGACTTTTGTAAAAGAGTTTGAATGAAAAGAGGGGGGGGGGGATTTTATTATAATTTCCTAGCAGAAGGGAAAGAGTAAAGATAAAGGAATCCAATCAAACAGGTAAAAAAAAAAAAAAAAAAAAAGGAAAACAAAAACCAAAAGAAGAATTTGGAAATACTTTATTTCTGTACAAAATAAAAAGAACAATATATTTACAAGGAAAAAAATGGTTTAAAAAATAACCCAACGCATACACATCGTTTCTATCATTGACAGTGCTTAATACTAACTCTAAGACATACCTCTAACAACCATATGGAGAGCTATCAGACCTAATATTATTCCTCTTATACAAGTCACAAATGGTTCGAGAGCTACTTTAAACTTTCTACATATAATTTTGATCTAATGATATTCCTATCATTTTCTACAATTTCGCTGCTTGTAATTCTACCAAAGATCTGCATATTGTAAATTATTACAGGCACGCTTCGTTTTCGTGAAAAAGGAAAAAAAAATGTCTTAATTTTTCTTAAAAACACTTTTAACCTATCAATTACGAGGGCTGTCATGATATATCCTTCTCATCTGTTCATGGAGATGTCACGCCACGTTCGTCACAGAAAAATAGGCGTTCCGTGACACACCCTAGATCGGCTGCGAAGGAGACGGAAGTTTCTAGTCAGAATGTGAATAAAACGAGTGAACTTGAATAAGTAGATATTTGGACGAATCTATTCTCCTTCCTGAATGTACTGTACTAGAAATGCATGGAGATTATTTTGAATTTATGCGGTGATACTATATAAAACTTATCTGCAGAAATATTCTAAGGATCACAGGAATCACAAAGAACTAACGGTGGAAAATCTCTCCTGAATAGACATGAAAAAGATTGCAGAGTCCAAAACTGAGTGTACCAAGAAATACAAAGCTGATCTGCAGTTTTTGGATTGCTTTCTCTTACCCGAGAGCTAGATCTGTCACAACCATGAAAAACTTCCTAGTTCCATTATATCAGATAAAATTTCCAAACCCTCACACAGAGTAAGGCAAGATTGCAATTTCTTATGAAGAACAAAAATCTGAATTTGTCATACCCAATAAGGAACTATTCAACCTACGACAAGTGCTTAGTAGTATGACTCCATCTAAAGTTAGTACAGGAACAAACTTTTCTCCCAAATATTGACAGAGATTTAACATGTATCAAAGGTAAAAATATGTCCCAGTGCATGGTACAAGAGATATGCAAGTCACAAATCGTATGTCCTGCCAATTCAACTCAGAAATGACAATCTTCAGTTGATCAGATCTTCCCAAGTCTGCATGAATGAGTATATACTGTATATGTACCCCGCTGTTACATCTCAGCTTGAACAGGCTAAATAAACTTTTGCAAGACACCACATAAAATATTTCTACTTTGGATCTAATATTAAGTGTTTGAACAGTTAAAAGTTCAATTTCAGACAACACTGCAAAGAATCCATCAGATTATCACCTGATCAGTGGCTTCATTTTAGTATACATAGTATGTAAAATGACACCAGATTTTACGGAAGCCTCTAATTCACGTGTATTCTACAGTAAGTAATAGATTCAAAGCTATCAAAAATTTTGTCGCACAGTATCACTCTGAAACAAAAACTAAACAATGTCTTGTTGTAAGTGGACAGTTTGTATACCTCTTGTTACATTATTGGCCACACATTTTTGCTTCAGAGAAAATGTTGTATCTTTCTCCTTCAAAAAGTTCCACCTACCACAAAATTTTCACAATGAAGTAACCATAATCCATCATAATTTTTGTTAGAGTGCCTTCACTGCAAGCAATTTCAGAGGTGCAGGAACTCCATCAAAAATCAACTTTAAAAAAAGAAGTGGACATTTTCTTCCCACCTCTCTAGATTCAACTTTCACCATAGTGCTCACAAGAAAAAAAAATCCAGAACTCTACATCTCTCTTTCAAGAAGTTTGCATCAAAGACTGGTAACCACATATGGGTGGCAAAAGTGAAAACTTTTTTCCTTACATCTAGCTATATAGGTCTGTGCTTTTAAATTAATTGTTTTGGTTTGACCTGTTTTTCTGTTTCTACAATTTTCTTTATATGGTTAGTTATTTACTCTGTTTTTCCTTAAAATATTAAATTATCTAGATTTGAATATCAAAGATTAATTCACTGATGATACCCTTGGGTTCACACAGGAGGAAAACAAATTAGTGACACACACCAGACTGTCAAGTTTAGGCCACTGTAGTTGTATTGAAGTGTAGTGTACGTGCCGCTGGCCGGTAATTAGCAAAAAACTGATGAGCTTGTTGAGTTAGCAGCTGTTGATCAGGAGTTTTACCGCATGCTACCTGCTCCCATGCTGAGTCAAGCTGCCAAAATAAAACACCCGACAGAAAAGATTAAGGTTTGTTAAGAAGAAAGTAGGAGCTAATTACAGCTACTGAAGACATCAATTGCAGGGGCTTTACTTCTTACAACTCTGCTCAGAAAGTCAGTAAAACGTTGGAACCAGGCTCTGGTTGTTCAGTGGATAAATCTGTATCTGGCAGATAGTGCTGTACATTTTGTTAACACTTATCAGATGGACAGTGATTTACCTGGTGGAGAGCATTATCTGCCCTTTGAACAACTGAGTTCAGAAGTCAAACCATACCTTCGGTGCTGATTTCTGTGGTGTCTCTTGAAATTGCAGTATGCGCATGGGATGCCCTTTCCTTCTGTGCCGCTGAAATACAATTGTAGTAAATTAGCCACATGAGAATATTCATCTGCTACTAGAAAACATTTACATTCTTAGGGGGACACAGATTTTTCTCCTTTGTAATGCTATGGTGAAGAAACAAATAATGTATCTTCTAATTTTAAATATTTCATTTTAGCGGAGCTAACAGAGCGTAGCCCCATAACTATACAAAATAGTAGTAACCCATCAAGCCGAAAAAATTTGGTTGTACGACCGTACGACGTGCTACTTTTAACATGCGTGGTCCACTGTACCGCAGGCACACCAACACCATGGCTTTGTTCAGTAGTCCAGTGGTCAGTGCACTGGGCGCTGAGTCGGACGACCCAGGTTCTAGTCCTGGCTGGGGCAAGGCATTGTGCCATTGAGAGTGCCGGGAAAAAAAATGCGAGCTCTGCTTTTAGGCTTGGCTAAATCTATAAATTATTCTAGACCTATTTAGTTACATGATGCTTTTAAAATTGGTGATCTTAATAGTAAGAAGCATGTCAACAATAAACCTACTAATAGCCAAGCTCATCACCAAGCTCTCTGAGGTAAAGGATCTGGGCCAGGTTGTTTAGGCTGGGTTAAGTTAACCTCTGGTGAGTGTGAAATTAGATTTCAGTTCTGAAAGCTTTCAAGGACAATTCAGTACAACTCGTTTGGTCTATAATTTGATGATTGGAAAAAAAATTATCCCAAGACTGCTTTGAACAATGGAATAACAAAACCTGGATTAAAATTTAAGCTTGGGTTAGTGATAATCAGCCTTTGAACAACTGGGCCCAAAGCAAGAATTCGAGGGACTGTGTTTACTTCCTTAAGGGAAACTGTGAAATCATAATCTGCCAAGATTAATAAAGGATTAGTAAGGGATTTTAATTGCTTTTAGTGATTATTTTGTTTCCCCATTCCATTTTGAACACAAAAATTGGTGCTAAAATTTGCTACTTTGACCTTACTTTGTTCAAGAATAATCAAAATTTATTCTGCAAACTAAATTTAGGCATAACAGCAACACAGTTACAGTTATGAAGTCTTAAAATGTATGGCATTGGAAGTGTTACTTAGTGACAAGCTGAGGTCTAAAGCAAACACTTGAGAGCCAAAAGTCACCTGAAAATCCACAGCACTAGGGCATAAGAAATGTTCAACCTGTGTGGTTTGAGCCAGGTTTTTTCCACTTACTCCAGTTTCAGACGTCACAGAACTAGGTGTGGCGAAGGGGTTATGCTGGCCAAAGATCTCAGAAGGTTTGATAAATGATGAATCCTTGGAAGGTGAGGGTAAAATTGATGTCTGAACAACACCGGAATCCTCCTGAAGACAACATAAACAAAGCATTTCTCAACACTTGTGGCACATGTTAATTTTCCCTGAAGTGCAGAGGCAAGCAAAAACCACCAGTAGAAAAAGTATACTAAAATAAAGAGGTTAACTTGTCTGCAGAGAAGTCATAAGTATGTCTTACCCTTTAGATACAAGTGAAATATAACAAAAAGAGGTATTTCATATCACATACCACAACACACTCAACAATTGAAGAACTTTGTTCTTGTTCCATCACACTTGGTTGTTCTTCTGATCCATTGGCAGTAGATGCTGATGTTGTTTTGCTCATCTTGGCATACTTTTCCTCAAGGGAGGTCCGTACTCTAGAGGATGTTTTTCCCCCACTACAGGATAAGTGAACACCACTTTCTTCTTCCTCCCGTTTCATGATTTCATTGAAATCTGCTTCAAAATTGTCTGGTGTCTGAAAAAAAAATTTACCACTGGTAAGTTTCAAAACATGATACAGCTGTAAAAGCTGGATTTATGTCTGTCACTCCAGAGCAACATTTTTCCATAATACAGAATGCAAGTTTATTAAAGCCCCTTGAGTCTACCTCAAAGATACCTGTATCTGGTGGGGTAAAAATTTACACCAACTAAAAGGTGTTCATTAAAAAGTCCCTTCATCACAGCATCAACCAAGTCATATACATGTAGGAAAATAGTGGCTACAATCCACGTCACAATTGTCTGAAAATTTCCTACTTCCCTGGCCCCTGAAAAAAATAACATCTTGAGGAGAGCAGGGTCTTTTAACAAACTTGACATGGGTTGTCACCCATGGTTATTACTCAGAAGGCTGTTGTCACTGTCATTTATTGTTCATTCCAAAATATTTAGAGAATATTGAAGAAAAGTGATTGAATAGAGTGCTCTAATAATAATCAACCACTTGACCTGTGCCATGAAAGCTGTAAGGGCACTAAGTTACATAACCTGTTACATAACCTCATAAGTTACATAACCTGTTATCTTCAAATATCCAACTCACATGTGCCATTTTCGTGTCATTGAACACTTTCAGGGCATTTTTAAATGGTGTTGGAGTGCGTGGAGATACGCATAACAAAGTTCTTCTGATGCGTGGAGTTCGGAAAGGATCCTCCCCTGAGCTTGCTTCTAGTACACCAGGAGTATGCAGTGTTGTGTTTGTTAAACTGACTTGAATTTTTTCACAAGCTGGAGTTGACGTCTGAACTTTGCTTGAATTTACAGGTGAATTAAGGAACTGCGAAGGTGAGAATGGCAAGAGCTTGATGGGGGTAGCCCCTTTAGGACTGCTAAAAGATACTTCTGTATTGACACTGTGACTGAAATCATGGTCAGCAGACTGAAGGTATAGGGTTAAGGATTATGCCTCACACAACAAATTGATAAAAAACAAAGAATGCAGTAGAAAAAAAATTAAATTTTTTAAACTTGAGTCAATCAATTTGTGAAGGATACTTTTCTTTTACGCCCTCGTCTAAGAATAGTTGGAGGTGTGCTAAACCTGTTCTGCATTACAGGTGAAGTAATAGGTATTAAAGATCTGAAAATGGAAGAAAAATTAATAAAAACAGAAGACCTTTGCAAGTTGTGGACATGCCTTCATCTCTCCTTACTAAATAAACATTTATCAGCCAATGTTTAGGACGATGCAAATCAATGTTAACTCTTTACACCCTAACATTGGTACAAATATTCTCCTTAAAGTCCTCTAGACATTTCCTGAGGTGCTGACAAGAACTTGTTTAACAATCAAGATCTTTTTTCAGTTGGTGATCATTTCCTTTATTCTCATGACCTATAGGTGTGATTTAGGGGTGATACTAGACACTAGACATTCTTGAGGGTCAAAATGTTCCACACAGGTCACTGAATATGTTCTTGTTCTTAAAGGGAAGCAGTTCATTCCAAAAACTCACCCGCCATCTGTTTGAAGACTGGCGATAGAATTCCCATCAAATCTGTATTCTGAGGAGGCAATTTTTCCTTAACATTAATGTGACATACACATAGAACTAACTTTTACATACCATAAATCTAACACTGTGCTCTTTGGTAAGTTATCTTAAAGTGGCTTTCAACCTTTGCTTTAATTCCAGGAATCATCATAAATAATGAAGGTGTAATAAGGTTTGAATAGAGATTTTCAATAAACCTGTGTTCTTGTAATATTCTGGAATAGCCTAATAGTTTATTCCCTCTATATTGTACTGTTCATGTGATTACTTATTGCTATAATTAAAATGTTACATGTTAACCTATCTTGACACAGGTTATAGCTGCCTGATGCTGCTTGTTTGTCAAGCTAAAGTTACCTAAAACAAGTTAGTTGTTTTTCTATAGCACAGCCCTCTAAAGAGCATCAAATAATTATTTGTACCTTTGACAACAAACTGTGAGTGCAAAGAATAGACCCATTCTTGAGTTGAATCAAAGGACTTTATCTGTGCCCCATTTGACACTCTTCACGCTATTAGTAAGCTGAAGAGCAACACCTCTAAGGGCAAATCACTACTTTCTGATGCCAGCCAAGTTTTCCTCGTAAATGCACAGGCTAAACAGTGAGGCTAAGACAGCTTACAAGTCTAGAGAGATCATCTGACTTTACATGGGATTATTGTTAATTGCAAAGTACCTCATAACCACTTCTAAAAGTTTGTTTTTAGGTATTTACACACTGGTTCCATGTTTGCAGGTGGACAAAAGTACGGCACATTACATAACTGAGACAGAACTCTAGCCTTACCTCTTGTTCCAGGAGAAGTCAATTTTGACAATGCCAAATTCTTGCCTACACAACTGTCCTTGTCAAATGAGCTGATATCACCCCAAGAGGAGGGATCCGAATCTAGCAGAGCATCTGAAGACTCTGGAGACAATATGAATGTATTTCTAAAGGGCGACATCAGGCTTGGGTTTGTTCCATTATTGTTGTTCTTTCTGCTCATAGAATGAAGAGTTTCTTGACTTGTTGGTTTTGGTTTAATGTTTGTTAAGTCTGAGCTACTTCTGTTTCTAGTGCCTGGATGGCTGTTGTATTCAACCACTGATGGTAAATCATCATTAGATGAAGGATCAACTGTCTCCTCTCTCCTCCTTTTATCTGCAAGAGAAAAAAAATTACAATACCTTTCACAAGCATATGCCTCATTGCAACTGGAGTGCAAATTTGATAACTAGTAAAAGTATGTCATTGATTCCTCTTTAAGGACTGATTTTCTGCAAAAATTAACAATAGCAACCGCAGTTTTTACTCTTAACATTCCCAACAATCATGGCAAAACTGAAAGCAGTCGTGTTTGGAGCAAATTTTTCAAATATGGTTACATACATATATGCTTATTATTCAGAATTCTCTTTAAATTAAGGTTTTTTAATAGGAAATGCAGTGGATTAAAAATTAACTAAATACAGCGTCACACTTCAAATAAAATTAGCTCATTCCTTGAAAAGCTATCACAATTTACCACCCAAGAATTTTGCACTGTAGCCAGAATTTCATTCAATTGCTAATAGTTAATGAACACACTCTTGATTTCTCCTTTGCTTTGATTAACCATCATGATAACTTTTATTTAGTTGCCTTTTTTGGTTGAAAAGTGCTCTAACTTGCTCCTTACTACCTGTACATTTCTCAGCAATACCTTATTTGTTCATTTATTTCTCTTAAGCAAGAATGGAGTTCCTGCACACTAAAAACCTTAGGAATAAAGCCCTAGGAGAAAATTCTGCTTCATCTATAAATCCAAGCTTAGATGCATGCATTTTTACATCACATTGATTTGGCAAATTGACCAGGAATTAGAGAGAAAAATTTGTTGGTTCATGAGTTACTAGTAACAGCTACAGTAGAAATATACCAGTACTGCATATGGTAGAGTATTTAGTTTATTGTATATCAGTTATGATGCAGTTTAATATTTTACCTTTCTTTGCTGAAAGAAGATGTCCTTTGCTGTACCGTTTTTCAGACTAAAGTGTAGAAAAAAATTCATTAATTGCTTTAGCCTCACATAATATTAGTACAGACTGTAGTCAAAATATTCACAGCGCTGAATGGAGAACCACACATATGCTGGTGGGACAAGTAATTAAATATAGTATAAGGGGTACTCACACTAGCACGATTACCCCTGAATTATAATGGAGGAAGTCCAAAACAACCTTAAATTCACAATGCACTGATCTACCTTCCTTTAGGGACATAAGCTCCTCTAAGTTTCCTTACCAAATGGTATCTGATCTTTCTATAGTGATCATATCCTGCACTTTCCACTTTTCTTCTCATTGTTGAGTTCCAGTGGTTCTTAATTGAGTTGTCAGTCCTGTGGAGAGATTTAGGCAACAATCAAACATCAACAACAATGTTCTTACTGTAGCTCTGCAAACTGAGCAAAAGTAATGAGTGACCAAGACAGAATTTCTCCTTACAATATCAATACAATATCAACCAGATAAGTGATGAGAACAAAGAAATATATTAATTTGGGGATAATTAGATGATCCAATACTAAATTCTCTGAACTAATGTTATAAGAATTGTATAGTTGACAGTAAGGAGAATTACAAATTTGACCTGAGAGTTAAAGGGTTAATGGTGGCCCTTTAGCACTATCAACTCAGTTCATAGAACCAAATTTTCGTGCAATACCCCCTGACCCACATGGAATCAGTTTCCCCTTTGTGCAAAGGCATGTGACAATGCCCCATGCAACCCCCCCCCCTCCTCCCCAACCCACACAGCTTTGGTGAAATTCCCTTGCATTTAGTCGAGGTAAAATTCCAGTCAATACAAAGGTTTCAGCAATGTCTTGTGATAGGCTCCAATATGGTTTTCCACTTTACCATGTTTGTTCCCCTTCCCAACATTTCCTGGAACAAGTATTCATTTCCCACCATGGGTTATTAGTGTTGTGTCCCTGAAGGCTATAGCTCTGTCTCAATGGTTATCTCCCTGTAATTAAGGAGACTGTAGCAGTTCACCTTCAGCACAGCCTTTACCACACCTAGCCTCAATTCCTGATGTAGTTTGAGGTAAAAGGGGACACAAACCTCCCAGGTAACAATTTTGCTATCTCGGCCCATTTGTTGCCCATAGAAATGTGAGCTTCATAAATAATCCTGTCTTCATCTTCAGTCCAAGCACATTTCTTGATTTGTGGGTTGAGATGATTGTGCCACCTACACAAAAATAAAACAGGAAAAAAAACTGGCATATAAATTGATTCATCTGGTTTACTTCTGTTTATCTGTCTTTATTTCTAAGTTTTGCTCAGAATCATCGAAACCCTATTTCTAAGCTTCCATTTTTAAAAGAGGAATGTTGCGATAGCTATGAAAGCTGTACTCTCAGTTACACAATTCTAAAAATATTACAGTAAAATATCTGGAATATAACAAAATCAGGTCCTGACTCTTAAAAATTCTTATAGCACTACACAGTTTGGTCAATCAGACATAAGACAATTAATTGAACTCATATTTAGTTTTACCTTTCACGACACTGTTTTCCAATCCTTCCTTTCAGATGCTGAGCAATAAGTGACCACCGTTTAGGTCCATACTTCCGCACAAGTTCCACAACTTTGTCATCCTCCTGTAAATCAGGATTACAATTACACTTGCTCCTAGTTGTCTAATATAACCCCTCTCAATGAAATGTCAGCAGACATTTACATATTTACTTTTTCATTTACTTCTGTATCCTTTATTAAATCATTTTAGTCCTAATGCCCACTTCCTAGAAGTCTTATAACTGAATATAATAATTGATTAGAAACTGCAGTGTTTATCAAATTTTCCATTTTTCAGATGTGGAATTTGCCTGAGGAAGGAGCTTATCTATAAAAAGCTTAATCTTCAATCACTGGCTCAGGGGTTTCAACAGATTATGATGTGGATGGCAAAATTTGTGAATTAGGCAGCTAATGCAAGATTGACCTTCACTCTAATGTTGTTCATTTCAAAGAAAATAGGTAGCAATTTTTCCTCACATAGACAGCAAATTTTCCCAGTTGCTTGCTCCTATTGAAACCCTTACTGGCAAACAATCAAGTCCTTTTCAAACAGTCAGTCAAATGCATGTGAAAGTTGAAACTATCCTCAACTATTTGTGAGTACTATAAACAAGTTAAAATGTAAAATGTTCCAATGTTTCGCTTTTCTGTTGAGATACAATGTATCTCATAATCTCAGTGATAACAAAGATTAGCTACAATCTGAATTGCATACTGACCTCTTTAGTCCATGGACCCTTCACTAGCTCTGGGTTTAGTACCTTCTGCCACCTGTGAAGGCACTGGACATCTGTGCGATCAGGGAAATTATTTGCCACCTCCTTCCAACTATCAGTTCCAAGATCATCCACAAGTTCCTTTAATTTTTCATCCTAATAGGTCAATTTTAAAATTTGTAATTATATCTATTGTATTTACCTCAGCATACTGTAACATCTAAAGGTAGAAGTTTCAGGTTATTTGTAAGAGTTTGGTATTAAAGTGAGACAATATTCCCTCCATAATGATTTCCTTGATTAAAATTTTGCATCTGTTGGATTATGTATAAACACCAGTGAAAATCAATAAACTGATCTCTCCAAAAGTTGAAACAGAAATGATATAACAAAGACAGTACTATCTATATTGCAAAATTTGCATGATGCAAATATGAAGGAATTTTGACAGTCAGCTGTGCCTTGTGTATCCAATGATGATGCATATTTATTTATTTATTACTTGGTGCACATCTCACTCTGTTGCATTTCAAAGAGGTCATGTAAAGTCCACATTGCAAACTGACTAGCATAAATTGCACATATAGGTTCTGCTTCCTGTCAAAGATGTAACCTTCATGAATTTGAGAAGATACAAAACAAACTAATTTATAAATTTAAAAATTGGGGAAAAAGCAGAAATGAAACCATTTCTACTGTTCAGGGCTCAACTGTTTCCCCTGTGCAAAAATGAAGCAAAAAAAACCTTGGGTTAGAATAAAAATTTTGCAAAACACCAAAGCACACAATGTTTTTGCACCAGTACAAATGGAAGGAAAATAAACAAATAGAATTGTAAGCATGTGAGAGGTGAAATGTTAGTGTCAAAATGCCTTTGCTGACCTAGTCTGTTACTTTGAAGAGAAAACACTCATCACTTATTTTTTAAAGAAAAATGCATTTTAATAAGAAAAACTCCCAGAAATAATTAGCACTTCTAAGTTAAATGTCTACAATGTATTTAAAGCAATCAATCTCCACGATCTTTAAGCAAAGTTGAAATAATCATCTTTAAATCAATGCTTCAGTGTTAACAAGTTCTAAACAGAAAGCAACACAAATTCAATCGGTTTGAAATCAAATATTCAATATCGTTTAATCTCTCATATGCAAAGTGCCATCCTAGTGTACACAAAACGTACGACATGCAGTAACACCTTTACACTTTTTTAAAATTGCAAATTATCTCCTCCAAGACAACGAATGCAGACCGAGGACTTTTACAACGAAATATGAAATCTTCCATATAACTGCGCAATCGAACATGGACGCCATCAACAAGCATGACGGACAGGACTATTCAAATTGATATCAATTAGGTGTAAAACAGACTACCCAGAAAAATGTATATAACTCGTACTTCATTGCATCATAAAAACTGCACTGAGCTGTTTGATTTTACGGAAATTCAGCAGAAGGCCTTGCACTAGTTCTACATGCCAAAAAAGTACAACAAACTTATTAGTTACACCCTCGAGGCACAGTCGGCACGGAACGCATTTGCTTTATTCCGTTTCATATACATAAATTTGCCTTAATTACAAATTGTGTACATCTTTCATTTTCCCCGATTTGCCATTGCCTTCGAGAACGAGTGATCTTCTGCATAATTTTGGGACAAACACTTGGTTAAACTTAAAGAAAAGCGATGATAACGCCCAGATAAAGGCTGCAAAGAGATAGAATGCGAGTACGAGCCATATCTCATGCAGTAATACGACCTTTTTCAACGGACATTCGAGATTTAAAATGGACTTCACAACATGCATGCTTGGTTACCTAAAAGTGCGTACGTTTTGTTAGGCCGTCCGGCGATAAGAGCGCATCAACTTTACACTTATCGTACCTAAAACGCTTAACAAACCGGTAAATGCTGCATTAACTTCTTGACGAAGCCAAATACGAGAAACACGAGAAAAACAATCGTCGCCAAAACAAACTGTTATGAATGAATTAACCTAACGTTGGTCAATTCTTGCGCTATGCGTTAGAAAACATCTACCGGGGCTATGCAACAAAATGAGCGAAATGCGAGACAAATCGTCATATCACTGCAGTATTACAACTAAATTAAACGATCAAATGATACCTTAAGATCATTCAAACCCTATTTGCCGAAACAGTTGTGAAATATAAAGGATTGCAAGAGCTAAATGCGCAAACCAACCTCCTGTTTCGTCCATCTTCCCTTGTTGATTTTCTTCTTTCGCCGCTGAGCCCTCAACGATGGTTCTTCCTCTACGGGAACATTATAACCTCTAAATTATAAACAAAAAAAGAAACACATTCATGACCATAGTTACGCACTTTAAACCCCCCTTCTCCTCAGAGCTGCCGCGTAATCAGTAGAGACAAAATGACCCCTGATCGGGGCATCGAAATTTTCGCTCTGCTAAAAAAAATGTCTAATACACGCAAAGGTTTCTTTTCGGATTTAACTTACCTTGCAACCGACTCTGCTGCCTTAAGAAGAAGCAACATTTCTGCATGAGGGGCCTTTAGGCATATTCCGTACTTCACAAAAGTGATTTGTCAATATTTAGCGTTGAAAGACGAACCTCCGTGTATTAGCAAAAGAGGCCCAGACGCGGCAGAAGACGCAAAGCGAATCAAAGAGAATTTGCACGTGTTACAGCACGCGTAAAGCCCGGATGTTCACTTCAAAACCTAAAATAACACTCTGTATTTTCACCATCCGATGAGAATCTAAATGAAAAGTGTGAAAATCTAATTTCCGAATTTCCAAGTGAGAGAAATATGCAATTAAATGAGTTTAAAATCCTAAAGCAATCTGAACAAAACCTCGCTTACAACAGAACATTCGAAACGAGGCCGCATCGATCGATCGCGCAAGCAAATTGATCGGAGATTTAGACTTTGCAAATTTAGTATAATTTATGATTGTAAACGTTGGTAACAAATTCGCTGTATTTTCCACTAAAAAGGAGCAGTTAATTATAAACGGTCCGTGAAGATTTCTAACGAGTGCTAAATTGTTAAATCTGTAACTTAAATCGCGATCGACCTGACGAATGTCTAAGGATGGCTGAAGACATGAGTAAACACTGCAGTCAACAGACAAATCAAGGGTAGAAATCTGGTTCACCAAACTAGACTTGGTAGCGTATAAACAAAGGTGTATCATAGAAACAATTATATGAAATCTTGGGAATGGTTTTCATTTTGATCTTACAAAAATGCTTTGCATCGCGTTCTTACATCAATTTCAAAAATGGCGCGGAAATTGCGACATGATGGATGACAAATAATTTCAACTTTCGCGATCAGATCAGGGAATATAATGATTATTCATGGCATAGAGCAACAATCCTTACCGATAAAAATAGGCATTTGCCATCCTCGAGGAAATCCGTAGAAATCCTGAGCCAAAAACCCAGAAGGAACCCTACAATCCTTCGACCTTCTTTTTTGTTGTAAACCGAGATGCGGTTTGAATCACTCACGCTTCAAATAGACCGCCACGACTGCTTTCCTGTGATTGGTCGAAGGTCATATCTTGCTTTGTTTCGATTGGTCGAAGCAAGTTCAAAATGTACGTCAATTCCTTGGGGACACATTTCCTATTTACCTACCACGAACTGATGTGAAAGAAGATGTTTTCGTCGCCAAAAGACAAAGAAAGCTGGTTTTGCGGCCAAAATTGTCGTTTTATAACTTTCTGAAAGGATGCTCGATTTGTAAGGTCATACAATCTACTGCGTTTTACAGCAAACGTGGGGCTTGCGATCGACGAAAAATGCTGAGCTAATCGAGTTTATTTTCTAACTTTACTTTTTGTCTCGGCACGACACGTGGTAAACACGATCTTTTGAACCTAACACCTGACATTGACAAGGCTTCAGCCAGAGCTTCAGCACTAACCAACTTCATCGTTTATCGGAAATTTCGCTTCTGCGTTCTATTTATTATCACGTCGTTGAGATAGGAGAATCTTGACTTTAAAACACTAATAAAAAAAATCCGATTCCCCTTAGCTTCCTCGATCGAGGTGTTACATAAGACTGGGTGATGTTGTGTGTTGCCAAACTGAACTCAACACTCCTAGACTCAACTTTTAAAGCAAGATCTCGAACGCGAAAGACATTAGGAACCGTTATCTGCGACTTTCTCTGCGTCCACAATTTCGGATCAGCGTACAACAGACCAAAACTAATGCGCAGGGTGCCTACTGCGCAATAATAATTTACAGTTTCTAAGGCGAATGGCAACCGCTTATTAATTCTTTTCCTTTTCACAAATAACGATTATGTGATCAATCCCCACCCTTCTATATAACTAAAGATTCACTTGCAATGCTTGTTCCTATTTTTACCCTCAAACTGGGCCATAAGATTCATCCTCGAACAGCAGCGTTAGGTCGTTACGATGGAAGACATCCATGTCTGACAGCAGGCACAACTGCTGGAAAGGTTGGCGATTTTTGTTTTGGTACTTTTTTATTATTATCGAAATATGGTATTTTTTTCTGGCTTATCCAAATTGGATAAATAGTTACTGAAACAAGGAATCGTGCTCTCGTCTGAAACAGGAAGCAACGCGAGCAACTGTGTAAAACATACCGGGTGACTAGGTTCTATTTATTTGATGTCGGCAATAAACAACAGAGAAACTTTTTTCCGTTTGGCTCTGTTTGGCGGCCAAAAATACTGATATGGTGGCCATTTTTTAATCGAAGATAGCTGAAGTTTGGACTTATCACTGCTTTCGTATATTACAAATTGAGAGTCTTGAAAGGCTTGACAATTTTTAGTCAGTTGGAGCTGTTGAACTTTTTTTCCCATAGCATGCGAGAAAGAAAAAATCAGAATCTTTTTTGAAGATTCAACTCCATTGAAGTCTTAATTTCATGGGCAGGTGATCCTCTAACTGAGCCACGAGGAACAACTTGGCAAACTGCAGGCTTGACCAGGCTTGATTTTGACAATTTTTCTGCATATAGGGAGGTTTGATCAAGAATGCCGAAAATGAATATCAAGATGTTTTTGTTTCAGATTACGATGAACTAATTTGTTTAGACAAAGGCAAATTAATTCAAAATTGATTTGAAGTGTAGGATCATAGCATATGATATACCCAAGACTTTTTATGATCTAATGGTGAATTAGAAGGGACATTGAGAGAATATGTTCTACAGGTATCCGGTTAGATTGCACCATGGTTAGATTGCTCCCAGTTAGATCGCTCCAACCAAAAGTTAGATCGCTCCACTCGAAAGTTAGATCGCTCCATCAAATAAGTTACTTCGCTACCAACAAGGTACTTCGTTTCATGTTGTAATGTGAAGTATTGCTTAGCAATGATCTTTAAAGTTCATAGGTGATGATGTGTCTTGCGACGATTCGAGTACATCGTATTCACTCTGTCCTTCAGATTAACCACCTATATATTTATATATATATATAGAGGTGACTAGAAGCATAGCGATGATGGAATAAATGATCGTGGTTACACTTCGTGAGTCTGTTACATGAGGCTTCATTTGTTCTCTCTGCGTAACTCAGATTTATTTCAAGCGCGCGCGAGCGATATTAATCGATTGTTAAGTAAGATATACACGTCATTTGATGAATTATAAATTTAGATAGCTTAGTTTTGCTACCTTTACCTTAGTTTTCTACACGGAGAGAAGTAACTTATATTGATGGAGCGATCTAACTTTCGAGTGGAGCGATCTAACCTTTGATTGGAGCGATCTAACTGGGAGCGATCTAACCATGGTGCGATCTAACCATAATTCGTTCTACATTAATGTGTGTTTCTTAGAAACTGGACTCAAGAGGGAGTACTTTGAGATGCACTTCATTTCATCATAATTTCTTTCATTAGATCTTTTGTATTAATCAATTTTCCATGTATATTTAAATGAAATGTCATTTAATCTGTCTTATGATCTTTGGTATTTAGGTTTTTATCCACAATCCCCATAGTGGCACCCTTCAGGGAGGCAGAGCAATTGCAAGTCATGATACCGACATTAGTATTTTAAACATCAACCAACAAGTTTCTGCTGTTGCAGCTGGTCCCTTGAACACCTCTGGATGTGACACACTTCTTGTTGGTACACCCACAAACTTCTTAGCCTATGATGTGGAGAACAATTCTGACCTGTTCTATAAAGATGTAAGTGACTGAGTGGTAATACTGAATTAGGGCCTAGGTGGCCATTTGGTAGAGAAGAAAAAAAATCAGGAAATTATGCAGAATTTCTCATGCTCCCATTTCAATACATCCTCAAATTAGCGCTCCCCCTGAATTAAATTTCTCTTTTCCAGTTGAAGTGCATCCTCCCATTTACAAAATCAGACTGTGTGCCTTTTTCCCTTTGAATAGGCCCCATTCCCTTCCCTCAATCAAGTCTATTTACTAAGTAAAATGAACTACAGTATTAAAAAAAATGGTATTAAGAAGTTGAAAACAAATTGGTATTGTATTAAAAATTTGTAGAAAAAAGGATAAAAATTTAAACTGGATTATGTAGTGAAGAAAAAAAATCAGTTAGTACTAGGTGCTGTGGGAGAAACAGTTACAGGTATTGAATGTTAATTTTAATGGTACAAGTTCATTTGGTTGTTCAATATTTTTAGATTGCAGATGGAGCCAATGCAATTGTAACAGGCAGACTTGGATCTTTTGAGAATCCTTTGGCGATAGTGGGTGGAAACTGTTCAATTCAAGGATTTGACTTTGAAGGCAATGACGAATTCTGGACAGTAAGTATTGGTAATTGTAAGTTGAAGTCAACTGGTTGCTTGTCACCTTATATAGCAATAACTGGGGGGTGGTATGGGGAGTTGGGTTGTCATTTTGTGTAACTTACATCTGTTTGTAAACTAAATAAAGCACCAATCCAGTCAGGGAAACGTGAGTTGAAGAGGTCTATTTTTCTTGCTTTGAGTATGCAGTCAAAATGTTACAATTGTTTTTGAAAGTGAGTACATATAAGGCAAACTATGATACTTATCGATTATCACCACCATAAACATTAACCAATGTATTTAACAATGAATATATAGAGGAGGTTTTGCATCTTAAAAGCTAATAGAAAAGTAAATAATCCATTTACAAAATAATGTAATTTTTGTTTTTGGCTTTTTTTTTTTTTGGCAGACATGTAAAAGTAGTAGCAAAAATACTAAACTTTATTCTTCTGTCCCATTTGTGGCATCCATAGGTGACAGGAGACAATGTGTGCTCCTTGGCAATGTGTGATTTTAACAGTGATGGATTGGCAGAGGTATTTTGTCTGCAGTGTTGATAAAATGTCAAATAATCTCAATTGTGGCTTTTGCAAATGTGAGCACTCTATCAAGGCACTCATGAATTTCTCTCCTTAACCCTTTTACTCTCAAGATCTCATTAGTAATTTTCCTTACTGTCTGCCATACAATTCTTATGGATAATTTGGTATTGGATCAACTGATAATCCCCTAATTGATATTTTACTTTATTCTCATTACTTGTCTGCTTGATATTGTATTTATATTGTTCAGAAAAATTCTCTCATAGTCACTTGTGCGAGGTAAAGGGTTAATGGTAAGTTTTCTGCGGGATTAAGTTCACATTTTACAATTTTACAATCACTATATTTTTGATTTGCACAGTTACTTGTTGGCTCAGAGGATTTTGACATCCGAGTTTTTAAAGAAGATGAAATTATCGCAGAAATGACTGAAACTGAGGTTGGTGCATCTATCTCTTTTCAAGAACCTATTTATATCCTGCAATTGTGAACATTGTTGTTATAATTATTTTTCATCTTCTGTCCATAGTCTGTAACCTCTCTATGTCCAATCCGAGGATCTCGATTTGGTTATGCTTTGGGAAATGGTACTGTGGGAGTTTATGACAAGACAGCAAGATACTGGAGAATAAAGGTACAAAGTTGATATTATTTAAAAAAAAAAACTCAAATTAGCTCACAGGTTCACTATTGACACTTGTAACAGTACTGTTAGTTGTCTAATACAGGGTTCTCAATAGAAGGCGGCACCCAGCGATTGAACACCGCTTACTTTGGGATTTATAGCCGCTTACTTTGTGTTTAAGTCGCTTTTCTTTTCTTTGTTTTGTTCTGCAAGTTTGCTTGAGTTGTTTCCAAATTTTTCTTCCGTTTCTTGCATGACTGTGATCCAAACAAAACCAGGAAACTTGCTTACGGTTCTGGACTCAATCGATGAATGCCATTTTACTTGAGCCCAGGCGTTCACGGTGAAACATGGTAACGAGGCCTCCTACTTTATCAGTGATCACCTCCTACTTAAAAATCTATTGAGAACCCTGTAATACCTTGCCTTGTCAGCTATTATTTTTTGGCCATTTCATTTTACCTGCTGCCAAGACAACTGCATTTGCCTTAAGCTTTTGTAATCACCACACAATCTCTTCCCATGTGATTGTGTAAACTGTTTGACTTTGGTACCCTACTTATTCCTTCAGTCCTTAATTTTGCTCATTTGCCTTGTACATAACTCAGACCACAGTGTTAGAATTGACAAAATTTTAGTCTACGAAACACTTGGAAAAGTGCTTGATCATTGTCCTGTCAACGCAATACTTAGAGAAGACTTCATTTATCGGTTTTTTTTTAAATATATCGATTGTTTTAACAGTCAAAAGTGGACTAAGTAAAATTAACACTTTTAAATGAAAGGCTTTTGATAAACAATGTGTTCCTCTCAAGAAAGTATGGTTTAATACAGTTATCACTGGCTTATTTCATAAGAATTATACTAACATGCAGTTTTTCTGCCAATCCACTCAGGCAGTTGTGGTTGTTTTCCATCCCCTAGCACAATCATCCCTCCTTAAATCCTTTTTTTTAAATTTAATTTTTTTTTTTCTTTTTTCAGTCAAAAAACCAAGCAATCACCATTCACAGTTTTGATCTTGATTCTGATGGAGTGCCAGAGCTCATCACTGGTTGGTCCAATGGAAAGGTGAAGATATTCTGTCTAATTGCAAAAGAAAAAGTAAACTTATGTCTAGCAACTCTAGCATTGATAGTAAAATGGGTCAGTCAAGGACAGTGTCTTACAGTGATCTTCTACTTCCCTATTTACTCAACACTTCAACACTTAATCGACCCCAAAGAGTGTCACTAACATCTCATTTCACCCAACAATAATTCACCCATGCATCAAACATTGATGTCAAGAGAGTAAAAGAAATGATCTCCATTGATCTAGAAGTTCCCAATTGTTAGGCAAATTCTTACTCTGTGCCTTACATTTCCCATAATATCCCATCAATGGATATTTCCTTAAATGTTATTGCCCCTCAGCTTGACACTGCATTGACATGATAAGAAAAAATTTCTTGTTGTTCAGAGCCTACAAATTGGCTAAATGTCTTCATGCTAGTAATTAATGTTTTGCCAAGAATAGCACTTGTCAACTATTCTTTCTACTTCCTTTGTTTGTTTTAGTCATCACATTTTGTAAACTCCTTTTGCACATTCTTAGATTGATGCTCGTAGTGACAGAACAGGGGAGGTGGTGTTTAAAGATAACTTCTCTGCTGCCATTGCTGGTATACTTGAAGGAGACTATCGTATGGATGGAAAAGTGGAACTCATTTGTTGTTCAGCAGAGGGGGAAGGTAATTTTAATGCACATGTTGAGTTATGCAGTGTGTCAGTCGCACTTGTATTGAAGACATCTCAAGAGGATAAACTACTTTTAAATCTCTGGAAGCTGAAATAATAGTTGGTTATTAATAACTAAAAGAACACGCTTTATTTTGGCTTACTGGTGTAATAATCCATGCAGGATGTGTGCATTTTAATGCTGGTAAAGCGATCAAAAGTGTGGTTTATTGCTTTCATTAAATAAGCTTAAAACAAAACACAGTATATCTTAATCTTTCTATTGGGTTCCCGGTGCAATAAACGATAGGTTTTTGACCAGTCAGGTAGCTTAAATGTAGGATCTCAGGCTTTTTTTCATAAATGGTAGTATCCCAGTTTAGTCTTTAAGCTTATTATTTGTATTATTATTTATAACGAGTTTTGAAGACGAGCTTGTAACCTGTGGGCTTCATATCCTCAGCACTTTGATGAGCCAACAACAAGGCAATAGAAAAAGCATGATAGGGAAAAAAGGAGTGGCTTGCAAGGGGGCTGGATAGGGGTTTGATTGTTTTCTTCTTGCCTTTGAGAATTGTCTTCTCATGTTTCTTTTTTTTCACCCATCTCAGTTCGTGGGTACTTGCCAGCATCTGCTGAAATGAAGGGCAACTTGATGGATGTCAATGTTGAACAAGATGCACTACGAGACTTGGCACAAAGAAAACAGAATTTATTGTTGGAATTGAAAAACTATGAAGAAAATGCTAAGGTAAGAAATTTAATTTAATCTTGTTCCTGGTGGGGGATGTGATGATATCATGGCTGCCAGTACTCCAAGCATCCTCTTACTGGCTAGTTAATTACTAACAATATAAATAGGAGGAGAGCAACATCATTGTACTGACAGAAGCAAAAGTTAAGAATGGAAGAAAAGGTGGGATGAGCAGTTGTTGTATCCTCAGTCTTCTACTGAAACAAGCTAATGTCACATGTCATTTGACTCTGAATAGTGTGTGTTATGTAGAATATGTAATTTAAAGGGAGTCCTATGTTTAGTTTCAGCCCTTTTTTGGCTGTTTGTCATCAGCCCAGTGCTAGTGTTCAATATGGTTATGTCTGAGTTTTTCTTATTAGTAAATTTCCATCACAGTGATTACTGTTCAAAACTTTAATTATTGATATTTGTTCTGACTGAGTAAGTGATATCTTTCTTGGGGTCTCATTCACTCTTTGTTTCTTCCCACCTGAGTGAGAGTTAGGTTTAGGGTGACTAGCTTGAAATTATTTGTTGGTGACGTACAAAAATGTACTGATCAAATAGTTCGGTAGGGAAAATTCATGTCACAGCTGCATTTCTAACTAACAAAAGCCCCAGGCCAATGAAATAGGCAAATAATATGACTAAATTATCATAGGTTGGAAAGGTTGGAGGTCAAGAGGTTGATCAATCACAGATGGGAGTCATACCAGCCAGCACTCAACTGCAGACCTCACTGTTGGTAAACCCAGGAAGTGAACAAGTTCAGCCACATGTGCAGCTCTCAATTTCAACTACCAATGAAACTATTATCCGGACTGTGATGATATTTGCTGAAGGAGTGTTTGAGGGGGAAAGTCATGTTGTCCATCCCTCACAACAAAATTTAAAGTCATCTCTTCAAGTTCCAGTGTTCCCACCCAAAGATATTCCTGTTGATCTTCACATCAAAGCTTTTGTTGGCCAGAAATCCAGGTTAGTGGACTTGTTAATTCCTCTGTCAGTGGATAAGTCACTAGTTTAAAGGGGCAAAATAATAATCATTGGTGATGTAGTCCAGAATGGCAGCAACATTTCCATTGTTGATTGTCAACAACAGAGACAGACACATCTACAATCACTTGAGCCACATTGTGGTCATGTGATTTGATGATGACCCCTACCCAGGTGGTCAAGGCACTGGTCACAGAGACCAATAACAGCTCAGCTGTCAACTGGACAGTCATGGCCACCATCACTTCAGATAGAGCAGTTTTATCAAAAGCAAGATCATTTGATGAGTGATGTTCTTGAGCTGAATTCTTTCCTCCAATAAAATCTCTCTCCACTTTAAAAGGATTATATTAAGTGGCTGCTGATGAGGTTTTTTCTGCAAGCAACCATACAAAATGCAATTCATGGAATGAGTCTGCAAAAGGGCTATCTTTAACCAAAGGGAGAAAATGCATTATTTTAAATCACTAAAATGTACAGTCAATGTTGCAAATATGAAATGAAAGAAGGCATGTGTAAGTGCTTCTAGTCAGACAATTATACCTTTACCTTACCATCTGATTCTATATTTTGTGTATGTTTCTTAATTTGTTTGTTTTGGCTTTTTTTGTTGCTGTTTGTTTTATTTTTTGTTTGAAATTTAATTTCTGTTTTGCAGCAACCACTTCCATGTTTTTGAGCTTACAAGACAGCTACCAAGGTAACAATATTTATACTCTGTGAAATATTTTAAGAGACCTGCAAAATTACTAACAATAAGTGATAACCTGATTGATACAGGTTGATTCTATAGATTTAAATTAGTTTTGGAAAAGAATTTGAATACCTCAAGCTTCAGTGGGTACTGAATCTCACCTCCTAGTCAGAGTAGCATTTGAACAAGGCCAGTCTAACATTGTGCGAGCTAGATCATATTCTACTATGGCTGTCTTTCAACCACACAAGAGAAACTGAAATTTGTGTGCCTTGAGATGGATTGAAGGGCAATGTAGCTTTTTTCATGGTAGTTTTCACTTAGTCTGTAAGGCTAAGAGGCATGTATTTTTCATGTGGCTCTTTCTTCCCCAAAACACTCTATACATTAATACTAGTACTACATACTACAAGCGTCCTTATTGGTAAAAAGCTACCGTTTATTTCACTGATGAACCCATATTTTTTTTTATGAATTAAAGCAATACACTGCACTTTCTGTCTATTTTCCTGCCTAATAAGCCACTTGGGATATGGGGGGAACATTTTCACGTGGGAAGAACTTTTCACGTGTTCTCCCAACATCCCGAGTGAGTTATTATGCCGGTAAACCTATTAAATCACTACTTGAAGTATGATTCATTTCCAAACTCAATCAACATCATTTCTGTTGTGTAGATTCACCCTGTACATACCTTGCCCAGATGGTTATGCTGAACCAAAATCCAGCTGCTGCTTCCATATTAATGAAAGAGTGAACAGGGTAAGCCCACTACAACGACTAGCATCTAATTTCTCCTCATAATATCACGCCTGAGTCACACTTTAAGGTCACAAGAATAAAGGAAATGACCATCAACTGAAGAAGCTCTTGATTGTTAAACAAAGTCTCCTTGTCAAGACATTGGGAAAAGTTTAGGAACAGGATGGAGAATATGTTTACTTTTGTTAGGGTGTAAATGTTTAGGTAAACGCGGATATCTGATCATTGCTGGTAACTGACCTCTATTTTCTGGTTCCTGCACAGGCTGTTATGTGGCTAAATCAGAATTTTCTCCTCCCGGATGAGGTAGAGAGTAAAGATGGCGACCTTGACATAATGTTCTTGTCTCTGAGAACTGGTAACCCCTTGGCAATCAAAATGGATCAAAGTGGAAATGTAAGGAGCTGAATTGATTTTAGTACACCATAGCTACAGCTGTACCAGTTCTCATGCATAGAGTGGCTATCTTTTCTCTGGACTAAAGTTTAACGGAGAAACTCAGGAAAATTCAGGCTTCGACAGGATTCGAACCTGTGCCTAGTTGCGTGCTAATTGGTAGTAGCGCTTAGGCGGAACCAGCGGGAAGCTTAACCTTTTTGCAGTCAAATCTTTGTAATTATTTACTGATAATAAAAAGCACTCAGGAGGGTAACTCCTCCTTTCCTAGTAAACCTCGGCGAGACCTGGTTTTGAACCAGAGCTTGGGGTCGATTTTTTTTTCTGCGATTTTTTCATGTAAGCACATTTAAATTACCCACTTTTTTTCTTAGCACGCTTTTAGAGAATTCAACAAGTGGTACCAAAAAAAGTCCAGGTTCGTGTTCAGAAGCCCTTGTCTTTATCTTTAACGAAATGTAATAAGCTGCTCACTACATAAGTGAAAACTTTCTGTTAGGCTGTTGGAAGGCTAGGTTATGATATTACATACAAAGCAAATTTGTAAAATGAGGGGAATGTATTAAAACGTATCTGGCAGGCCTAAGTTTTTTGTTCTGTCTAGGTGAGTGTCCAAACAGATGACATGGATTTAGCAGGTGATATCATTCAGGCACTCGCAACCTTCCTGGGAATTGAGGTAATTTTTCCCTGAACAATATAAATAGAAACTCTTTTTTCATTGTCACTTTGGCAGCTTTCATAACGACCAATTGATGGTTTTGTCCAAGTCCTATTGGGTTTGTTGTTTCTGTTTGCGTTGGTTTCGTGATTCGAATGCAGCTTTCTTGATTGAGAACAGTGTCACTCCTTAGAGAGCAGCGAACCTGAATTGCTTTTCAGTTGTGAAGAAGTTACCTCTAAAGTGTCTCTAGAGAAAACATGTCGCTGTTTTCTGAAAGTAAATTTAACTTAACACTGCTTTAGAGAAGAGCTAACCACTTCGCCATACGATTTTACTCCAGGACTTACAGACCACTGCAGAATTTCCGGAGCATTTGGAAGAACTTCGTGCGGTGTTGCTTAAGGTAATAAACCTAAACAAAACTTATTAAAACAGTTCCGGATTAACATGACGAATATGCAATGTTGTTCAAAGCGTTATTTAACCTAACTGTATATCTGGCCTTAAAACCAATCAATCAATTTTCGCGCTATTTTTTCGGACACTTTAGGTCACGTTGTGTAGAATCACCACACATTCATCACGCAATAACCCCCATCATTGTTCTCCGATTATTTACGTTGAAAAGTAACAAAGCCAGTTAAAAAAAAACTTGAGCCAGCTCAAAATTTTTATCATTTCACCTCCATCATTTTACACGGAAGACAAATAAACTCGTTTTGTAGAATTTACTGATAGTGATATTAAAAAGCTGGACTCAAATGCGCAATCGCCATTAGATCAACGTTGACTTTTTACGGGCGCTGTTTGCAAGATATAAAAGTTGTTGGGTTAGGAGGATTCTATAATCGATAAACCTCTTTCCGGCCGGTTTGTCGGATGACAATGTTCTTGGTGAGAGATTGTCCTCAGAATTTCACATTTTCTCTCGAAGCGTCGTTTCTTGACCAAATGTTGAAAGAATAAAACCTTTCGGATTTTATTCTTTCAGTCGAAAAAAATTAAATACATGGGACTGCATTGTTTTTGCTTTGGTTCGCTTTGTAATTCATTTAAATAATTCTGGCAAGAGAATACGTTCTCTTAGTGATGGTGGTACCAACTTTCCAATAAATCAGTTGCGATACTAAATCACTGTGACTGGGTCGCTTCTATTTTCCCGCCGGTGGGGCCCGCTAACTGTGTTCAAAATGCGTTCTCATTGGATCCATCTAATGTTTTCTACTTGATTTGATTGGCTGTCGTGAATACTTTTGTTTCACGGCACTTAACCTTAAAACACTGTCTCGGGTGTTTGATCACTGACGCGATACATGCCTTCAAATTATCATCCTTCAGGTAGACGAGCTGCATGCTGTGAGACAAAAACTGACAGCTGAGATGGCAGATCACTCCAATTTGATCAGAAGCTTGGTTGTCAGAGCTGAAGATGCCAGATTAATGGGAGACATGTGAGCATGCTGATTAATGTTGATTAATGTTACCCGCCCTTTTGAGATGTAGTGGTCTTATGCAAGCGCACTTGATCAGCTGCAAGTGGTGCAAAAGGGGTCTGTGCCCGGAAGAGGGGTCGCAAGGTTTTCCCTCTGGGTCAAGGGACATGCTCCCTCAGAAAAAAAAGTGAAATCTAGAGGCTTGGAAATGTAATTTTCTGCATTCTGGTCGTCATGAAGAGTATTGTTTTAAATTTAATATTTATTGGCACCTCTATAATTTGCCTGTCATTTCTGAGTTAAAGATCACTGTGTTGTTTCCTTGGGTTGAAGCTCTCAAGTTTTCCTTAGAGTTTCTCTGTGCTACTGAACGATTAGCTTTCTCTCTCTTTATTCCTCGTGGAAATTTCAGTGATAACTCCTTTAATTTTTTGGTTAATAATTCACTCAAACCGTTCGCGGCTGATAAATTTATTCCTCAGATTTCATGTTTGTTCTTACTTTCTTTGTAGGAAAAACATGAGAAAAGGCTACATGGAACTGTATGACCTGAACAGAGATTTAATCAATGGCTACAAGATCAGATGTAATAATCACACAGAGCTTCTGTCCTGTCTAAAACTTGTCAATCAGGCCATCCAACGAGCTGGAAAGCTCAGAGGTAACGGATTAACTCAATGCATTAACCCCCTCGCTCTCAGGAATGATCATGTGCTACTTTCTCCCCACAACTCTAAGACACTGTTCAGGAGACAGGCGATGAGAGTTAAGCAAATTATCTGACAGAGGTTATTTTGAGATATAACTCTCAGATTCTCCTCAAGAGCCTTCAGAAAAAGCATAATCATCAGTAAGGGAGTTAACTTTGAATTCGTGCGGATGACTGAAAGGATTAAACGAAAAGCATCCAAATAGTTTGGCCAGTTGCTGGAGAAAAGTAAGAACTTGCATTTTTGTCCTCACTTATGGCTCTTGTATGAGCCCTCCACCTTTTTCCTCTTATAATCTGCCCCCTCAAACAAGCCCCTCTCCAATTGGCTCAAAGCTCATGTGAGCCCCTTTCACATAAGCTCCTCTAGAGAAATTCTCTCTCTTAAATGAATCCTCTATCTGGATGACCTATGTATTGTTAAGTATTATTAAGGAATGTTGTACAGCTTTCAAAGATGCTTTATCGTCATCTAATCCCTGATTTTTCATTTTCCTGCAGTGGGCAAAGCTAAATCTCAAGTTATTGCAGGCTGCCGACAAGCGATCAAGAATAACAATGTCAACGGCTTGTTCAAGATAATTAAAGCTGGTTCCCTGTAAAGTCTCACCGTCACAGTTCCTAAAGCATTTATTAAACTTCAGAGGCCGGTTTTTTAAATGACTTTTGAATCCGGCTGCGGTTTAGACAATCGGTAGTCCCTTGAGCTCTTTGCATGTGGGTTGTTGGAATGAAATGCGTGTTTTCCAATGTTCATTAGAACCGTCCTTGACATTGCTTTAACAAAATCAACATTTAGATTCAACGTTTGCCTTTATTGAGGGCTGTTTAAAACCTGGTCGTGGTAAAACGACGTTATGTTAGATGGTCTTCAAAAAATTAATTAATTTATGAAGAAGAGGTAAATTGTACTTGCCCTACGGGCTCGTGCAATTTTGTTGTCTCTGAAAGATTTCCTTGTGCTTATTAACACCAAATTGCACTCGAAATTATGTCATTATCTATTCTTAGTACTGAGTGCGTCTGCTTTACAGGCTACATTATTTTAAAGGTGCGCCCACAGAAGTGGTGTAACCAGCCGGTTAAAAGCCTTTGATGCTGAATCTTGAGGCAGTCTCGAGAGAAATGAGAATGAAATTGTGGATTAATTTTTCCTTCGTTCGCTGCTCCGCAGCCTTCATCTTCTTTGAGTGCCCACATTGTAAATAGTATCAAGGCGCAAGGAATGCTTATTCAGTAAAGGCTGTAAGATTTGAAAAATTGATCAAATTTAAATGGTGGCTTGTGTTTAGGGTGAGAGGGAGTCACAGTCTCTTTTCTTGTCTAAATATGGTTCAACCAAGTCGAGAAGGAGAGGGTGGGTGCGTTCAACATTGGGAAGCATTAAGGGTGGAAGGTGTGTGGATGGTTTTTCATGTTACGACCTCAACGCCTAAAAACATCTCTCTGTAGTAAGAACGTTTTGCAAGAGTCCTATTCTACTGATTGGCACTTGGCCGTGTTTCGCGGAAACAAATTTGTGCTCTTGGGACGGCTGAAATTTCTGTTAGAAACTTATTTTTGTAATTTTATTTATGTAAGCGGCAGCAGAACATTAACAAGGAAGCGCGTAAAGATCCTCTTTCGCAGAATGACGCAGGTCGCGGCTAGTACACAAATGTCCTTTTCCACTCTCCTCCAGGCGATCAGCGATGAAATTTACTGTTTAGTCAGTATTGATATTCAGGTCATTTGTCCTAGAAACTTTTTAAAAAGGACAAGTAATGTGCTCAACTGGAGTTAAAGCAGAATATTAGGAAACTGGTGGGCTATTATAACCAGCATTGGTCGGTTTGGCATAATAACAGATGTTACCCTTCTCTGAAGATTGTATTATGATATTATCAAGAGGAATCACATCAGAGATCGTTTTTTCGTATTCAAAAGGCAAAAAGGAAGCAATCGCCCCGGTGAAATAGCTACAATGGCCTTTATTGCTGCTATTTGATAGCTTGCCATCAGCAGCCCAATCCATGACTCAGAGCAAATGGTATGCATGCCCATACCATGTGGACTTATAAGCCAGTTGGCAAGTTTATTGACGAAGGGGACAAAGGTAAATATTCGTAATCTATGGAAGCCAATGCAAGAGCTACGAATCCATGAGATGCCAAGAATGAAGTCTTGAATTCTCCTAATCCGCCCACAGGACCGAACAGATTAACCACACCTAAGGATGATAAAGGATGATGATAAAATATGGACAGCCACTGCATCTTGTGGAAACAGTTTAGTCATTTATTTTTTAAAGGGAAATTGTGAAAAGTGCATTCTCCCAGGATCAGTTTGGAAGTTACACCAATAATCCTTGACTAAAATATCTTGGGGTTAATGAGATTATCGTGGTGGATGTATGAACATGCTTTTATAATGACAGCTTATGTTTCCTCATGTAAGTTAGTGTTAACAACTGAGTTGAAAACGTAAGTTGGCCTCTGTAAAGAGTAAAAAAGCTGACGTTTCGAGCTTCTTATGTCCTCAGTTAAGTATCATTCTGGTGAAAAACAACGACCCTGAAGATTAGGATACAAGATCAGACGCCACCAACGGTTGTTGTTATTGTTAAGTATAAGGATTTTACTTTTCCTCGGCTTCTTTTCAATAGTATCCACATGATATCCGTGTAAGATCCTTTGATCTACCTCTTCACGCAAGGAAGGAAAAATGACATACCGAATCTCCTCAAAAAAGCGCCTACACTGTAACAAACGCACTTCCACAAATAAGCGCCCACCCCCAAGTCCATAAATCAAACAAGCACCCCCTGAGCGCCCCCACTTGAATACCCCGTCCCCCTTCCCCACTTAAATAGTAAGCTTCAACCACAGCTGGATCAGTACAGGTTAATAGTTTCTTAAAAAGCGTTCCCTTCGATAAGAGCCCTCCATCCAATAAGCGCCCCTCTCTATAACAAATCAACCACATTTTTACTTTGTCGTCAGATTTAGCAATTATACCTTAAAATCAGGTGCTTACTTCAGTTTGCTAATGTAGGTGTGAAATATTAACAGCTAGCGCGGGTAGTCCAAACTCGTTTAATGAACCTACGTAAGTATGCAAACATGTCTATATTGCGCCATGGGCAATAAGGATTTCTATGGGAATAAACAGCCGCATTTTTAACCTGAAAAATCTGACCTAGTATTAAACAAAAAACGAACCTACCTTGCTGCTGTCTCTGTTCCTTTACATCTTTTGAATTTTCTAAGCTAGTTAAGTTGTGCTTGGTTCTTTTGAAATAACAAATTAAATATCTTTTTTAATCAGGAAATTGTCAGTCTTTAAACTCGGCCATTCACAATGTTTACTGCTATGCAGTTTTTTTAATTTCGTTGGAAGGAGGATGAGCAAAGAGAGTTTACCAATCAAGCTCAGGGGAGATCTAATTCGGATTGATAGCAAGGTATTCACAGAGAATTCATATTCTTGCGACGAAGAAAGCGAAAGCGGTTGCAAAAGAGGAGGAAAACAAAACGCTTTTGGGGTAGGGATATCTTTAAAGAAAGGAAAAGTCAAGGTGACTTTTACAACCTCGTGGAAGAGCTTCGACTTGGAGATTGTGAATATTATTTCAGGTAAGCTTGTGTACATGGGTTACGGAGATGGAAAGTTTTAAAATATTCAATGTAGACAGGTAAACTTTATCTGTTTACGTTATTCTGTGTTAGCTTCAGAAAGTTGAGATGAGCTTTCTGTTTCCTTAGCTGATTGAATGAAATTCAGTTTTATACAAATTGCCTTCGCTGATGAATTGTTATCGTTGGCTTTTATCACCTCAAATTTTAGATATTTACGCATGAGCCCAGAAAGGTTCGAACATTTGTTGACCCTGGTTGGCCCCTTAATTTCCAAGAAGGCCACTAAAATGAGAGAGCTCATTTCTGCTGCAGAGCGCTTAACTCTCACATTGCGCATGTTGGCCAGTGGGGATGATCAACAATCATTACCTTTCAGTTATAGCCAAGGTAGGACCATTGTTAGCCACATTCCGAGGGAGACATGCAGTACAATTTGGATGGCCCTAAGAGACATTTATTTAAGACCACCAAGTTCACCCCTTGTCAAACAAGACTCGATAGTTGCGAACAACCTCGGAAAACTTCTCATCAAAGTTCACAGGGACGGTCTCCGCCACTTTGTTGAAGTGCTCAGACGTGGGGAAACTGGAGCGAGTGGCATAATTGGCCAGACATAGCCAAATGTAGCACAAATGTGGTAGATTTCCTTGTGCTTGTGCGGCGGTTTGTTTTCACTCGGATTACGCGAACGCAAGCACAAGCATAGGCACAGGAAAAAGAAAAATTTTTGATCCTTGTGCTTTTGCTTGCGCTTGTGTTTAATTTATGCTTGCGTCGAGGCCGTTTTCGTGGTGAAATATGAGCTGTTATGCTTGCGTGTGTGCTTGCGCTTATGCTTGCGTCGCTAGTGAAAACCAGGCTTAACGCATTCTCGCGGTGCTTTCGGAACACTTTAACTGGTTTGAACTTCGAGCTTTAATTGTGTATCATATTTTAGTTACGAAACATTAGCGAAGCGAAGCATTTTTCAAAAACAACTTGACTTGTCTTATAAACTCGAGTACGTCTTACAGTCAAGCAACAAAATATTATTGGAACAAATTTCTTCTGACGTTGAGCCGTTGAGCCGTTGAGCCCGTTAAACAACTCAGTGGTCTAGCTTAGAGACAAATAGTTGACTGTGAACCTTTTCATTCTGTTTGGTAACTCTGAAAAGAACAGTTTTGTTTTTGCAGAGGCACTAGTCACTGAGAACTTATTTTTTGCAATTCCTGTTCGTTTGCATTTTGGAATACAAATCTCTTTTTCGGTGCTGTTGTCGCGAGGTTGAAAAAGTCTGTGTTCGTGAGAAGTTTTAAGAAAAAATAACAACGCTTTGTTACTGAATACCACTGCAGAAACATCCTAAGCTGGTACAGAAGATAGAAGGTGAGGGCTTGTACTTTTTTGGAAATTAAACTTGTTTAAAGTGTTGTTCTTCCTTTCGTCCAACGATTAGGACAGCCAATATTAAATTGTTTATTCATGTTGTTTGAAATATTGATAAGATAAGATAGATAAAGATAGCTTTATTAAAAATCCATTCAGTGCAATCAAAAGGTTGGATTACGGACTGTACAAATGTTTATTTGACACTAAATATAAAAAAAGACTAAAAAACTAAATAAAAAAAGGCTAAAAAATACTACATATCCATACTAAAATTCATGAACGGAAGAGCAAAAATACTATTGATATATACGTAGTGAAATTTAAGAAATAGCCGCATTAAACATGATAAAGCCATTAGGAAATAGCAGGTAATTTAGTGTTAACAACTGGGTTGAAAACGTAAATTAGCCACCGTAAAGGGTAAAAAAGCTGACGTTTGGAGCGTTAGCCCTTCGTCAGAGCGATTCGAGGAATTGTGGGTTGTGTGTGGATTTCTATGCAGAAAGTGGGGCTACGCCATTGGTGGGAATATGGTGACGAGAAAACAGGAATAAATTAGTTGAATGAAAAGCGCTCGTTGATTCCGTAGGGATTAAGGGTGCCGATTTGGAAAATAAATTTTTGTTCTAGTGTTTTACGGCTTTCCGAACTGCCTAGATGTAAGGAAAGGCCGCAAACTGTCATATGCTGTTTAGAATGATTAGGAAGATTAAAGTGTCTAGCGACTGGTTTGGATGCGTCCTTGTCATTTCTTTCCACATCGCGAAGGTGTTCTCGGAATCGGTCACCCAGTCGTCTTCCTGTTTCGCCGATGTATAACTTATTGCAATAAGTGCAAGTTATGCAGTAAATAACATTGGCGGAGGTAAACGTAAAGTGATCAATGATCTTAATGGATCTTTTAGGTCCCGATATTTTCTCTACGTTGTGAATGAAAGGACAAGTTTTGCATCGTGAGCGAGCGCATTTAAAAGTTCCAGATTGGTCATTGGTTTGAAATGAACTCCTGACTAAAAAGTTGCCTATGTTTTTGTCACGTTTGAATGAAATAAGTGGGGGTTGCGAAAAGATAGTGACAGTCTCTGAATCGTTTTGGAGTAATTTAAAATTTTTAAGAATGATAGATTTAACTGATTGGTTGTGAGGGTGAAATGTAAGAGTAAATGGAATGCGGTCAGTGGTTTCCTTCTCGGCCGTTTGTAGTGCTGCCTGTCGATCGATTTGTTGGACACGGTGGTAGCCCGCTTGAACGACAGAAACAGGATAGCCACGTTTATCGAAAACTGGCACATTGCCTCTGATTTTTCCGAAAAATCAGAGTCGTCACTACATAAACGACGAAGGCTGAGAAACTGTGAAAAAGGTATGGAGTTCTTGACGTGTGATGGATGTGAGGATGAATACAACAAGTAACTATGTGAATCTATAGGTTTGTAGTAAACACTAGTACATAAGCCGTTGCCTTCAATTGAAATTTTGATGTCTAGAGAAGCCAAAGAAGTGTCGGAAATTTCCCAGGTGTATTTAAGAGCCGGATGAAAGGAATTGACGGCGGTTATAAATTGAGTGAGGTCCTCTTTAGTAGAGGAGGTAGCGCCGATGTAATCGTCAATGTAGCGGCCGTAGAGTTCAGGTTTTGGTCCGTGGTACTGGCTAAAAAATTGATGTTCGATAAAACCTACAAAAAGATTGGCGTAGCTGGGTCCCATTTTAGTACCCATGGCCACGCCATTAGTTTGTTTGTAGAAGTTACCACCGAATGAAAAGCAATTGAGTGTGAGTACTAGTTCGGCCAGACGGAGTAGTGTTTCAGAGCTAGGTTCCTTAACAGTACGTTGATCGAAAAAATGTTTGAGGGCCCGGAGACCTTCGTCATTGGGAATGACAGTGTAAAGAGATGTTATATCCATGATGAAAATAAGTTTGTTTTGGTCGAGGAAACTAAAGTCACGAAAAATTTCAAGTGCGTGTTGGCCGTCCTTAATGTAAGACGGTAAAGTTTTGACGATAAGTGCTATAATTTTGTCTAAATAGCTGGAAATAAGTTCGGTGGGACAACTGCAGGCAGAAACGATGGGTCGACCTGGGTTGTTAGGTTTGTGGATTTTTAAAAATCTAAAGATGAGAACTGGCCCTCTGGGGGAGTCCATTTAGACTTTCGAATCTGGAGTGTTTCGAAAGTATCTTTGTTCGAGGTGTTAGAATCATCCTTTTTGTCATGAAAAAAGGCTTTCAACTGAACGCGGCGAAGGAATTTTTCAACGTCTTGCTTAACTGAAAATTCGTCGGTTTTCTGTGATATGGGAACAAAATTTAAGCCCTTGCTGAGAACTGATTTTTCTGAATCGGAAAGTAGTAAATTTTTTGGAATGGTAACTACAGTTTTGAGGTTTTCAGGCGATGAGTCGTTAGTAACTTGAGGGCCCTTTCTTGATGTAGGTACAAACGCCTCCATGTATTACGTTAATCCTCTCTCTTCTCAGTAGATTGTACCCAGGAATACTGACGACATTGTCGTGAATTGGTCGCGCAACCAGGTCTCTGCAGGCAATGTATAGATTTGCGTATGTAATAGCATCAGCAACTTCATCCAGTTTGGGGGCCAAAGACATTACGTTCGACAATAAAACAGACGGAACGTAGACCTTCCTAGCTCCTTGTTGATATTGTTGTGATAGAGAGATGTCACACAATTAGCTTTATTTTGGTGTGGCCGGGAGCTTCGTGAATGATTGATATGGTTGGTTAGCTGCACTTCGGTGGAATAGCGACATCTGTTTACTCTTTCCCTTGCTCGGCAGTCGGCTCTTTTCCCTCTAAAACAGGGCCACACGCACCTAACATCCTTGGAACGACTTCGAAGCTGGTAAATCACCATAAGACTTAAAAATAAATACAAATTTTCGATAAAATATACGGTGCAGCCAAGCACGGCGCATTATCATCCAGCGATTAGGACGGCCAATATTAAATGGTTTATTGATGTCATTTGAAATATTGCACTCTTCACTTTATCAGAAAATATATACCGTTTTGAGTTTTGAACAGAACGGCCTCACAATGAATTACTTATGTTTTTGGTACTTGTGTCTTTTTTTTTTTCAGAATTTGTTTCAGATGGGCACGAGGCTCTGGCGGAGATGTTGTGTTCACAAGTTCAAGTTTCTCTTAGTTGTACTTGTTATAGCTTTGTTTATTGGGGAGATTGGATGTTTCTGCCTGTGTTTTGTAACATGGCGGATGCCTCAGGCTTCCAGCGACTCATTAAATCTGCTCTTTGTTTCGGATTCTCAAATTCAGGTGAGTTTATCATGTAAGGAAGCCCTCGACATGCGTCAGAAATCATATTTTACATCGGACTTGAATGCTTTATCCTATTAATTTTTCAATCTCTGCAGCCTCGCATACGAAAGGGACTTTTATCTTAGAGAACCTCTTGTCAATATCATAAAATTTATAACCAATAGTGCCTTTTACTACCCGGCCTAGAATCGCTTGGAATTCTTAAAACTTCAATAGGTTAATGGATTGCTCTTCTGGTTTGAAAATTCATTTTACTTGCCTTGTTTATATTATGGAGAACATGGTATTAAGTACATTTGTATTGTATTGAGGTTATTTACTAGATTGGAATAGATATCATAGTGTTGATATCATTAGAGTTAATGTCTATTGCTAGGTGATGTTTTAGATATATTTTTGGTTCATGCCCACTAACTCCTTATTTACGTATCATCTTCACTCTCTATTTATGATCACACAGCGAGTCTTCTTCAAAATATAAATTCTTCATTCGTGGCCTTTGTAGCTAAGGTGATTGAAGCGCCAAACTAGAGTGTGGCAGTTCGAATACCGTCAAAGTCTGAAGTTTTTCAGGCTTCATTTCTGTAACTTCTTCAATATTGTAACGCAGCTGTGAGGATCATTTCTTAACTTCTATCTTCTGCTGGTCAAAATATAATGGTCATTTATCGTTTGCTTTTACCCGCATGGGTCGGAGAGTGAGCAGAGCTGAGCGATTTGATCTGATTTAAGTATTAGTTGTAGTTATGAATCGCATGCTATGGTCAAGTCACAAGTTGAAACACTTTGAAACTTATTACCATTTACGTATGTTCTGAAAACAAATGGTGAAAGCCTATTTTTTTTAGACAGGGAACCTTTACATCTGAATATCTCATGTTCATATCGTGGTAACGTATCTATTCCCCTCAAACCATACCATTTCATATTGGTTATTCATACCAAGTCATGTCATATTATGCCCTCGAGCCAAGTACTGCGAATCTTACCTTTATTTAGCGGTGATCTGTCACCCTTCATGAGGCCTGTTACCAAACTTTGTTTGAGATTTGATTCACAGCATTCCGTTTGTCCTTTCCTTCTTCTCTCACTTTTCTACAGAACTTACTGGCTTTTATGGTATCTTAATGTTAGGGTTACAGAGGCGACCGTCCAGGAATTCTTGGTTACATAACACGCTTTGATTCTGACTGGTACCTGAAGAAGGCTTTCTTCATGGCATTGACATCTTTCTTCCCAGATGCTGTCATTCATTTAGGTTTGTGAAGAGAAAAAGTATAAGTAAGATGGAATTTACGGCGATCTAGAAACAATTATTCCATGCAAGGACAAAAATAATCTCTTTCTTTGTCACATGGCCAGAAATCGGGGACAGTCAGCTGTCAACAACGCGGGCGCCACAGGAACTATGTTTCATCCTTTTGCACCTATGTAGTGGGTTCGACCAAAGTTTTGAAAAAATGTCAAATGTCTCTTTTTATAAGACACTGAATTCTCTAAACAGGTTTAACTGATTGTGAGATTAACCAGGGAAGCCTGTCTTTGCTTAGTGTTAATTTCATCTGCACGGTGACACTCGAATATTGGCATGATAAAACTTAATTTTTACTCTGTAGTTCCAAATTGTTTGGTACTTGTTTAGTGACAAATTATTATTAAGTGTATTCATATACGTAGACAGTGTTCCAAGTTGCAACCGTTTTGGTCGCTAGGGCGAGTGAAAATAAATTTGGCGATCGAGATTTTCACCCGCAACTGGGACATATGTTTTAAGAGCTGCGATCATTTAAGGCCAGCAGAAAATACTTTAAGGCTTTGTAACCACTCTTAATAGCAATGGCGTTCGAAAGGAACCGTCTTAGGTCCAGAAAACTGCTCGCAAATCGCTTCTTCTTCGCATTGCTAAGTCTGAAAATGGATTTTTAGAATTCGCCTATTTTACGGGAAAAATGACCCATTAAAACAAGAATTCAGTCTTGAGGGTTCAAATCTCACAGTTCAACTTTTTCCTTAGCGGAATGGACGCTCGGAAGTTGGAAGGACGTGTTGGTGGCCGTAATTTTGATTGAGAGGAAGGTATTCAACCAAAATTACAGAGCCATGTATGGGAAATGAGCAGACTGTAGAGCGACGGTTGGGAACCCATCCAGCATGCTCTCGAGATGCTTCGAATAGACTCGATTTAACAATTTGATCTTCTCCTGAAGCTTCAGACGTTCGCATGTGAGTAATTTCCCCTCTGACTTGTGCAATCTTTAAAAGTTTTCTTTTTTCTCTTACGAAGCCTTAAACGAGCGGAATTTTAAATCTCAGTAAAGGAACGCAGAGCGCATGCTTGGACGCCATGTTGTTGTCTTCGATTTCTGGCCGTATGAGAAATCGATCATCAAACTCACCGATTTCTCGGCGGATTGACGCTCTGAGAACCCATTGCGGAGTTCGACCAACTACTCGCATAATTTGTGCTGATCATTGTGCTTGTTGTGATCGCTCATTAGAGACATTCGGTTGTAATAGGTGATGTATTTGATGAAGGATCCATTGCTACTGCTGAGGAATTTCAAGAGTATAAGGTAACACGACTTCATGGTGTTACAAATCACATATCCTAACAACAATTATAATTTGTCACTTTTGAATCTTTCGACCCGAGATTTTGCTGTATTAAAGAGATTGCGGTCATATTCATGACAATTTAGCACGCCTGTAACTTGTAGGAATTTGACATGGAAAAACTACTACAGAATTGCTTTCAGATTCTGGACTAGTAAGAAAATCCTCAAAAAAAAAAGTGAACTGAATTTTCAAGTGCATTTGTCCCCAAGTGTTCTCGTCGAGTCCTTCTGGTATTTACCTCTCTTCCGTTGGGCCCTTGTCATTACCTTTTCATGGGTTCTCAAGGAAAAATTTGCAAAGAACTCATAAAAACTAACTTAGGTGCCTGCAGCGAAGGAAAAGATAAGGGAGTGAGCTACGATTTGACTGCAGTTTCATATTTGATGGGTTGAGATGGAAGCCTAAGTTTTCTAGACCAATCAAGGACATGCACTCAATAAGGACATTTCTTTGAGCGCTCAGTGGAAATTAAACTCAGCTCTGTTCAGAAACTTGTTAGCAGAGTCAGTTGACGGGAACGGAAGGAGGAGTGGCGAGCTTCAAAGACCGAAGATATTGTAATGGTTTTCGCTTAATAAAGAGATTGAAACCTAGCACTCCGAATCCAATACGGCGCCAAGTTCATACCCAAAGTTGTTGGCTATGAGCTATCCTGGTTTCAGTAAGCGCATCATATTTATTTCAGGCTAGACACGATAGGATTTTTCATACCCCGGCTGGAGTTTATAGAATTCATATAGCCGGAGACAATGACATTGGAGGCGAATCGAGCGATATTATTACAGAGGAAGAAGTGGCAAGATTTTCAGCAAACATGGGCCCACTAAACGATGTTATAAAGCTCAAGTACACGTTTCAGATAGTGAAGGTAATCCTTTACCCTCTTAGTCAAAAGGCGTGAATTTGGGTAAGGCAAAGTTGGTATCTATTTCAAAGCTAAGAATTTTTAAAAAATAACGAGGTAACATTATTTTCACTTGGTGTCACATTAATGTATCAAGAAAAGCTGATCAAATTCAAAGACAATGCCCTTTGTTTAGTGTCTCAAATATGGCCATAAAAGGATATCTTGAAACAATAGCTTTATAGCCAAACGATGGGTTATTAATTCACTAGGGGAATTCAAACTCGCTGCCATTACAATAGTGAAATTTACGAGGTCAATTCAAACATAGCCGATTACTGCACGAGCGCGAAATTTGAATATTTGGCGAAAGCGCGTTTATGTCAAATCTTGCCCTGGGGAGAAGGAGGGAGTTACTTTTTGTTCAAGGTCACTTGCTACTCAGGGAGGGTCGGCCAAGACACAGAATGTCGCAACTGAGAGACTGACAAAGAGTGATGAAACCAAACGAAATTTGAATCAGTGTGAATGGTCACGAATGAAGTTAAAACCGATTTTTATTTGTTCGGTATTTTAGAAAAAAGAGCGTGGCTATAGTTTGACGATTGAAAATAATTATTATATGATTATTCTCTGTTTTTATAATCATTAATAAAAATTTTGTTATGGAACTTTCACAGATAAATTCAGTGAGCTTGCTAAGAAGGAGGCCCTTCGTATCGGAATGGAAGATCTATAATGACACAATGGCCTTTATTGACGATTTGCCCTCAAAGCTTGATCCCGATAGAATTTCTATTCTTATTGGACACGTTCCGCTTACTCATACAAGTGGAAGCCAGGTAGTTCCAGTGATAAAGGTAAGCTTTTCCCGGAGATTATGTATCAATTACGGAGCAGTTCCATGATTTTTTGACAAAAGAAGAAGACTGTTAAATAATTTTGTAGGCATATGTGTCTTCCTGACAATTCAAGTCCGTGAAACACTGAAGCTAAAATGAAGAGGTACTTTGAAGATTGCCCAATTCAATCCAAAAAAACTAACCTAAATTAAAAAAAAACGATTAAACTCAGTCTCTGAGAGTTTTCACAAAGAAAGATTTCAGGTTGAGAGGTGGGATCTTCGGTCTTAGCCTCGTCATCAGTCCTCGTTTAATTTCTCTCAAACACGCAATACTGCCTTATTACGTACTACTGCCTTATTACGTACTAACTGAGGGATCTGATGCTTCTGTTGAACTAAATTGAAACTTATCATTAAAGTTGTTTAAGTAAAGTGATGCAATCATTTTGCTTTACAAATGAACGTGTTTCTCATCTCATGTCCTAGTTAATAGAGGCTGTTCAACCACAGCATGCTTTCTCAGGACATATTCACAAGGTACGTATTGCAATAAATACGTTTAGCATGCAGAATTTCATGTGAAAGTAGTAATAAACGTTGACTTGTGAAACTAAGTGAACTCATCTCGAGAAAACCTGCTGACAAGGACACAGTTTAGGAGCAATGCAACAGGAGGCAAACGTTTAAAAACAGTTTTAATTCTTAAAAGTGTTTTTCGATAGTATCAAGTTTAACTCGTTCCCTTCACTTTTCAAATAGCATTTAGTTTGTTTTTCTTCCCGTCAGCTCGGAATTTTAGCAATGTACGATCTGTTTACTGTATTTTGTTTACTGAATTTATTTGCAATGATCCAGATTACCACTGAGGTGCTGTTTTATCTCAAAGATATCTTTTCTTCCATGCTGTCAATGCTCGTGAGCAAATGCAGCAAATAGGCTGGTCATTAGTTACAATAGTAATTATGGAAAGATATAAATCAATGATATTTTGACCTGAAGATTAGATAGCAGGTCGCGAGAAGAGGAGTCTGAAAATTTAGTTTTCGTGAGATTCGAACCTGTGCCTCCCAGATACTAACTGGTCGTCACCGCTAACTGCGCCTCAGAGCCACATATCGAAGGCCAGGCAAATTCACTAAGTTCTCCCATCCTTGTTCAGAGAGCCACGATCAACCACAAAATTGGAACAGTGACGTTTACAGAGCATGTTGTTCCAACATGCAGCTATCGCATGGGAACAGAGAAGATGGGCTTTGCTGTAGCAGTTATTGGTGGGTTAAATTCTCCTTACTGTCTATCATACAATTCTTATGATGTCATCATCATCATCATTATTATTATTATTATTATTATTATTATTATTATTATTAACAATTATTTTTATTACTTTCTTGATCATAACAATAACCACTACAACCATCTTTATTATCCTTATCATCTTCTTTTCATAGGTGTGGATGGCTCTATTGTTTTCTCCGTTCTACCATTGCCCAAAAGATACCCATTTCTAATGACGTATTTAGGAATCATATGTGTATTTATTGTATTTGCACTGCAATGGCACTGCAATGGTTAATCTCGATGATATTATTTTGTTTGGAGATAGTTTTAGACGGGACATTAGTTTTGTTTTCAAACTTTCTTTAAAATTTAGTGACACTAGACTTAAGAAGAGTTAGTTACCTCGTTAATAGGGTTCTCTTCTCCCCGCCCTTTGGAGCGAGAGAGACTGGGGAGTAGTAAGAAGAAAAGAAGAGAATCCCTTGAGACGAGTTAGAAGTGTATCTGGGTTATTCCGCAAGAAATTTGAAATTATCACAGAGAATAAGTAGAGGAGGAGCGTATACGTTTACGGCATGAATCTCTTGGCTTATCGATACCATTTTCTTGACAGAACTTAAATACTCCGATTACCGAAACGCTTCTGATTTTGTGGTTCACCAGGACTTTGCTTGTGCTTACTTTCAATAAAATTAAAGATGTATACATGATCATGATTAGAGCTCTCCTGAAGGAATATTGCGCGAAGGTTTCCACCATGAGATGAAGGCGTGGAAAAGATGTTGATTTGAGATACTGAGGTACATATAAATGCTTCACCCATGTATGGAACCACACCCTTACCAAGTGCATAGGGAATTTAGACACTAAAGGATCGAGATAGTTATACTAAAACCTCGAAAATGAAAACAAAAGACGACATGACGTCCTTAAAAGTCCCTCTCTTTGATAAGTCTCCCACGGTGATAGGGCCCAAATATTAATATCTTACAAATCATTCTGAGATGAGGGGCTATTTCTCGTAGTTAATGGCATTATTTATTGCTTTACGTGGAGTTTTTAAATTTCGAAATTAGGAAAGTACAGTGATAGACTAACGATAGAACTCTATTTTTTGTTCGGGATCAGCACCGAAAAAAATAGATCAAAAAGGGTACAGCTCGTGCAACCACGAATAGCTCAAGAAAAATCCTTGGTTTTAGAGCTGAGGAGCAGCGCGCAAAAATACTCCTGGGCTCATCTTGTTAAACTCTTCTGAAAAAAGGACATCCTTGATGTTCTTTTTCCTTTCACTCATGAGGCGAGAGAATGCAACAGACGAAGTCACCATATGATTGTTACACTACCTATTTAGTTACTCAGTCCGACCAAAATTTTCGTTAGGACGATCTGTATTTGACGATGCAGGATCTCTTGTGTTTAATGATGTTCTCTGTGTGGCCAAAGTCTTCGCTAATCGATGATATAACCACAATACGCGTCTCGAAACTCGATCCACTGCAAAAGGTTTTGTCGAAACAATCGTTGATGAACATGGCCAGGTTGATGTTGGTCGTGACCCGTCTGTGGGTGGATCTTACCATCTATGGGACAATGTTGTTCAGAATTGACTGATAAAACACGATGTCACGAAACCGTATGTTATCGAGCTGAAATGCTAATGTCAAGGGAAACATCTAGCCTATGGCACATCTTGAAGGGTACAGACCAATGTGTGAAAGAGGGTAGAATCCGTGGAACATTATTTCTACCACCGGGCAATGGACCTTTCCCAGGTAATTTAAAACGAAGTTTGAATCCCAACTCTGTAAAGGAAGGATGCTCTCCCAGACATAATTAGTTGAGATAATTTTCCAGAACAACGTTATGATGTTCTTTTGCCCCTCTCTCCTTCCATAGTCTGAGACAAAAATCAAACACAACAAATGCAAAATGAAAAACATAGTGGAAACCTTAACCAAAAAATGAAAAATAAAACAAAAAAAGATCATTTGAATAAAACAAACAACATATTATGAAAATAGAACACAGGGAAACAAAAGTCAGCCAGAACAAAGGTGAAATTAAGGAGAAGGAAGGTGGGTTTTACTCTCTATTGATTCTGTGCCTTCTGAGCTCTCCCTCAGTTGTGCTTCAATTCTCAAAACTCAAAATAAAAATATGCTTAAAACATACAGCCATCAGTTGAAGGTTTATGAAATTGATTTAACCTGGGAGGAACTTGGTTGACACTTGAGGGTGAATGTAGAAAGTAAGGAGTGACCCTGAATTGTGCAACAAATATTAGTATAGGTAATCACATGATTTCAAGTACAATTTATAATAAATAAACACGAGTAAATTTTGAGTGGTCTTTGAAAAAATTTACAAGAGCCTGTTTATTCCAAATTGTACGAGAAAAATCATGTGATTACACATTAGTAATATGTAGGAAAAATATGAAATAACTTATCATAATTATGCAGAAGCAAAGCACGTGTATCAAGTGCAAAAATAATTTATTCGAATCCTGCAAGTGACATTGTGTGTTTGGTCAAAACAGTCGGTCAGTCATAATATACAATGATATTTTCACATCCTAAAGGTGCAAAAAAGTTCAAAGTCCGGCTAAACAGTTCAAGGAATTGTTCAGTCTAGTTTGTTCCTTCTTTGCACTGAATGAACCCTCTTCTGCTTTGAATTACCTGAAAACTGCATTTATCTTAATCAATCAGAACTGAGTAATTTTTTCATGTATCTTATTAGGAGTTAAACACATACCTCCATAACTTAAGGCAGCAAATCCCATATTTTTTTACTGGTATTAAACTGCTAAAAAGACCTATTTTGGTGAAAGCATTAAAAAAAAGGGATTAAAAACCAACAGCAACAAGTCAAACCATGAACAAAGACATTCATGAGCTCTTTCTTGATTAATATCTCACAGCATTTTCCAGTACTACTCTATTATTGGGACTTGATGTGGCTTTTCTCATGCTCATTCAAACTATGTTTGATATGTAGTAACAAGATGGTGTCACTGGAAGGCAATATCTTTTTCCTTATGGATTAAAATTTGTCATATATGTCTCTTGGTTATTTATTTATTCATTTTTTTCCTATGAATTTGATTTCTGTAATCTAGTCTTGTTATTAACTTTAAGCTATTTCTATCAATATTTGAATTGGCCCTTTGAAATGATTGTCTTTGCAAAATCATCCTTAATCTTGAACTGATTAGTGAAGCCCAAATTTACCCAAATAACCTTTTATTTTTAGGAAGGTTCTTATGTATGTTAACTGTATTATTTTAGCATGTGGGAAACAAACCATTATCAATTTGGAGCCTTCTAGTTGGGACATGCTCAGTAATAGAGGTGGCACCCTTTGAAATTCTGTTTTTTTTTTAATATTTGCAAACTATTTCAATGTATTACCTTGCAGGTACCTTTCTTCCCCTCCCCTTCCCCCTTCCCTCCCTTCCCTCCCTCCCTCCCTCCCTCCCCTCCCCTCCCTCCCTCCCTTCCCTTCCCCCTTCCCTTCCCCTTCCCCTCCCCTTCCCTCCCCTTCCCTTCCCATTCCTTCCCCATTGCATTAATTAAACAAATTTCTGTGAAAATTTGCTTGTTGCTAGTGATAAGCACGATGACCAGGTCTAAGCTCATGTAATCCTGTATGCTAGGCATAGGGCCACTCTATATTCCACTTTCTAGTCTGAATGAAAGCAAATTTAACTGCCTTTAGCTCAAGTTCTTCACCCCATCACTGCAGTTGGGAATGGAGGATTTTTGTCGTCCCACGATAAAATTTACTTGATTCCCCCATAGGGCTCTGTGATAGGGCTCTGTGATAGGGCACTGTGCAGTTAATTGGCAATAAATTTCTTATTTAATTTTATTTATACTCTGTTGGAAATGATTGATCCCCCTGTTCAAGACCCAGTTCAGCCTCATTTTTGTTCAGTTTTTGTCATCTTCATGTAACACTACTTGTGATTCAACTCCATGCTTATACACCGCCTTTACAAATTCCCGATAGGAGCCATTTCGATTTTACATCGGTACACTACTTCACTTTACTTAAGGCCCTGAACAGTGAGTAATGAAACAAATAACAGGTGCTGAAAAATTTACTTTAACTTGCTGTGGCGACCCAAATGGTTGCAGCTTGCAATACTGGTCTAAAAATGTTGTTTGTTTGTTATTTTTTTGAGGTGTCATAGATCTACTTGGCGGAGCCGGTGGACTAGTTGAATTCAAGGCTTGTCTGCTGGCCTCTCATGGCTTTGCCGCTCTTGCACTTGCTTACTTTGCATACGATGATCTTCCTGTCGAACCAGAATACCTGGATCTCGAATACTTTGAAGAGGCAGCAGAGTGGTTTCGCAATCATCCCAGTGTTGTGTCAAATGGCGTGGGTTTGCACTCAATCTGTTTGGGAAGCTGGCTTGGGCTTCTCCTTGCAAGCTACCGAAACGACTTGGTAAAAGCTGTGGTAGCGATATCACCATGGAATGCCCCTTTTTGGATTCCTTACGTATACAAAGGAAAACTGTCAAATGTATTTCGTGAAATCGAAAATGTGCAGGAAACAGATGAAGGCATCATATATAGCAATTGTGTGGCGCGTGCGAAGGAATTTGCTCTTCCTTCAGCCGAGTTAGCAGCACTCACACCAATAGAACGAATCACGTGTCCTGTATTACTCGTTTATGGAACTGATGATAAGAACATTGATTCGGAATTCACCACAAATTGTATATCTGAACGTCTGAAAGCAGAGGGAAAGGAATCCTTATGTACCATTTTACGACATCCCAATGCTGGTCACCTAATTGAACCTCCCTACACTCCACTTAATCATTCAGTGTATATGAAGATTTTTAAGCAATATCGGGTGTTTGGAGGGAAGCCCAACGAACACGCCTTAGCGCAGGAAATCACGTGGAGGAAAATTTTAGATTTCCTTGGACAAAATCTAAGGACCTGTAAGAGCAATTTATAGTACAAACAAAAACACAAAAACGATAAATTGTTATGGTCTTAAGAGCTAAATCCAATCGGATGTATGCTTGTAGTATTCCAGGGTGATCAATAGATTTTTAAAATGCCAATGTTCCAGATTTAAAATTTTTTGTGCGTTTGAAACTGACTTTTCCAACTTAGTGCAAACAAACACGGTCGCGGTTTGTAAAAATCTGAAATGATAATGGCAGGAGAGCGAAAGGAGAAAAGAGGAATAATGAACTAAACAAACAAAAAAAAGATCCGGACACTTGTCATAGCAAAGACACCTGCTTCATCCTTAATATATACGATGACGCTAACAGAATATACTTTCATCACTCGCTTCCGCTCGCCTTCGGTCGCTGTGGAAATTCTGAAGGTGAAATCAGGGCGAAGCTAGGCAAACAAGTTGATTTTCTTCGAAAACAGCATTGATTAGGTAAGGTAATGTATGTAACTGGTCGATTTGATTATTGAGTTCTGTTCCCTGTTTTTTCTGCGTAATGTCTAAAACATTATCCACGTTGAATATGTTTTTAAACGTAGCGAAGGCGGTTTGACATTTGAAGCAAGTCTCGTATTGCTTCGTGATCAAAATAGAGAGTTTAGTTTAACGATAGATGTTATGTTGCCTGTTTCTCTACTCGTTTTAGTGAAAGACAGTGATAGTGTTGAGTTTGGATATGGTCAGAAATCGTTTTTCTAGCTGCTTAATTTTTCAACAAAGCGATTTTCTGCGATTTAGACCACGATCAACCGCATTTGCACGGCAGCTGTCAAATTGAAGCGGACCAGAATCGAGTAAGAAATCCGAAGAGGGGCATCTAATCCGTAAGAAAACATGTTGATCAGTTAAGTCACTATGGCTAACAACCAATATGTTATATTTCTTGATGTCATAAATTGATGTCTGATTCATTTGGGGGAAGCTCAAGTCCGACATATCCGCCACTGGCGCTCGCGAAGTTGAATGAAATGGCTACCATATCATGACAATATAGTTCAGCTTTGGAAGGGGAATTGCAAAAAGAAAAATAAAAAAAAAATTTTACAAAATTAGAACATGGCTTCCAGTCGCGAACGCATTTTTCCGATTCATCATTCTTTGCGGCGAAAACTAGAAATTCAACTGTCTTTGTGATCTTTCGAAAGCAAATTAGCGAAAAGTTTTCTATTGAGTGAATTGCCCGTTTGTGACCGTCATTTTTCTGAATAAATATACGACCTCATACACAAAGCCGCCAACCTTTACAATAGTGTTCAGCCAAATCCAATTACCTATTGCATTAGAGTATTTCAGATTATTACAATCACTTATTTACGGTGTATTGAAGTAACAATACGTATTTAAAAGCGCTAAGAGTTCCGTAGCTGGTACCCCTGGAACATTGAAACATGGTGAGAATGGCCTGGAAAGGAGCTGTGCTTAGCAACACAACCTACCCCCCCACTCCCCTCAATCCTTTCTTTCGTGGTGTCGAGGGTAATAATCTGCGTAGATGGTACGTTTTTCGATCGCTTGAATCAGGAAGGGGAAGCGACAAGACAGCCAGCTACTTAGCAAAGAAGCGCGATTGACTTAAAAACAGGCTAAAGGACTCTAAACGATTTGATTACACAAAATTGACATACTAGCGAGATGAAATTTTATTTTTATGTTCGACTTGGGCCAAACAACATCATGAGGGCCAGTTAATTTTGATTTCGATTTCCAAGATGTCGAGATTAAAGATCTGAAGATTAAAGTTCAGTAGGAAACCGACAATAATTCCACTTTTTGCATTCCCAGTGCCATAAATATTCTCCAGCTCGGGGCAGATAGTAGACGATCTTATTCTTTTGATGCCTTTCCTCATTATGTCAAATTGTTGTTAACATTAATATTGGAAAACCAATGGGAAATTCGACAATCTATACACAATTTGAATTTCAAATTTCCATTGTCATGACCGCCGAACTGAGCCGAATGTTTTGTATCTTGGCTGTCTATATTTATTCAGTCTGACAATTCTTCTCAACAAATCACTACATGCCGAATTTGTTGCTATGTGTGTGGTTCGGCTCCTTAAATTGTAAATATTGTCAGCGATCATATATTTCCGAAATACTGAGATACATTTTTCTCCAAAATTAGCTTTAACACCGTAGATTGAGTGAATTAAATTAAAATTTTCTCTTCCTACTGGCATTGAAAGCAAAGCGTATGTGAAGTATTTCATATATGGATATAAAAAATATGGAGTTTGAATGTGGTGGTTTAATTTTTTAAGAATAAATGCATTTTTTTGATGATTTCCGATTGTAATTTGTATTTCATTTAGTTCCTGTATCTTTTTTTTCGAATATGAGTGAGCGTAATTTTAATTTTCCTTTCAATACGTGTTCCAAACATTGAATGACTAGTTCCTGAATATTTAAATTTTCGTACATAGCTGTCAAGTTTGAATTGTTTGTCAAGTAGAAACCATTACTTACAATTCGTCAAAGAAAAAATCCATTCAAAGCTTCATTCGAAAATAGCATCATTTGCCGCTTCCAGAGTGTTTGTTTTTGTGCAGGAGTTTTCGTTTATGCAAATAATCGTTGATGACTCAGTTTTCAGTGGAAATTTCGCTTACTGACTTTGTAGAGAACTTTGCTCTGCCAATATAAAATCTCGTCTACTTCGATATTTATTCAAAATCTAAATTCTACGAAGAATTGCGAGTTAAATGAAAAACCACTTTCGTTACCCGGATTTGTTTACCTAATCTCCACAAGACCATAATCTTTGCGTACACATTTTCTTTGGATGCGTTATTCATAAGGCTTGTCTCCACTCTTTTGACAGGTCGGTATAAAAACCGCCTCATTAAATATTAAAAATATCGAAGCTTTTTTTGCGCCTTCTGGCGAAAAATCTTTCCGCGATCTCCTCTCAAGGTTTGTTAGAAATAGTAGAACCTCCTGATATTTTCTTTTTCGACAAATTTCTATGTACTATTGCGGAATTAATCTTTTTTTCGCTTTTTTGTCTTCGCAGCTGTAAACCGACTTCTCTCGAGTTGTGAGCAAAGGATAAATGCAAATTTTTATGAGGTCAAGATAGCTACGAACAATCTGAAAATAGACGAATACAAGTCGGCAAATTGAACAAGAATACAGTCAGCCTTTGAAGGAAACAACTCCAGCCAACGGAGAATCAAAAGAGACTTTCCTAAGCGGTTAACATTGATTTATCATTCAGGAATCGCCGACCACGAACGCGCAAACTATCAAGAGGAAACAAAAGTAAAGAACATGAATTTATTTGATTTAAGAAACAACGGATTGAATACTTTGTAGTGAGCTTGTAACAAAGGTTCTGGCTCGATTGATCAACAAATCTGGTGATCAGATGCTCTCATCAGTTTGATCTGGTCAGCCTTCTCGCTAACTGAAGTAAATCCTATTACAAACCTTGTGACGAATTTTGACAGTGAACGACGGCCATATTGATTTATCTGGGACGAAAGATCATCGACTGCACAAGGACTGTCCTTCGAAATCTTGAATCAACAAAAGTTAACGGCCTTTAACTCTGTAAAAAGGCTCATATAAATATCCCTGCTTCAGAAGGAAGAAGTGCAGTTGGAATTACTAGTCTGAATTTCATCTGGAGACTGTGTAAATAGTCACCAACATGTGTTGTAGTTGTCTTTGTAGTTGCATTCAAAGTTTTCTGTCAAATTGTTGCAAATGCCTTGGCAAGAGTTGTATGGCGATATGCCGGGGGATTTGCCGGTGTTTCTGCAACGCCGTTTCCCCTGGTTGTGGTTTCCTTCTGCAAATCATCTTTTACGCCATATTTCAAGGCTTCAACATTGGCACTGACGTCGGCGTCTTTTTAGAAACGTCCAAGACATACGCGCGTTGCGATGAGCTTTCAACCGGGATGCTTCAACCTCTGAGCAACGACACAAACCTGACGCGTCCTTACTGCGTCGCGACGGAAAACGCTACGCAAGCGTTGCTAGGAGAAAAAGCAGCAACGCTTCAACTCCTAGAGGGCGTTTTCTTTTTCTTCATATGCCTCTCTGGTGGGATTTACGTGATCCACATAGTTGTACTGTTCCCGAACACGTGCAAACACTGGAATGATGAAAACTTCGAGAACATGGTCAGCGAGGCTGGTCCTTACTACCAGAAGATCCTTCAAATTCACACCCTGTTTCTACTGCTGGAGACGTTGGTTCACGATGTGCCTATGTCGTGTCTGGCTGTAGAGCTTTGTGCGCAGATGTGGGGAGCCGGTGGCATAAACTGCTGGGATTGTGCCCTAACACCTCAAGAGCTCCCTAAAAATCCCATGGCGCAGATCAATTGTGAGATGTGGCTGGGACTTCTCCTGGGTTCCATAGCTATTGTGAGCATTTACAAGGGTAAGTGAAAAGTATTCTATCTATTTATTCCAGCATTTATTTATTTATTTATTTTTGATCTGGCTCAAACATTACCTATACATGTAAAAAAAATCAAAACAAGACAAAACATGGCTAAACAAACAAAGGGAAACCCAGGAATAGTATATTACTCCAAATAAAATCTTTGCTTATTTGCAGTCCTTTTATTTACTTCGCCCCCAATTTTCATCTGTGAGGTTTCTTTCATAACGGGTCTCGTGACTTTTGACTATCAATCACTTATCAACTCCAGACCTACAAATAACGTGTTCTTCCCAGGCTGCTTTATATCTCTAAATCATATTTTCATTTCAGGTATCTTGCCCCTTTATTCATGGATTGGTAATCCCTTCTGCTGGGCCTGCTATCCACTTCGCGTGTGCGTGGTGCTCCCAGCTGGGTTCCTTTACTGTGTGCTCGCCTTATCCCCCGCCATGGGAGTGGCCATAAATCGCCTGTTTAAAGTGGCGCCCCAGATGAAGGACGAAATGGGAACAATAGCATCGACCATTTGGACCTTTGGCTTGTTCTTTTGGGGTATCATATTTTTGCTGACCTTCCTGTACTGGTACTTCTGTGGTAAATGTTTATGTATGTTGTGTTGTCCCTGTGAGAGGAAGGAAAAAGCCGATGGCTCCAAGGAGGGATGTTTGTGTTGTTAATGAGATCAAGACGGTGAAATATGAATTGTCATTTGGTTTCTTGATTGCGAAACTAGTTTGTTTACGTTTGATTACTACTTTTAATTTTTGTTACTTCGCATAATTTTGGAGAGCATGCTAATTCGGGAAAAATGGTGGTTCCATTCAGTCAGTCGTTTCAAATAATTACTGTCTCATTTAACTAAGATTCAGTTTGTTTTTGAGGCCAAGGCTTCAGTAATCCATATTACAACTATAATGATGTCATGATCCAAGTCCACACTCGGAGAAATAAGTGACCTTGGCTCACCAAAACAGGAAGTTAAAGAAAAACAAGACTCCTTGTAGAAATAAGAGCGCATGACGTTTCCGCCTAAGTAAAACACTTTCGGTTGATTGTCGTGAGAAAATCGAAGAAAGCGTAACAGCCAATCAGAATGAAGATGAATATCACTGGGATCGAGACAATGTTCAGTATGGCGCTGTTGAAATCATAAGCTCTATAAATTGTCCTTATATTTCTTTTATATATCGCTTATATTTAAGTAACATTCCTCTGCCTCTTATCGAGACAAATTAATGTTGCTGTCTAAAGATTTCAAAATAGTGAAACTCTCACCCGAGATTTTAGGTGCTCTGATATTTATGCTGCTTGGAAATATCATTATTAGTCTATCATTCTATTATTATTATTATTATTATTATTATTATATTTATTATTATTTTAATCAAGATCAAGTATGAAATTAAATGGAGATAGAAGGTGAAGTAAATGTCGTAAAAGGTAACAGCCTTTTTGCGTTACCGAAGCAAAGAAAGAGTTGGTATGAAACTCTCTAAGGTTTTTTTTCTTTTCTCAGCTGTCAACTTCACATTCCACTATTTTATTTGTACAAAGTTTCATTTTTTTTAGTTAAGATATCATATTTATTTTTTGGTAGGCTAAAACAGAAAAAAAATAGTTAAAGTGACCAAACCAAAACGCTGAGTCTGCATCTATAATACAACCTCCTCAGGAGGAATAACAGGGACACCAGGAAATAGGTTGTTAATGATTATGTGTCAATAGGATGTAACTTGGGCAATAATTTAAAGACTTAAATCAACCAGTTTCGTTGTAATTTATTCGTTAGGAAAGTAAAATCCGGTTTCATTTCATTCAGTTTGCGCAAAGTTAGCATGTATAAAATAACTTATGAAAATTTAGTTAATTTTGTGAATGTATCTGGTTTAATTTGCCATGGAAGTGATAAGAAAAAACATTATTTTGTAGAACATATTAGTTAGAAATATACTTTTTTATCATTATCTGTAATGTCAATATAAGGAAAAAATCAATCATGTATTTGAAAGTCCTTTTCAACCTGACCTATTATTTTTGAAAAAGAGAGTAAGACATATTGAATCAAAGATTATTTGCAGTAATCTCTCTCAGAGCAATTTTCAATTGAATGTCGAACGTAGTCAGGGATTGCTTTGGTTTTCTTAAACTTGCTCTGTGACTGTTCCAGAAAATTCGCCAAATCCTCTCAACCAATCAGGTGCAGAATTGAAAACGATCGCGAGTTGGTCATTCGCGTTTTCCTGCGCGTTTTCCCTGCGCGTTTTCACGCGCTTCCAGCAGCTTGCTTGTTATCACTTTGAGTTCTCATTGGCTTATGATAATGTGAACCCTTTTTCTAATTGGTCATTGGATTACGTTTTTCGACGCTCAATTCAAAACTGTTCTATCATATTAACACAACTTGCATTGATCTGGCGTGTGGTTATTATTGTTTAAGGAATATTCCTTTAGGTCGAGCCAACTGATCTCAAATGAAAAAGGCCTTTTACTGGGTAGCCAGAGAAATGCAGTTGTTAAATGATTTCAAATGAACTATTTTCATAATGCAGTAGTGATCAGGAGAAATTAAAACATGAATGCCTAGTACTATGCATACTATCACTTGGACAATGGAGCCTGGAAACACAAGCTAACCGTGGGTAAACCCAAGTCTTTACTAACTGCAAGCCAATTTCAGTCGGTAGGACTAACAGGAAGTGAACTGGAGAGTTCCTTGCAGAAGTTACAAATTGTCTCCTGGTAAAAATTTCAATTTTGGAGTAACAGCGTAACAGAAGTTAGAGTGGCTGTAACTGGCTCCAAAAGTTGATTAATTATTTGAGTATGAAAAGAGTCACATGTATCTAAGAACACACTTCTATTTACATTTTCCTTTGTGATTGTTTTCACGCAAAATATCATGATAAAAGTTGCTCATTAGTGATTTTTTGCTGTGTTAGATCTAACACACAACGCTGCGACATATCTTACCCTTTGCAAGAAGTCGCTTTAGTAAAGTTTTGCTTGTGGGGCAAATTTTGATGATCTGTCGAACGCTCTTGAGACATGGCTGTGACGAGTGCAACTGAAGCGATATATAGCAGCAAAAACCTCAGGAGAGTGCCGATTTGTCGTCGAATGACCCCTTCAATATCTCGCTATTTTAAAAGCGCGATGCTTCGGCAACAAATCTGCGAAAAACGCAAGGTGTGCTAATTGACGATCATCGTTTGCTATTTATTTAGCTATACTTTTACTCAGCATTGTGCTTGCACCCAGATCGAAAGCGGCCCACTGGACTGTTTTTGTTTCTTTAGATTTCATTTCTTGACCTGCTATGAAGAAAATAACCTGACTGTATTGCTTAATTAAGTATAAAATCGTAAGAAAACAATAAATTATTATTTTCAAAGCTGTACGGTTGTGGATACCTTGTTCTGTCAGTGAGTTTTAATTAGAAGATATTTCCACCCCGTCATAAGAGTCCAACGACTACACACGAATAACGTCTCTATTTGCAAACATAAAGTATTGCACACGTCATGAAAATGTTCATTTTGCCACTCACGAAAGACAGACGCCGAGTTTTTGTCATTCCCGCCAAGGAAGTTATGGTTTCTTTTTTTTTTCGTCATGCGTCTCGATATGCACTCTATCAGTCCCTTTTCCTACCAGCCGCACTGTAAAGTGCTGTGCGAGTCAAAGTGTTTAAGTATGTACCCTATCCTTAAATAAACTCCTGCATGGGGATATGAATTTTCCATATGTTTACTTCTGAACCTCATTTTCCACTGATTTAATCCAACTGCAAGACACAAACATCGTAATGGCAGATAATTGAGTCTCGATACTTGGATAAAGACGCACATGAGAAGCTTTTCAGTGATGATAACACTGACTAAGAATCGTTACAACAATGCGCAATAAATATTGCTCACAAGCATCTCAAAGCATTAGAAAATGATATTTTAGCTTCTGCAAATGACAATCTCTTTTTCCGAAAAGCGTTTACAAACACTTAAAGATTATAAGTGGCTCAAAAGTGATATAAGTGCATTGTACATATTAGTGACTAACAAGTTGAAGCGTTTATCATAGGGCCATTGTATAACAGCCAGCATCAACTATGTTTATATTGAGTTCTTCTCAGTTTGGCGCCTCTGTGTTGTTAATTTTTATGTTCGTTTTAGAATTTTGCATTTAGCTGTTCCTAGCTTCTTATCATCAGTTACATGCACGTAAATCACTAGTAATGTTTATTTATTAGAGGCCAAAAGTGGCTAGCGAGAAATTGATACGCCTCCTCATGAACGTGGTAAGGGGAATGTATTGAAAATGTCTATTTTTTTTTTTTTTTGGATTGAGGAGAAAATCATTGGCGTGGGAAGCGTGATTCACAAATTCTTCTCTTTTTTCCACCTAGCTGTCTCTGCAGAACCAATCTTGCGTCAGACTACAAGACTCTTTTATTCAATTCAAAAAACGCGCGACCTAAGATTTCCAACAAAATACTCCCAAGGGAGATATTATTAAAAATGTCATACGCAGAGGGAGGGGGAGGGAGGAGGGGGAGGATAGGTGTTAAATCTTCGCTTTAAGAGTTTTTTCCTCGGCTAGGCGTTACAGATCATAACTAAAAAATGGTCCTCTCAAGGACACCATACACGATAAGCCCCATGAGTGAGAGTGAAATGTGTTAGGAATGCCTCCCTGAATTTGATTAATTTTAGGGACTCCTGAAAGGAGAAAAATAATTCAGACTGGAATGCATACCGCAACAAGTAAAGCCTTAGTATGGCGATCTAACCGTCGATAGCACGTTTCAGGGACAAACCGTGTCTTGCTTACACAGCGGAAACCGTCGTCTGTTTATGCTTTCTCAAGCACCTTAATGTCTAAATTAAATCAATATTCCTACAGAAGGAATATAACTTTTTTCAAGTAAAAACAAAATTCAAGAAATCTTGCAAGGTTCTTTCAGAGTGAGGCTGGCAGCAATCCTTTTGATTTAAAGTCAAAACATTTAAAGATTCTGAATCAATATAATTACTTCGCAAATAGGTCACGCTCGAACTGTTTTGGCAACTTTATGCAAATATCCCCTTCTATGAACCATCAGCGCAATACAATAAGTGCTTTACGGTCTCTTGGGTTTGTCGCTTTCCTGCGCATTAATTAGAACCTTCCCTTCCACAAAACTTAAGTGAGCATATTTGGGGAAATTTTGGTGCTTTTCTCAAGCTATCAGCGGTCAAAAGCTAAACAGGATGGCCATTGAGATGACAAACATTTTCTGGTCCTAAAGGTATTTGAGAAATACTTTTAAACTGGTGTTTGGTTTTTACTAAATATCGTGCTCTGAATACTCAAATACCTCTAAAAGTGAAAGTGGCGTATATAGCATTTTCAAACATACGCAAACCGGGAAGGATGGAGCCAAAACCACAACTGAAACCAACGTGTAATAGATCTAGTACTGTAGTAAGATACTTAGGAGACAGGTTGTTTTCGAAAACTCATGATAAAACGTGATTGACAGCCATTTAGTGCCAAAAGTGCAATAACAAAAATATTGATAAACCAGGAATTGTCAAAACAAGTCTATGAAATCATATTACTTGTTGACATCTTCTTTTCAATGCTTAGATTCTCAGCTTCTCTAACACTACGAATCTTAACAGTTCTCAACCTTTCTCAACCTGAAGTTCAGTTCTCAAATCTTCACGACACAAGATGGCGGATCGGCTTTGTGAGTTTTGCATTGGTTGTTGTTCGACAATTTGCGCCGTATTTTGCCGAGAAATTACAATGAAGACGGCCTACACTATCCAATTTGTCATATACAGCATTTTACAAGGATACAACGTCGCTTCAGACATTGGAATGTTTTTTGACGTTTTCAACGCGGTAAGGAAATGCAATGAATTAGAAGAGAACTCAAATGCGAATGGAACTCAAGTCGATCCGGGAAGGACAAACGTCTATTGTAGAGCACCAGGAAACTTTACAGTGTCAGATCTCGACAAGCACATCCTAACCTTGGAAATTCTTCAATGGTTTTTCTTAATTTTTGCTGGGATTGGTGTGGCGCTCTACATCGCCCACGTATGCACTCTACTTCCAAATTTATGCAAGCACTGCCGAGAACCAGAATTTGAACACGACCTTGGCTCACCAGATACACCAAAATACTATCGAAGTATTGTACACATTCATACCATGTTTATGTGCATAGAGACTTTTATTCATGACATTCCCGTATCCTGTCTGGCAGTGGAGTTGAGCGTGCATTATTTTGGGTCAGCAAACTGCTGGGAATGCGCAATAAGTGCCAGCTCGGTTCCAGCCGAGCTTTCTTTGAAAAGAGGCAGTCTGTGGATTGGGCTAAAAGTGTCAGCGGTTGCATTAATCACCATCTATAAAGGTAAGACGACTGAAAATAACATTACACCGTTTATCTACTGATCAACCCTTTTGGGCTGTTCCGGATGGGTGACGAGGAAAGCTTCTTCAATGCAGCTGGAAATTTCGCTGGTTTTAGTTTTAGTCGTTTTTCCCGGTCATAACAATAATAGTTTTAAAACTTAATATAGCGCCTTTTAATCTTAAAAAGATCAAAAACGCTTGACATTAATTTAAAAATATCTATAAAATACAGTATAATGAATTATAAGAAATATCTATAAAACCTAATACTAAAAATAACCAATTGACCACCCCCAAGAAATGTTACTCGTTGTAAGCTAAATTAAAAAGATGTGTCTTAAAAATGCTGAGTGATGTTATTTCCCGAATATTTGCTGGAAGGCTGTTCCACAGCGTGGGCGCCGAAACATAAAATGAACGAGCTCCTAATGTAGATATCATACGCCCCTTAGGACGATCCAAAAACAATGAAGAATTCGATCTAAGGGAATAAACAGAACACGACTTAATGGACACTAAGTTACTAATGTAGCTAAGTGACATATTATATATAGCCTTAAATGTAATAATTAAAATTTTAAAATAAATACAGTAAAACACAGGTAGCCAGTGGTGGTTATATAAAGCTGGTGTGATATGATTGTACTTTCGTCTTCGATCCCCCCAAAAATTTACACAGAAAAGAGAAAATCCATCAGAGTAATGAAAAAACACATCCTTGATGTACCCTTGTTCCAGTAAACTAAAAAAACCGCTTTTCATAAACAGCTGTTAGACCAATATGCGTGGGACGTAAACAAAGGTCGCCCACATTGCTTTTGCTTTGTTTACGTCCAACGTATATCGCCTATTTCCCTTTTTTATTTTTCTTCCAGGGCTCAAATAAGTAGTCTATATTTTTGTATTGCAAACTCCACTACACGACGAATATGATATAGAAAACAGTAAATTTACTGATTTTCTTTATAGGCAGGGTGTACTACCTTGAAAAACGTTCACTACTGGGACAGAAATTTACAAAAATTGCCTCCAAGCTGAGATGAAATTTCAGCCATGAAAATTTTATCTTGCAAAACCGAAAAAAATATCCAATCAGCAAAATAAACCTTCCGCAAAATTTACATCCCACATAGAAATATCACTTTACGTTTAGCATTCTGTTTTTCTGATCGTCGTGTAGGTATCTTTCCCGGTATCTATTCAATATTTACCTAAACAGAATCATTCTGAGGAGGCCGAAACTCTTAAGTACAATTACAACCTTAGAAGGATAACCTTCAAAGTATTGGTCATATGGAGGAATGAAGCCTACAATTAGTCTCTTGTGTTCTATTGTCGATTCGTTCCCCAATTATTGACATTCTTCACAGGTATCCTTCCGCTGTACTTTTGGATTGGAAACCCATTCTGCTGGAGCTGTTATCCTCTGAGGTTCCTGATCGCTGCACCAGCCGGGCTTGGTTTCATGGTAATGGTCCTGGCTCCATGTATGGGCATTGCGAAGCTCCGAGTCATGGTAGAAGTCCCAGATTTGGCGGGAACTGTTGGCGCACCTTCCGACATCATCTTCATGATTGGACTGGTTTTCTGGGTCATATTAATCGTCGGCTTCCTGGCCTACAAGATATTCTACAGTTTTATCATGGAGTTGTGTCCTTGCCTTGCTTGGTGTGAGGACGACGATAAGAAAAAGAAAGACGCTAAAGAGGAGAAGACAACTGGATGCTTATGTTTCTAGTAATGTAACTTACAAACCAGAACCGGACTGTCTTGGAAAAGAAGATTTTCTTTATTTCCGGATTAAATTCCTTGCTTTATTTAGTCTATTGTCATAAGTAGTATATGCAAGATCATCATATGCATATGCGCATCCAGAAATTGACATAGAAATTTTTTGATACGAATCAGGTGTTTATGAGAAAGTTGTTCCTCAAGCTTAGGCCTAACCAGGAGTTTTGAGAATTTGCGTATCAGGGGTCTGCATGTTATACTCAGGTATACGATATTTTGTCAAGACAATGCATTTTTGAATTCTATGTCTTTGGTAAATTGACACAAATCAGCAACCCGAGGCAATTTTAACTTCTCATAGTTTTAAGAGTTTTATTTTTTTTTAAATTTGTGTGTGCCTTGCAGTTCCGAGGTAATAATTACAAGTACTCGATAAAAATACAATCAAGAGAAAACTGGCTTGTTAAAAGTAGCGCAGAAATAAGGAAAAACTCTGTTAGCTCTTGTTTAAAATACCTTAAAGCCTGAATTTGTAAAAATAATGGAGTTCATACTTTGGCTTTTTGTAGAAAGATTTAGCATGAAATTGACGAGCAAACGCTTTGGAGAGAAGTAAAATTCACAACCAAATTAAGTTATTTTGCTTTTCATGTATTTTTGTTGTTTGTTAATAGTCACGATTCAATAGGCTGAGCCAATAACACTCATGATGACGTCATTTACTGAAAATCCACCTTCAGGCCTCGTTTGTCGGGCTATATTTATAACTCTTTGTTACTTTCTTGTTGTTTCCGCAGGCTGTTCTTTAAATTTCAATGTTTTGGGAATACCTTTTGCACATTCAACAGTCCGCTCATTAAAAGCGGAACCCGAAGAATTTATAAAGACGCGGGGTTAGATCCATTCATTGATCAAAGCTGAAACTGTTGTGCATGTGAGAGCACATGCAGCATCGTCTCATGGGGGAGGAGAAAGGGAGGGTAAGGTTCTTATTGAGGGAGGCACGCGTGATCATCAAGATATCGCTGCCCAAGGCAACATTATACATGTTCAACTCTACCTATCCATGAAGGTACCACATTACTAGTGATGTACAAGGTTAAATAAGACGTCACGTCCATCGCCAAGATTGAGGGAACGCCACGATTCTGTAGGCGTGGTCTGACTTGTTTTTTGCATTAGCTGTTCAAAGGGATAAAATGTTGACAGCTCTTTTTCGTAACGAGGAGCAACAATTCCATATAATCCTGCCACCTTCCTTGTATATAAATCTGTTCGAAGTTCTTTATATAAATTTTGGCTTTCGTAAAACAGTGCTCAACACATAGGAGTAGAGCGATTTATGTATTGTGGGAGGAAAAAGACAAGTAAACTACAAGTTCATCCCTACAGGCCTGTTTCGTGTTTGCCCACTCATCAGGGGATTTAATGAGAATAATCTTTACCATCGCTTATATACAATATAGTCTAATTTATGCAGCGCGAAATTTAACTGTTTAGTTGTTGCGTTGGAGGGCCTTGTTTCTGTGGCGGCAGGAAGGCACGAGTTCATTACATTTGTTTAGTGTTGATAGTTCGGGTCGACAAATGATTAGGAATTTTTCTTTGAGGCAGAGATTACATCTTTTACTTGAGCTGTTGTACGGCGAGTGTGATGAGAGAATGCGCCAGGAAATAAAATGCTCGATGTTGTTGTCTCTGAGGATCCAGATGTGCTTGCTGAGTTCGGTGGAGTTTCTGTGTTTAGCGTGGCGGAATGATGCGGTGTGGTTTCTGCGTCTTCTTTTGAAGTCGTTCTCTGTGAGTCCGATGTACGTTTCTGTCGTGTTGTTGTCTTTGCGTGTAACGGTGGCTTGGTAAATTACTGATGGTTGCAGGCAGTTTCCGTCGAGCGGGCATGCATGTGACGCCTAGGAAGTTGATTATTTGTTTGTTAGCTTCTATGGTGATGCGTAGACCGTAATTATTAAAGATGCGACATATTTTTTTCTTGATGTTCGCTGTGTCTCTAGGTGTGGCGTTAGTGATGGCTAGTCCGTCGTCTCGGTAAAGTCCTACGTTTTTATTAAGATTCTGGAAATGGGAGAGCAGAAAGCTTCCTACGAGTTCACATGTTTCTGCGCCGTCGTAGCTTCCCATTGTTACTTCGAATGTTGCGTTGCCTTTCTTTTGCCAGGGTAGGTGCTTGTGGATTAAGATGGAGTTTTTTGCGTGGATTATAGTTTCTTTCGTCGGTGGTGATGTTGTCATAGTCGGAGGCGAAGTCGAGTGCTTTGTTTGGGAGCTCGAGGTCTTTGCTGATGGATGGATAGAACTCTTCGATGTCGAAACAGATGATGCTGGAGTGTTGTTTGTTTTCAATAGATTTGAACCAGTTGATTACGGCTGTGGTGTTTTTCCATTGGTTGAAATTGCGTTTTTCCGCGATTGTGCTGAGACCCACTCCAAGTTTAGGCTTGTCGAGCACTCTGGGATAATTCGCAATGGACTCTACCTATCTACCTATCTACCCATCTACCCCTTTTTTTTTTTTTTTTTTTTTGAGGGGGGGTATATAAATGAACACCATCATGATGCCGGGTGGAAGCGGTTCACTTTAGACAAAACATGAAACCCGTTTAGACGTTTCCAATATTTTTCTCATTAACTACGAATATCGAAGCATTGGATTGTTAGCGGCTGAAAACGAAGCATTTACTGGGAAGCCACTTCCACTTGAGGCGGGGTTTAATGATTGCAGAGCGTATTAGGAGTTTACATGGCACACTGTGCTAGGAAATGATATCGCAAAATTGTACATTTAGGACAGTTTCGTGACAAACGTCCTGATACTTTTTGAAGACTGCAGACAAGTTAGGCATTAGGTAACCACTTTACAGTCTACATGAAATATTTGCATACTACACCTGCGAAACTGCCTACCCTGACAGGCTGCCAGCCGGCTGAAGTTTTAATGCTGTTTTTATCATAAATTTTCTTCCATTTGATATGAGTATCACGGCTACCTAACTATAGTTAATTAGAGCTTCTGAATGTCTTCACTTTTTTTTATTTGTTTCAAACCGTCACTAACAGTAGTTCCTCGAGTGAAAAAGAGCCAAAGAACTGAATGAATAAATAGGCCATCGCGTAGTGTCATTAAATTTTTCAAATCAGGAAATAGGTTTTTATTATTTATTCACGCAGCGTTGCACCAGTTAAAAGCTTTACCACTTCGCAGTTGTGCATCGTTAGTTCTTATCGTCAAAAAATTATATTCGGCAACTTAAAAAGTTGCCATCTAATTTATGTAATTATCAACGAATACAATGCACTAAATTCTGACGAGCAAACGAACATTAATCGTCTTTCAAAATAGGAGGAAACGCTCTTACAACCAGAAACTAAAAGTTAATCTATCACAACAAAAGATTCTGTATCTATTTAATTTTGTTACATAAAAATGAAAATAAGATTTAAGAAGAACCGATCCTCTAGTTAGGGAGAGAGACAAAAATAATACTACGAGTTGTCTTTTTAAATTGCGTGGCTCTGAAATAGCTGTCGAGGAAGTCAGTTGCATGCATGCTCTGATATATTTGAGGAGCGAAACATCCATTAAAAACACCTGTAATTAAAATCTGTCCTGAGACATCTGCGGTTGAATTTTAACTAACTGGCCTTTTGCACTTTTCATTCAAATTACAAATGAGCGAATTTTTCTGTTTCGTTTTAAATCCTCCAAATTGGCCCCTTTTGTTATCGTTTACGGCCTCAAAAAGGCGGGCGCTTTGTCACCTGATCGACATAGTCAGACCGCGAGCATTTAACACTTTAAGCACGAAATTTTGCTGTGAAATTTATAAAATCCGTACGTGATGGGTTAGTCTAACACTGCGTGCAGTGTGTATTTGAAATTATATGCGGAATAATTTAGCGACATGTTTACAAAGCTACAATGGGAATATTTGTCAATTAAAACTTTGCTGATGGTTTTATATGAGCGTGGCGATCCTCTCGGGCCATTGTCAAAACTGACCAATCACATCTCTCCGTCGAGCAACTGCAGTGAATTGCTTTGTTTCAATTTTGTATTATTCATAAAGGCGACTTTTTCAGCCCTTGATCATAAAACTCAGAAGGTGGGAGATATTTGCACCTGCTGACGGCACGAATCTCAGTTATTAACCAGTCCGGAAATTCGTATTCTTAAAGGCCTTTAGCGGCGGGAATACTACTAACACTCCAACGAGGCGGAAAACTCACAGTTTTTCCTGCGCAAAATATTTTTAAGGGGATTAATGTGAGTAGGAATGGCCTCCAAGGAAATTCAAACACTTCCGAAGCCGAGTGTGTCCCTCACTAAAACTCATGTTGAAAGACCGAGAAGGATTTGCTCAAAAAGATCGTATTGCGAAGTTGAACCAGACGATGATGAATTTTCTGCAGAAGACGTAAAACAATATAGACCCAAAGGTAAGTAAGTTAGTAAGAACATTTTTAATCACTGTGCCTTGATCGCTGGTTTAGGATGTGGTAATTAGTGCCCTAGCTGGTAAAATGAGTTTCTCGGAAATATATAAATATTATGTCATGTTAACAATTTATAAAGTTTTGGATGTCGAAGTCGAATGAAGCAATTTTAAGTAAAAAACAACGTCGTATTTTTGCCGCATGCTGGGAGATGATTCTAAGAAAGGACTATATTTTATCACCAATTTAAAAAATGGTGCAATTTAATCAAAAATAATAGTCGCGATGAAAGTGGCAGAGTCGTCGGAACAGTTATATTCGTTAGAACTAAAAACGTGGTGAAGCGCAATAACCAAGCTTTTTGCTCGTTGTTTAACACAATGAACAGAACGGGAAAAAAGACATCGATATTACAATAATCCTAAGTCTTAAAAAAACAATTGAATAAGAGCTTAACATTGTCCTGTAGCAAGGCAAGGTTATAATTTTTCCTTTGTTTAAATAAGTGTGTTTTGCCATGTGAGCATTTTCATTTCGCAAGGGGCCCAAGTTTGTCGTATCAAATTTATAGCTTTCAGTGAGAACTCCGCTTTGAGAAAGAATTGATCTTATTCCGCGACAAATTGTCGGAGTGTTTTAAATACTGCCAATAATAGCATATTACTACGGCAGGACTTGTTATTAATTACGAATAAATTGCTGATTGAAATAACGAATACAGCCTTTTAATATTTCAAATCCCTGATCACTAATTTTATAAATCAGGTTGTGTTTGAAGAAAGAAAACGAGAAGCGGTACATTTTCTCATCTAGATGCAACGTCAAGAAAATTGCCTCGTTTTGTTCCTAAATTTAAGTTAAAGTACGCACTTATTGCCGAAAATGTCGTCGGGCTTTTAAATGCTAATTTAAAAGTGTTTTAACCTTATTGTTCGACATGAGTGATAAAACAAGAGAGAAAAAAGAATTGATTCAAATACATTTGTTCCTTTCGACATTGGCAAGCAGATATTTCGTACTTAAATTTGTCTGTTTTGTCATTTTGAAGTTCGTCAGCGCATAATCTGTCGTTTACGACTTCCAAAGTCGAACGGAAATGGTAGAAACTTGCCTTATCAACATTTAGATCTTTTTCGGTGTCGACAACTAACAATGTGAGGCCCGGCTACATGTTTTAAAATGAGTCATATCTGATATGTGCAGCTGCCTTCGGGCCGATGATGAAAGCTCGTTTTAAAACCTCTTCTTCGTCATCTATTTTCCCCATTTTTAAATTCATCATTTGTAATAAGTCGATGGAAAAAAAAACAAAACAAAAAAAAATTTTTTGAACGCAATAGAGGGAGACCTGTCGATTTAGATATTTTGCTGCTTGCCATTGAAAGAGTACCAGAGCGTTTTTCGTTTAGGAATGGACTGTTATCTGGCCAATACATAAGTCACTCTGGCCTATCAAGTTTTAAGTTAAAAAAATTCTCGTGCCGCTTTTTTTCTTTTTTTTTCTTTTCCTTCCAAGCGGGGACAACATGATAATGTTAGGCCATTTACACTCTTTCGGAAACTCCGGAAGAAATGAGTGATATAAATCTTTGATTTCTCGAATGAAAGTCATTTTCTACCGAATCAGTGAATCATAAGTAGGTTCTTCGGCTATTTTGATTTCCGCTTTTCGTTGGCTTCTTCCGGGTGTGAGCCTAGAAATTAGTGCTCTTGCGTTTGTGACATTTATTGTGAATGAATAGAATAGAGAATAATTTTTTTTTTCACAACTATCCTCTTAGCGGCGATATCAAGGCTTAATTGGTAAAAAAAGAAAAAAAACCCTTTGCTAAGAGAAGAAAGTAATTCGTCCTACACGCATACGTTTAAAACCTAAAATACCTCAGCCGTCTAATGTATTTGTTATCCATATCTTACAGAATATTTGGTGTTTATCTATGTCCCAATACCCTCCCTACGGCTTACACTTTCACTCTGGCCACAACTTATGGAATTACGACGGTTTTAAGTGCATTTTCAGTAAACAAGCCGTCGTTGTTTTTCAAATTTTCTAGTGAGGCATATTTTTTGTAATTTTTCTGCTCTCGTATTGCATTTTTATGGACACCTCATAAACTAACTGTACACATATATAATTTAGGTGAAGACCATTCACACCTCGAGCGCTGTGGCTCATGAATATATCAGTTTTTTGCCATGTTCGATAGCAGCTCTACACCCGCGAAAGTTTTGCCGTAAGCTGACAAATTTTCATTCCTCTGAGAGCCTTTTTTTAAATTTCACATGAAGTTTATCCTTTGACATACACAATTTTTTAGAGTCATGATTCCGAATACTTGTCGGCAGGGATTTGCACCTACTTATCACACTGCAGATTATTCTGTCCACCACTTTTTGTTTTCTTCACTTTCAAACACAAGATGCTCAAATTGCCCGAGTCTTGCAGGTTTTCTTAGCCCTTATCTTCCTATCATCCGAAAATATCATTCATATCGCTGTTTTGTCCGACTTTGTTTCACAAACTCCTCCTACAACACGTCTTAATTAAATTCCTGTTATGAAGTGAGCTTTAAAATTTTTCCATGTCACCTGAACTCCGCAAGAAGTTTAGTGCTGGTTATGCCAAGGAAAATAATACTCGAACCTTTATCTCAGGCTCACAGAAGTACGGTTTCAAACAGAGATCACGAATTCTCTGCTGCCAAAATCTCACTAGCATCTCGAAGATAAGGACTTTGGATTCTAGGCTCAGGAGATTTGATTTTGCGAAGATGATTGTAAATGACGGACACAGAAGAGAAAATGAATTGATGTGACTGAAAGTACTGGGTTGAAAAATATTTTATCAGTTTCTAGTCCAGCAATACACAACCGTAGTAATATCAGTCAAAACCAAACGAGTTAAGAAATTATGTAAAATATTTTCTTCATAGAATCAAGCTCTTAGAATGTGGTTGATTAATCTAGTAAAAATTTCCACTTTTTTTAGGCCATTCGACCTCCTGAAAATTTACAATAACCATAACCAAGAAAAACTATTTATCTCAACTTTTCTAATATCTGAGAGGAATCTAAGCCGAACTTCAAAATACCCTGAAGAACAAGAGAACTTCACAATGTAACATTAGCAATTTTTTCCTATCTAATTAGACAAGAGTGCCAATATTTAAATGAAAGAATTTCAAATTTCACTTTTTTGGTGATCTTTGACAAAGGTTTTTTAATATACCTCCTCTCATAACAGATACCACATCAAATCAAAATATGTTTTATAGTTTGGCATATTGTCTTTGCCTCAGTCGAATAATTTTGCTTTTGAATTTTGGTGTATTAGCGAGAACTCCTTAAAAAGGCATTACCTTTTGAAACTTGTTTTGAAAAAGTATGCTCAACATAATGATTGAATTTTCTGAGAGAGTGAAAAAGCAAACAGTGCTCCTGCTTTAGAGCGAGAGATGGAAAGACTCAGTGAAGAAAAATACAGAAGACAAAACATGTTTTATAGCAAAGTTAACAATGAAGGGCAAAGATAATTGAAAAAAATATATAGGATAAAATTATCAATCTTATGAGAGAGAAGGAAGGGGACTCTAAGATTTATCGATTAATGTTGCCTTGTTATTTTCTCCCAAAGATTGTGATTGGTGAAAATAATTTTATCTCACTTGCTAATCAAAACGCCCAAAGAGCAACTGATGATAGAAATATATAACCATCAGTGCAGAGCGGGAAAATGATAGCCATACATATTTGATAGACCCTATTTAAGAATGTGAAAGCTCCATAGAAAATAGTCTCTTCCTATTTTTTAATTATTTTTTTTTTTTACGGTCGTCGCAACGGTCCTCAAAAACAGCGGAAAGGTCACAATTTTGAAAACTATTCAAACGCTTACACCTGTCAAAATCTAATCACCCGCAGGCAGGCACTTCTCGTACCATGTGTGTTCCCACATCATTTTACACCATGGTACTCTGCTATTGTCAGTTCTTAACTCCGGTCTAGAAAACATAATAACACTTGTCCCGTGTGCAGATCCTCTCCTCCTTCGAATTAAAACACGCAAATCGCGACAGTATCTTGGGTCCTAAGTTTAGAAGCGAGATTTATATTTGTCTATTTCTGTGTTGTTGTTTCCTCGAATACGAAGGGGTTTTTAAGTTCTAGATTGGAAAAAAAAAGTGGGATTTCGAGATATTTTTTTTTACTTTTTACTCTTGGTATTTTTTCGTATGCTCTCTTTCAAATATGACTTTCAAGTGTTCCCACGTGTTGGGTGAGAAAAGCGAATATAAGATGAAATCTCAATTCTTAGCATTCGGAAAATAAATTACATTTCGGCTAAAGCCTAAAAAAAACCAAGGTGTGTAAACTTCATCATAACGAACACGAATATTTACCGTCAGGATCATAATCTTTTTAATTATTCTGTGTCTTTCCTGTGTGAGTTAGCAAATATTTAACCAGCCTTAGACATAACACAATAACTTGGCCGAGACAACTTAACTGCTCTTTTTAAAATAAACCGCTCTTTTCAGCCGAGAACCAAATTAAGAACCCTTTAGTGATGTTTTCAACATTTATCTCCAACATCTAATATATCATGTTTTCTAACTTTCCACATTTTGCTCTTTGTTTATGTTTGATGCGAAATAGAGTTTTTCCTTTCATTCACAAAATATAACAAGGTTTCTGGGCATAAATTATTCATGACAGGTGCGTCTTAAATCCTTTTGTTTCATTCCGCTACCTGTTTTTGAGCAAAGAATAAATTCTATTTGCGCCTGACAAAGGATTGTTTGCCAGTGGTTGTTTCTCTATTCTGAGCTCAGGCGTTAAAATGTTCAAGTTTTATTTAGTGGCAGATGCAAAAAATCCTAACAGCACTGATAAGGAAAGTAGGTTTAACAATCGAAAAAAAAATGATAGCCGCAACAGCTTCTTGCCCCATGACCAGGAATACAATGAAATCTTGAAAAACCATTTTGAAAATCCGAAAGTAATGAGACTCATTGGAAAACTTACATTTACAGATGAAGACTAACTGAATTAATTTAAAACAACTTTTTGAGGTTTCAGCGCACAATTGCAGCCCCGATTCCAACCTCAAATAAAAAGGCGTTTGTCGAACGCTACAAAAGAGAAAAATTATACATTAATCGTTTCAACTAGCTAAACAAACATCTGTTACTTTTTCATTTAGGGGGACTTTTTCTAGCGTAATTATTTCTGATAATTACTTCGTTCCTTTAACTAAACAGAACGGTGACCTAACATATTTTAAATCTTATTATACAAAAAGGCAATCAAAATTAACTGTTTAACTTAGGAGAATGATTTTTAAATCGCCAGTACTGATTTTAGGTTTTAAACTAAGAAGTACAATTCCCCCAACGTGACAAAAAGGGCGCTTTCTTCAGGCTCAAGAGCAGCTAAGAGCAGATGGGAAAACATTAGCACCTTTATCTTAATTGAATACGGAACCGGGTATCATTTGGAACAAAGGTCACCACACATTCGCATGAGGATTAACTTTGGAGTTTTTCCTTTTGTCCTCTTTAGGAAGAATCGTCCGACCTAACGGAATGAGAAAATGTTGTTTTCTTGTTGTTCGTTTTGCGCGAATTAATCACTGAAAGGATTGAAATGCAAGTTGATGTAAACGTACCGGCGCACGAAGTAGCCTTGATTTCACCTCAATACAACGTTCCCAAATGCAAAAGTAAACTTTTGAATATGGCAAATAGAGATGTTTTGATCATGCACGTACCACTTCATACTCCCCCTGTTTTGGGCAGAGACCTGTTATTATCAAACGCAACATCTTTCGAAGACAAGTTTTCTCAATACAGTTAATGGTAAACCAGTTTTAACTGAACGTTCGACCGCTATGTTAAGGGAGAAACGTAATGTAAATAAGAGAGAAATTTTTAAAAGTGAACTGACTCATTCATAACTTAAATATGTTTACAACAACGCGTGCCTTACATTGCTGTACATCCATCCTAACTGGAGGCGTTTTGGGTAAAAATTAAAAAAAATCAGTGGTGAAAAATATATTTTATCACGTGTATTCTTAGGTGCCTTGTTCAGACGCCTTATGGTTCACTTGTATAGTTGCAATGAACCATTTAATTTCCTTTTATTTTAATTCACCTAAACGTCGAACTTAAAACGGTTCAGCGGGGCAAAATTCTACTAAGGCTAAACGCTTGAAAAAAGCTGCAGGAATTAATTAAGACTAGAGGCTGAAGACTTAAAACATTCCCCTTTTTTGAGGGGGAAAATTGCCTTATCAGGACCTGTTCTTTGTGAGGCGGCAACAGAATTTTAAAGGGTGAAGTGCCGAAGATATTAGTGTCACGAATCACTTTAGATACGCGGGTACCATGATATTGCATTTCAAGTAGACATGTATTCTCAACTTTTTCGGCATAAAAAGAGTTCCAAAAAAACAATAGGATACCGGGCACACACTTAAACCCACGCTGTTGCATTTCATTCAAACGGCTTTGTCATTCAGGGCCCTTTAGCGTTCGATGCCAACAGATGTTTGTTAGTAAAGTGAGTACGCACTTAGAGCTTGGCATACATCGATAGCGTGCGAGTTCGATCAAGAGCAGTCAGGAGAGACCAGGGGAAAGTTGAAAGCTGAGTTGTCACAGAGAAAGGAAAGCTTGCTGTTAGCTCATCTGTAACGGACTAACAAGAGGTATTTCAAAGACAGTTATTTCCTCCACTTTTTATTTTCAGCTACGGTATCAGCAATTTTCAAGAATTCTATTTAACGGTGTCGCTAAGGTCGAGGAAAAGTAGTCTTAGACAGCTCATGACAATAAATGAGCCAGTTTCCGAATTTTCCTGTGAAGTTTTTCGTCAGGATATTGACTTTTCTGGTTTTTTTTTCTATTCTGAAGGAATACTATTAGATTCCAGATTGTTCAACTTTCTCAGTTCAATACCACATCAAGTTATCTTTCATTTCGAAAAAGAAAAAGTTGTGCGGCTAATATTATCCATTCATCGTTATGAAAGGGTGGATATGGAAAATAATTTTTTAATTAGAATACATAATGTAAAAATAGTGAGAGGTAGAGATTATTTTCTTAAAAGCTGCTAAAATTTGCGAATAAATTCTAATATTACTACGTTTTCGTTTTGTGTAAAAAGCCAAACTAGATAACCGATGAAAAAATTTACCAATCTTCAATTGTGCATCTGTCTCCAAGACTTTTCATCCTCGGAAGAATTGACGAGCCCTGCCGTTTATTTGTGTCTAGAATAATTGATGGGAAAGGCTTTAATCATGATTTTTAATTTAACTCGTAATTAATTTATGAGCAGCACGAGTGAGGGTGTCGTGTTTTAAATATCTTTTCCTGTTTTTCGGAATATGTGATAAAATTTCACAGTAAGAAAAATGGAGCTGTTGAAGAGTTTGATCTCTTAGCCTACTCAAATGTGTATTTTTCTTTAAATTTAAAAGGCAAGAAACCACCAAAAATCGGTTCACACTTTGAAACTTAAAACGAAAGCTACTAATTATTTGCGTAAAGCGATTACAGATGGAGCCTTGAATTTTGTTCAAATAGCTTCTGCTGCAAAAGGAATAAGAAAAAAGACAAATAAGCCCGTTAAATGAAAAAAGAAAGAATATTTTCCTCTTTTCAACTCAAGTTACTTTTCGAAGAAGTTTTGATAACTACATGTGTCATCCCTTTTTTGGATAGAAACACAGGTTTGTTAATAGAAATTACCACTGGTTAGGCTAAGGTATATTTAGTAAGCACCAACTAGTCGAACTAAGTTTATGCGTTTCGAGAGCTTTCGCCGGAAAGATATCAGCGTTGAAGCTTAGTAGATACTTTGAAGCTCACAACGAAAGCCACTGCCCTTTTCTGACTATCAAGAAAATTCCGAATACTTCAATCTTAAAATGATAAGTGATGTTGCTCTTCTAATCAGCAGTTCTTACATATAAAACTAAGTTTTGGCGAGTTTAAAGAAGCATTCCTGCATCTAAATATAGTTCATTTGGCTATTTTGGATTATTTACACCATAATTGCGAAATTTCTATCTGTGGTGTTAGAGGGTAATCCTCTTAACAGGGGATTCGTTAGGGAAATATATCTCTTGACATGGGACAAGAGTCAAAGAAGTTAAGAGCTTTCCTTCCAACAAAAGACGTCTAAGTTTCACTTTTCTTGTGAGGTAGAGAATTCGTGAATTTTCCCGTCTAGCTGTAGGAGGAAAACACTACTGCGTTACAATCCGCAATTCCTTAGTCGCAAGGCACTATCATCATACTCCAAGGGCAGATCAAGTGGAAAAGAAATGACTAATATTAGTATACGCTAACGTTTGATTTGGCGGTCAAGAAATATTTTACTGATTACAATATTATTATTTTAGGGTTTCCATATTACGCTAACAGTTACATGACCAGTTGGCTAGCCTTTCGACGCCCTAAACGAATCGCTTCAAGAATTGTTTCTCTTGCTTTGTTTGGAGTTTATGTTTTTAGTTACATTTTAATGAAGGACTTGGTCGCGTGCAAGCACGTAAAAACAACAAGCTATTTTAAGTCATTCTGTGTTGGAGCAACATCAAGGGCACCCGCTAGACACGGTTTGACGTCAAACGAACACAGTTCGAAGTGTATATTTGGTGCATTAATACAGTAGTCGATTTTACAGGAAATTGGTTTTAAAAAGGGTGGCCACTAATCAAGAGACTCGTAAGTCATGAAAAACATTTGCTTGCCCTTTGGACTGCCTTTTCACCATTATTCGCCAAAAAATATTTCTGTTGTTGTTATTCTGGTTGTTGTTTTCAGTCATCTCAAATTTGTTGTTCATAAATAGCATAAGAGCATGAGAAACTAGACTTTGTGAGGGATTGGATGCTGTATAGTGACGAGATGACCCGTTGAAGACGACACTGCCATAATTTCTTCCCATATTCAATGTCAGCAATATCAAATTTGGGTTACCCACGACCTAACAACACCCTTCCGCAGTTTTAATGTGCCAGATCTTCCTTAAAGCATTGGATAGTTAAGGTATTCTTAGCTCTTTTGAAACGAGAATGACTTTCAGACGGTGGTAAACAAAGTTTGTCTGAGCAGCAAATCACTTTGGAATCCCCTCTCACCAGGATTTGGTACACATGAAACTAATGGCCCGATGTTTTACGCCGTGTGAATTCTAATCTAACTTTCAAAAACACTACATACCTTCTGTTCCTCTGTGGTATCTAGCGAGATTTATTCTTTTCTATCAGGATTTTAACCTCTTCCTAGAAATTCTTGCAAATAGAGAAAAATTTTTTTAATTCAAAGATCACCTCTCCCTCACATCAGATGAGTGACCTCCCCACTGAACACGCCCTTAACGCAACTGAAACTTCTAGATCTTCAAATGAACCCAAAGAGTTAGACGGTGAGCCACTATTACCCGCTGACAGCGAATGACTCGGCATTTATTTTTGAGCATATCAAGAAGGAAATAACTATATTATATTTAAGCTAGGGAAACTTTTAACACTTATCATACATACTGATAATAAAAGATCACGAAATCGTCAATTTATTCGTCTTTAAACTTGCTGTAAGTTTGGCAATTTCGAGAAATGAGGTTGTTAAACTACAACAAGACAAAACGATTACGAATACAAAATTCACAGTTAATTTTTCTTCAAAATTTTTCTTTCAGTTCGAAGTTTCGTTCTACACTTGATTAAATATTTCCCCGCATGTGGATAAGAGAGTAGGCGTAGGATGTGCGCATTAGCTCTCGTGTCTTTGTTTACACAGGTTTTGTCGTAACTACATGTGTATTTCTTCCCTACGTCGCTATTGTTTGGTGTTTGATATTCGTACTCCATTTGAGCAGATTTATCGATGACACTGTTATCAGATAACATCTACCGATGACATGTGAGCCAAAGGACAGGTTTCGCACCTGTCCTGACCTTTCGTCACAGTAAATTCGTTTATTTGTTTCAATTTTTGTGTTTATTTCCAAAAATGTGCTCGCGCATGAGCAACGCTAAAGGCTTTTATCATGCAAGAGCCGTGCACTATCCAGTATTTGGCAATTATAATGAATCTAGTATTCAAGAAGGACTTTCATTAAATTTCAGCGTGGCCAACATCTGCGAAAGGCGAAGGCAAATGCTAACGCTTACAAAGGAAAAAGAATAATATTCTTTTACTATCAAGATGTCAACCTCTAACCTTGAAGGGGAATGCTATACACAAATATTATGACCTAACATATGTCTAAATGAGAAATGCGATCACTCGAAACACGCAAAATCTTCATGGCTGTGGACTGCGCCCAAATAAAAATTAGGATTGTATTGCTGCCGCAGTAAATATCTCCTTTGAAATTATGTGAATGAAATGAATTTACCATACGCAACGAACAGAAAGCATGATATTTTTTCACATACAGGGAAACAAACTTTTTGTTTTTCTAGTTAATCGGTATTGGATTCGTGTCAAACATCTTTTACATTTGTAAGTTAAAACACTCGAGTTTTAACGTAATTGCGGTCTGTATTTATAGCAACTCTTCAAATTGGCGTGGCATTAGTGTGACTTTCATCCATTTATCGAATTAAAAAGGACAGTTACACATAGGTCAACTGCAAAACTGACAAACGCTGTCTACAAAGCGGGATTTGCAAGAGTTAGGTAAATACAGAGCATGCTTTCACGCATTGATGTTTGAATTAATATTCTGCAGTAATGTATGATCGTGGCGAGCCAAGCCGTGCCCTTAAACTGTATCGTGGGAATTTGCTCGTTGTTGTGAAAGTTCCTCGTTGTTGTAAAAGCTGTTTAGATACACAGAATGTCCTTTCTGAGCAAATTTTATTTTTATGGTACAGTACAGACTAAAGTTAAACCCAAAGATGGAAAACTAACCAGCTAAACTAGAAATGAACAGTTTATTTGAATGTAAATCGTGGTGAGGACGGTTATCTTAACATTGTGTAAAAGAATATCATTTTGTCGTGGACTTTAACCACAACGTTTTCAATTCTTTTTATTATAACATTTCTACAATGTTCTCTGAAAAAACCTTATTCAGGCTGCAGTGATTACATTAGGAGCAGAGCCACCGTTGTGAAACAAAGAGAGGAAGGTCATGTGTTTTAGAGAAAGATAAATTTCTGCAAGATAATATTTCTAAAGGCAGAAATAATTTTAATCTAATCTGATGAGTTTTTTTGGTCGTGATTTAAAATTGTTAGAGAGAATTTGTTTAAAACCGTTTTGGTTGGTCGTCATAGATCTCTTTACTCCCGTATCGATCTTACACTTTTCATTCGGCAACGTAATATTACTTTTAAAATTTATTGAAAATTTTTCAAATAGAAATATATAAGATGATTTAAATCACAAATTACAACGGCTACACAAAAGATAAAGAAAAAATCACAATTAAAAAAAAGAGCAAAAGAACCGTAAATGCAAGACCTAAAAACGAAATGATAGCAAACTACACATTATAGTAAAAGTAAGTCAAACTCGCCCGTTGTTTTGGCTGAATCTCCACACACACACAGATCTACGGGCCTCATTTTCCGTCATTTAAATTGAGTAGAGACATGTACATTTCGTATTGCCAATCTTGTTTTCAATTTGCGACTTCGGTTCGGCAATAACTTATGGTTTTGAAGGCCAAATCTTCATCACAAAAGAAGGAACTTCGGGTCGAAGTTATTATTGCTTCTTTTTCCCTGGTGCGAAAACTATATCTTTCATTGTTTATTTCGAAGGATGATCTGAGCTAGTGGGACTATGTGCATGTATTTGATTTGCAAAGATCAGAAAATTCTACAAAGAGGAAAGTTGTAACACCGACTAAAATAATTAACTAATTGAATGCACTCTTCTTCTTCAATTGCTTTTCGTTATAACGGTATGGAATCTTTTAGCCTTTCCTACAAGTTCTTCAGTTTATGTCTTGATTGCTATTATCAATTTTGATGCGAAAAATCTTTCTTTAATTTTTTTTTTGTGACGAATGGTACTTTTAAAGAGATTGAAAGTTCATATTCTCTTGTTCTTTCTCAACGAAACTTTTTCATAATGGTCAATTGAAATCCTATTCATCAGCGAGAAATATTTGCAGCAGGTGAAAATAAAAAAAGAAACAGAAGAAAGTTCTTTCGCTACATGATTTAACTGCCAAAATTCTTTTTGGGTATTTCACAATCATACTAGATTTAGCATTTTGTCTAAATCCTTCGAGATTTCCGTTCTATCTTTGATTTGCACCAGAATGAGAACATTTCTGGAATATTCCTTAGAAAACGAAAAACGGACAAAATTCTTTACGCTGAAACCGTACATTGGGCAGAATATAAGATCATCGACTTTGTCTTGTAATATTCGAATAAAGATCATTGGGAAAAGAATTTAAAATGATAGGGATTTGACTAATCAAAAATAAATTATTGCGCAATTTTGTGACAAAACACGGGCAGATGTCTGGTGAGCAGGATAGGCATCGATACAGTGGATTTTGTTCGTCCACTAGGCAACGTTGCATCTATAGTTAGTTCTATTGAGATTCTCTTCACATCTTCTAGAAGAACATTGGGAGTAAATTTTTTTAACACCTTCGATGTTTAGAACTTTCTTTACACACACGTGCTGCAGAAGTCAACAAAAGCTAAAGGTTGCGTATGAAAACATTGTCTTGTTTCCATTGTTGTATCTTATTACTACTTAAAAGGGCACGCTCCTTGAATTGAACGTTCTGATTGCCCATTGTGTTAAGACTATTTTAAGAGGAAAGGCCAAATAGAACAAAGAAACATTATACACAAGCATTCTAAAATGCTTATGAACTCGGCCTAAAAATTTTAGTGCTAAAAACAAACGCAAACACTGATAGACAAGTCTTCACAAAAAGTAAGATTTCTTTGCGGTAAAGGTAAACTTAATCTTTGATCAAATATTACAAGTTTCCTTCTGTAGTTGTTTTGAGTAATATTTGTAATACTTAGTACTTCAAAATTTCGAGAAAGCTAAATTTTTTCATCTAAATGCTGTCGTTTCAGGAAGCAGAAGAAAAGAGTCGTATTCTTTCATTATGCTGGAGAAGAAACAAAGGCAGATTGCTCAAACTTTAAAATGGTAAGTTAAAATTTCGTTAAACAGAGGAATAAGTACATGTTACACGACATATTTAAGTCATGGGTATTAGCTGCGAAACGTGAAAGCATTAAAATGCTGACGGAGAAACCCAACAAAGAGGATACATTAAAAACGGTGGAAACCAGGTAAAGTGTTTGAGACTCTTTTCAGGGAATGGGTCAAAAAAAATTTTTACGCAATCAACCTCTAGTTCTTTAAATAACGGTTCGAAAGACATAAGCTACCGCTATACTGAAATGAAAGGAAATGTTCTAGGTATAATAGATGATATTAAAGAGTAATTGGAAATTGTTATTTGAAGCGCGATGCATGATAACATTGGCCTGATATGTTTGAAATTAATGATGCGAAGGAAAAAGGGTAAAAAGATGAAACGCCTGTGCTTTCCCTTTCTCAAACCATCCGAGTTATGATAAAAATTGTGAACATTTTGCATAGCGGAGTAAGAATATGAATGAAAAGCTCAAACCATATAAATTGAAATGACCATAGGTACCACAATGAGAAAATAATGGGAAAACTAATTAAATGAATAATCTCTCGTTCGTTCGCTGAAGTTGATTGGGGTATCCATCGTGTGTAAACGATTATCTCTTGATTAGGTCAGAAGTAATATAAATTAAAGTTTTAGCAAATATAACGATCTTAAAGACATCTCTAGATGCCTGTTCTTGTCTTTTTATGAAGCTTTGCCGTCTACTTATACACCACGCTATAAAGTTGTCTCTATAAAATTACAATAGGGAAAAGCAGACTTTGCCCTTTTGAGGATCTGTTTATCTATAAATATGCACAACATCTAATTATAAAAAAGCACAGAATATACTAATCAAGCTGTGTGACTTTCTGGGGTATTTTGTTGTTGTGGTTCTAAATATGCTCAAATTCATTAATAACTTGGCCAATGTAGACAAAGAACAGCCCTGCGTAGAGTTGACTTACAATTTCTGAATAGCTTTTGTGCCTTGATATCTTGAGTCGAAAAATAACTAATAAGGGTAATGAGAATCAGTCTAGACGCACTCATAAAATTCCCATCTATGATGACAGGAGGGTCTGAAGCGTTCGCTCGTTAATGCTTGTGGTTTATTGAAGCCTCTAGAATTTTCCAGTGTATTCAACACAGAGGAGCTTCTTTCAATTTATAAGCAAATCCTGTTGATATTTTGTAGGATTAAGCAACAATTTCTTCCTCGCGATCGCCGTGAAATTTTTGTTCATCTAAGAGGCGCCTAAGGCATTCAAAAGTTGAAAGTAGTGACCTCAGTAATAGGTCGAACTATTGTGTAAGTTGCTCCCTAGGTTTTATAGGCGCTACATTTCGATTTCAAGTTTTGGCACTTTGAAAACTTTCTGTAATTGAAAGAAACCATCTGAATAGCAGTTTGCTAAGGGAGACAACACTTTTAAGAAAAAAATAAAAGGGCTTGCGAGGGCGGAAAGATCCATGGATTACAAATCTTTAACTTGGAAGAATTAGGCTTGTCAACCGGAGAATTAATCCATGCAAGCGACTTTCATGAAAAGAATTTGCAGAGGAGAAGTCTGCAATCCAGGCTTTGAGGAAATCCGAACCGAAGCCTCCCAGACATAAGCTATGCACCACTAACAACTTCTTTTTTCCAATTTTTCTGATTGTGGTTTACCCGCGAGGACCATTTCATATGCAGGTCAAAACACGAGTTACTTCATTTTACTGTGGTCAGATTCCTTTCTGAAAAAGGACCTTATGGTCACCGGTTTATGGTGAAGGATGGGAGTATTTCAGTGTATCTGTTTTCCTCTACAGGCTTGGTGAAAATTATGAGCTAAAAGAAGGGATGTGTTTACCACGTTGTGTCATGTACACGCACTATCTGGATTTTTGTCGTAAGGGCAAACTGTGCCCCGCAGGACCAGCCACGTTTGGGAAGGTAAAACTGAGATTCCTTGTGAACGAAATTTAATGAGGAATTTGAAACGAGTCTTAAAGTGCAACGAGATTTTGTGATTTCATGAATTTTTTACCTCAGCTTATTGACAATTTTATACAGTAACATGGGGAAAAACTTTGTTTAGAAGCGTTCTCTATTTATTTTCATAATACTTACTGCATTATTGATCTTCGCAATGGGCAGGTTCTTACTCACCCAGCATCGTAAATATTCTAGCTCTACAATGGATCCTCTGAACTGAGTTAAATGGTAGAGCGTCAGAATGCAAGATCCTAGGAACTAAGGATCAAATTTGACTCGTGGATGACTTAACTGTCTTTCTTAATACTTTTACATCCTTCTGAATTTGAGACCCTAGCGCACCGCAAACTTACTACCATTTTAGGCTGATCGCACGTTTTTGTTCGTTGTACTAAATCAACGTTTTTAAATCTCTTTATAGATAATCCGTCAAAGATTTCCAAAGCTGACGACAAGAAGACTTGGAACACGTGGACAATCGAAGTAAGTTTGATCAATTAGTTAAAATTCACGTGAGTTGTACAGATTATTTTGGCAAGGCTGATAGGCAAGATCTACCTTTGTTGTTCCCTATATCCTGAAAGTTGAAAATGTCGAGCATCGTCCCTCTCTACGAGAAAGATACTAGGCAAAGTTTTAATGAATTACACCAAATACTTTGAAAATGTTTAAATTTTGTCAAAAATTGTTCGAAATAGGGTAGGATATATTAATTAGGAAAAAGATTAAACGAACGATCAAATCAAAAGGAGCTAGGGATGGCTTATAATGGAGTGGACTGATATGGATTGGAAGTTGCAAACTCGACAAATTAATTCATGTAAAAGCCGTTAGCTTGCTCCTACAAGTGGCTATAGTAAGCAGAAAATTGCTTAGAAATACTGTCTGCGCTTTAATGCCTGATTTTTATCAGTACTCGACATTTATCTTTAAGATAATCTTAATCTCAACAGATATCATTATTATGGCATCGTCGTAAGGGAAACTTCAGCTTACTTTCATGCTGGTTATTCTAAAAAGGGATTATCAAGGTGAGTTACGGTAATACCCTGCACCTATTAGGTTAAAGGAGGAGAAATTCATTAACCAACACTGAAAATTGACATTCTTCTTTTTGCAGATTTTCAGGGATGAAAGGAAAGGGAGATGTGGTAAGTTACCGCTGAGTTAAGTTTAGCCATAAGACACTGATCACTTTACTGTCATTTACGTTTTCTTTGGCAATCGTGTCTATCTATTTAACAGAAAGCCAAAGTGCAATTATGTTCTCAGTCAGGAGATTGAACTTATGTGAGGTAATAATAACGTCGCATAGTGTCATTCTGATGACCAAATGAGTCCAAGATTGAAGGAATTAAGATTACATTTTTTAGTTAATAGTTAATGGGTGATGTTTAGCAGTGAAGGTGATAGTGCAAAAAAAATTCCATTGAGTAAACCTAAGAATACCCTTGATACTTTTTCCACTATACCTTTAACGTAAAACTCTCTCTTCTATGTAGAACGCAAACCACAAGAAGTTTTCCCTAAGTGCAAAGTCTGGAACTCTTTTACCTGAATTCCCCAACGCGAAAACTGTCCAGTTACCAGATGGAGTCTCCATTCACAAGGTTAGATGCCAGTCACACAAACTATACTAAATTTTTTACTTCCACTCTCTTAAACAAATATTCGGAGTTACTTGTAGAGTATAATCCTTTAAAGCGATATTCTAACTTTACACTCAACTCACCAGGTGGAGACATTCATCATGATGTACCGAACGCATTGTCAGAGAATGCTCGACACTGTTGTTAGCGCCAACTTTGAGGGGGTAAGTTATCAAACATAGCACAACTTACTGAAAACAGCAGCACAAAGTTTATCAATAAATATTGCACCTGATATGTTTAAATGTTTTTTTTTTTCCCGAACCTTATTATCTTTCTTTTTGTTATTGAAGTGATAGTACCAACTTGGTCAGTGTTTCAAACGTAACACAATCGTTTTCGACGGAGTCTTGTTCTACCTTATACATCTCTGAAATTTTTTAGTGATGTATTTTCAATTATAATTCCTTTGTCATTCTACAGGTTCAGAATTTCATTACCCACTTCTGGCAAGGCATGCCAGACCATATAATTTCAGTGCTGGAGTGTCCTGTTGTGGTTGACATTGTGGCCATTTGCGACTCAATTTTATACAAGGTAAAGACGGTGGAAAGTTAAGCGTGTTTCTGTTGATTCAAAGGAAAGTTAAGTAATTAAACGAAGAACTTGGAGAGCATTATGGCTATTGAATATTCGGTTGAATGCTTTCACATCTGAATAATTGATTGACTTTTGATGGGTTTTAGGTCTTGACAGATGTACTTATTCCTTCAACCATTCAAGATCTTCCGGACAGGTATGTTACAAAACATAAATTAATAAATCCAAGATAATTGCAGCCATCATTGTTCTATTTTCTTGAAAATAATCAAGCCAATTTGATTTCAGTCTCAGAGAAGAAATAACTGACTTTGCCGACAACCTCCTTGACTGGCTTGAAAAATGTTTAACAGAGGTGCCACTTGCTCTAAAAGAAGCAAAGTTAGAAGGTAAGCATAATTTGTTATTTACCTATCAGTTGACTAGGAAACATACAAATTTAAGTAAACTAAGAGGGCACAACTCTTGCATGATTTCGGATATTGATATATCTGTACACAATTTGAATTCTTAGTTGCAAGGGTTTTTACTCAAGCATTAAAGAGACAAGTTGGTTTCGTTCACCTTGCACAGGTAGGTAAAAAATGATCTGTTAGATGAAATCTTGTCCGTAGACAGGAACGTAAAAAGTATGCATTTTATATGATATATCGACCCAAGATATTGCCAACCTATTCCCTGTGCTTTAGAAATCTTACAGGCCAAGTGACCTTAACAACTTGCAATGATTTTCCCTGATTTCTGTATCATAAAACGACTAGGAACATATCTACCCTTTTGCGGTGAATGTCAGTCCATCATAATAAAATTTACAGCCTTTTGACGGGTTTCCCTTTCCAGTTTTATAGTTTTTTTGTCTAGAAACACAACACAGCGATTCAGCAAGGGCTATAACATGAAACGCTATGCTGTGCCCATAGAGAAAACTAATTGGTTACCAGGTCTCCACCCTCACCGATTAAGCTGAGAAGTAAAGCATCCCATAACCATACGTTCGAATCTTAAATTTCGCGTACGATTTTTTTTTTTTTTTTACAATTGTAAATGGGCCGGGTACATTACTTCCTTTGACTGTGAATATATGAAAATCACATATTTGAACTGCGGATAAAGAAGTAAATATGAAAACGATCTTCGCAGTAATGAACACTACTTGAGCAGTAGTGAAAATAAGGCCTTACTTCTGCACCGGTATCGCAGAGGTCATGGGTTCAAATGCCATACAGGCCTGAATTTTTTTCAGGCCTTATTTTCACTGCTGCTCAAGTGGTGTTTATTACCGCGAAGATCGCTTTCATATTCATTACTTCCTTTGTAATTTTGCAATTTTTATCCTTCTGATTTAGTCAATTTTTAATTCCCTTGAGCGTAATTCTGTTAAATGAAATTCTTTTTCAATTACTTCTTGCAGGCGGCACGTTCAGCGTTGTTGAGTTATGAGGATGTCTCTCAGATGTTGGGTGACCTAAGGAAAATCGAATTTGATCAAATTCTTTCCAAAAGCTTCTTCATTATTGAAAACATGGAAGTATTTCACAAGACTAAGACATGTAAGTTTATTTTCTTTGTTTTCTTATTCTAATCTCCTCGTTTCAGTGACCGCAGCCGTTGAAAACAGCAATTTTTGTCTATGGCCCATGGGATCAGTTGTGTAGAGAGATTGTAAGGACGAGAGTCCTTAAGACTGCTGTTACCGATATTTGCTTGTGAGAGATAAAGTTATGTGAAACATTGTTTATCAGGGGAAGTTTCTGTTCTACTGCCTTCAAAAATGATACCTCACCTAAACAATCAATTATAATGGCAAACCTCAACATCACAGATTCAGATCGAACTAAGAGTTTAAAAATGTAGCTGTCTTCGCTTCAATTAAAACTGACGTAGTCTTTTTTGGCTCTTGATGGCGTTATAAGCTACAGGCTGACTCTGAGAAAATTGTATTAGCCTATTTAATCTTTCACATCACTGCAAAATTGCCCAGCATCTAAAAAATTGCATCTAATCTTGATTTTCTCCTTTTGTAATTGCCAGATGTCAGTGAGCTAGAAAATCTCCTCAGTAAGCAAGCACCACTGGAAGCTTATATAGAATGGCTGGACAGTGTGGTGGATCGATGTGTCCTCAAGGTATTCGTTTAAAATTTACATAATTTAATAATTTAAAACAAAGAGACGTAGAAATAACTTGAATTAGGTGACTTTGTCAGCTGTTTGGAGAGAGCAGAGAAAAAAATGAATATATGCCTTTTTCCAAAGCCATTTTCAGACTCAAGCTACCTGGTCTCCAAGGAGTGATATTAAATAAAAATCGTATGTTCCTTGGATATTCCTCCTGAGAACACGCGAATCGAAGCAGCATAGATTTTCCTCTCGAGCCATATTTAACTAGAAATTGTTAATCCTAGATCCGGTTTTCATAAATAAATATCGATCTACATATAGTTTAAGAGTAATACTCTTTGAAATGAGGTCTATACGAAGGCCCACTTTCTCACTTTTACTTCCTCTTAACTTTTGAAAATACGAACTCCCTGGCAATACTAGGCTTAGCCTGGCTTCATGGAGCAAGACTAAGGCTGGAATAAGAAATGCTAGGTTTAGCCCTCACAGATTAAGATTAAGGCTATGATAGAAAACACTAAGAATGCTACCAGTCCTGACTTTGCAGTTTAGGTGTAAATTCACGTTTCCTTATTACTTTTGTTTCTTTCTGAAGTTAAAAACCATTGTTTTTCTGTTGCAATAGCTAACTGTTTTCGTCTTACGGTCATCTGCAGGAATCAGAAAAGACTTCTATCGAAGACAGAGCAAGGAAGTTCCTAGCCATGTGGTCTTTTATTACCGCACGATTGTTAGCTGATTTGACGCTGAGAAGTGCTCCGAGTTTTGGTAAGATACTCGTATCGTCAGGTTGTTTCATTTTCAGCAGCAAAATTCCAATGTGTTTGTTTTGGACGCTCATTGCAACAAGGGCTTAGGAAAATTTTTAGTGTGCTTGTGGCTTTCGCCTGAGCTCATTGAGGATATCTGGACAATCTTAAAAAAAAGAAGCTTTTCAATTTTTATCGACCCTAAAAGCCGATAATAAATCGATAACGTAACTACACTTAAAATGTGACTTCTGTGACAAACATCGCTTACACGAAACTAATAATCATTTTAATCATTTTGAGACGATCAATGAATCTCGTCCAAGTTCTTTGTCACATTTTTCTTTTTTGTTGTTAACTGATGGTATAAGTTCATTTAGTTGGAATCACCACTGTATCCTGATCGATTCTTTTATTTAGTTTTATTCAGCTTGATGAAAGAAATGGCAAGTATCACAGAGCTGCAAATCTCGGATTTGAAATTTTGAGTTTAGTTGCTCTAAACATGTTGCTCTTTTTTCCCTCTTGATTAGGTGTGTTTCACTTGATCCACACTGCTTTTGATGAATATGTCTTCCTTGTGGTCGAAAACCAGATGATTGTGGAAATGGATAAGAAGTTGACACGTTCTCTTGAAACACATCTTAAGAAAGGTGAGTTCACTTTTGAGACGTCTCTCCATATATTTCTTCGTCATGGACACAAAGAATCTCTCAAACGCTGTGTTGTTTAAATCATAATAAAAGATAAACGTTTTCCCAAGCGTCGATACTCAACGATATTTACATTTCTAGTGATATACATGTTTACTTTTTTATTTTCAGAAAATTCAACATTGTTGCCATCTATCGAGTCAGAGCTTGACAAACCCAAAGAAAACATGCAGCCAGAGCAGCTACATGACATACCAAAAGAAGCACCTCGACCGAAACGGCAAAAGAACCCAACGTCGAGTTTCCTTCCAGCTGTTAAACTGAATGTTGCCAAACATCACTCCTCCCAGCAACAAAACAAAGAAAAAACGCGTCCTGAATTTTTTGCAGAAGGCAGTCACTTTATCCCAGCGAGCACGCCAAACGTGACCTTTCCCAGCGAAGAGATCTTTCAGACGGCGCCAATGAACAATCAACCACGTCAAATGCCGAATCCAACGCCGATGAATGTTTCTATTCCAACGCCATTTTCACCATTACAGGAATGTCGCTCCAGTTTTCAGCCGTTGCCTCTACCGGAGCACGAGCAACCTCGCCAAGCAACCCCAGAGGCTGCGTTCCAGGGCGATTTTATAAATGCAATCGACAAGGCATTTTTCTCCTCAAGGGTTACTCTTAACCCCGATGACTACATGGGATCGGCATGGGTGCAAAATGACGCTCAAAATCTCACTGTGTTAAACCCTGTCAGTCTTCAGGAACATAACCTTATCAACAACGGAGCCATTAACTTTGCAGGGAATGGAAATTTCCCTATCACTTACGAAAACAGCTTACCTCCTCTGAACGTGTATTCGAATTCACAAACAATGGCTCCAAGTCCGCGACCACAAGAAATTCCTTATATATCCCCAACCAAAGACGACTTCGGCTATGTGCCAAGCATTACAAACATGTATCCGAGATACAACACGCCAAATTATCTCTACGAACCTGTGAGGAATGCAATGCAACCCAACGGAAGTGATGTCATGAATTTCAACGGATTGCTCAATGCTGCAGCTAGTTCATTTGGAATGGATGGATTGACAGTCCATGATGTTCAGCTTAATCGACTAGGAATTGGAGCAGTTTAATTTGAACGATTAATTTTAAGTTATTTCATGCCCTATGAGTAATGCACATAAGGCAAAAAAAACTCCAATAAACTTGAATTTCTTCATAACTAGCCGTTAGACTTACATAGATAGAATATTGCCTCAGAGAGATATCATATCGTTAAAAAGAGAAGATTGAAAATTATTTATTAATGGCCTCAGGACCATTGTTGAATAAATGGGCTTTAATCAAAAAGATTTATGACAATTTAAGTATTTGTGCTTCCATATTTGGACTTTCAGATTTTCATCAGTGCTGTAATGGGTAAGTTTAATGTTACATTTTATGCAATATAGATGGAAGCTGGAAATGTGAGGCTAGCCAATGACTTGAAAATAAGAGTCCAGAGTGCATTTGTCAGCAGTTTGGATACAACTTTACCGTGGACTATTTTTCTAAATGAGGTATACATATCTCAGTTTTGTCTCATAAATTTTCTTATCGAAAATCTCTCGCTACGATTGTAAATAGATAGAACGATATTATTTCGCATTCAGCTATTGCCAAAGGTCGTCTATGAGAATGGTGAAGAATTCTGTATAATTTTGCAACTAACTTTGAACGTGGTAAATGTTAAAGCTAATTTTCGATATATATTTAGACAAAGAAACTAAGTTGGATTTAAGTAACTGTGAAACAATGAAAGGCAAGGCCAAAATTTCATATTAGTGTTGGGATTTAAATCATTTAAATATATCAAGAATGTTGATTCCGAAAATGTACACGGAAATTGTTAGATTAAAGTTTACAAATAATAAATTGTTAGATGAAAGTTTACAAATACGTTTCAAATATCTTCAGTCATCACCTCATTGAATTTGATATCAGAAAGGGGGTGCGGAATTCACGAAACTTCGGTGCATTTCCAAAATTTGAAATAATTTTTACATGTCGATATTCATCTCTCATGACGACTATGACCCTCCATGGGAAAACATCAAATTAGGTAAATGCATTAGCAGATAAAATAACATATTGATTTGACGATAAAAGAATTTTTTTAGATGAGGAAAGATGCCAGAATTCTCGGATATGAGATCAGCGGTTGCAGAGTTTTTGTTCAAGTTGGGAGCTTCCCAACCGATCACGCTCTTTAGTCATGATGTTTATACATTGTGCCTAGTAAATAAACTGCAGCTCGTTGTACCCGGTCGGGAGCCAAAAACTTGAATAAAGCATGGAATAAACTAAGAAAGCTCTGTGGTTTCGTAACTATTTACTATAAAGAGGCTGGAGTGACTCTATGACTATCGGGAAGCATATCCGACAAAGTAGAAAGCTGGTCGAGTGAGGGACTGAGTTCAAAGACAAAATAGCACGTGTAGCGCAAAGTTCTGCAGAGAGAGCAGGCACACTGGTGAGAGAAATGAATGAACACATTCTAAATGAGCAAAATTTCTTATTTACCTTGGCCACGATTTACAGCTCTTTTACCTGCGTACATGACATTAGTCCAGTATAAGACAAATGACTTGGGTTAACTGATTGAGTGGAAGTACTCTCTAAAACTAGTTGTTTACTTAAAGTCCTTTATAAACAGGCCAGAGAGTTGTCATAACTTAGTATTTATAACCCCAATTATTTGAAAATATATCGCAAAAATTTCAAAAAGTTCAAAAGTGTAGATTTTATAGAAATCTCTTCAAGAGCTCTTAGTTTTCCCTTTTAAGCGCATCTCTTACCTTCTCCAAATTTTTATAAAAATTCACGGGGGACAGGGCCGTGACTATCTGTATTTTTGAATACGTTAAGTTTGATGTGATGAATGCCCTGTTGTGTTTCGTCTTGATAAGTTTTTTATGAAGCAGAGTGCATAAGGCAAAGTGGTAAAGAAACTAAAAGCTATGTTTACTTTCCCAAATGCCGGAAATTTCTTACATGGTTTTCAATATAGGTACAGGAATAAATGAAGGAATAAGTGAAAGAATCAATGATTCTGCATCAGGCTGTATAAGCCATTAGAAAGCTTACGGCTCATTCCATTTTCTTCCACTAATCCATGGCTCCCTCTCCCATTACAAGCTAAAAATAATTTGGAGAAAGCATATGTTATCTCCAAAAAGACAAGTTTTAAGGCCTCCTGACCTTCATTTAAGATGTTGCGATTGTCTGAGAAAACATTTTGACGATTTAATGGTGGATGTAAATGTATTAGGTATCACAAAGTGCGTATAAGCACTTTGACATTGCTATGTACTTAAAATGTGGAATTATGATCATTAGATCGCTATAAGTCCTCCTCTTCTAGATTTCGCACTTATGGTGAAGATTAAAAAAAAAAAAGCACAAGAATCTCATTTTGTGGCGTTATTCCTTCCTGTCAACCAATACGTTCGTGTCTTTCCTTTCCCCTGTTGAACAGATACAAATATCACTCAGGGATTTTGATAACATTGTCGATAGGCAAATGCCGATTGTGTAATAGGCAGCTGCGCCCGGAATATGGTCGAAACCCAAACATGTAAAGGGACTTAAATGGAACCCGTTATGTTAATATGTCTGCATGATAGATTTGGTTCTAGAGAACACTTAAAATGTTTCTCCTCCCCGCCAACCAAAAACAGAAAACGAACAAAGAGGACGACGAAGAACATTGATATCAAGTCTATAAATTTCCTAAGAGAGTTGTAAAAAATCGCTTCGCTGTTTTAGTATTTTACCATTCCTGTTAGCTATTAACAATATTCATCGCAATCTGAAATGAAGACTTATCACTGCTGCACCTTTAGCTCAACCACTCCTCGAAATTCAATGCGAAAGTCTGTGTTTTCCAAACACTTTCTGGTGGCTTCGCTGATGTGTGCTCTCATTGGCTAAAAGGGGAATAAGCAAATGCATAAAATGTTTGGATGTGGCTACTATTGAAGGTGTTGGCCTTCAAAATCATAAATCTTGGCGAATGATATAGTCTGGAATAAAGAGAATCTACATTCTATACAGGGAGGGGAGGGGCGGGGTTATTTAAGATTTACTGATGCCAGTAAGTAAATACTCCAAAGTTTAACTCTCAATGATAGACATGTGTGAGTTTTTTATATTTTTAGCCCGCACCAGATGCTCTCCCATTTGCTTACCAGAGCAGTGGTTCTTAGCCTCGAGGCTATGTTAACTGTGTCACCAAATAAGCAATACTGAGGTGTCTTCTCACCCACTAGACCAGCCGCTACAGGGCCTGAATGCATACCTGTTACGTAACATAAACAAGACTTGTCACCCAACTAAAAGATCTATAAATTACAAGCTAAATTAATGGAACTACTAGTTTCTATATGCAAAACGAATGAATTGATAAGTATATAAAACAATACGTTTATTATACTTGTCCAACGGGACTTATAAACACTACCTCCCCACCCCCCCAAAAAAAAATATTACGAGGAAATGGAAACAAAGTACCCTGATTGCTAAAGATTGCCTTGATACAGTCTCCAGAATGATGTTTGTTTTGAACAGGATATATCAAGCCCTTGAACAAATATCCGGACATCTATTGTTATTCCTCTCTCGCCTTTTTGATTAATTTATAACGAATCTAAGATTTATACGTTAACACCATGATTATTCGCTCTCGGTGTCCACGCGTAAAGGTTGATTCGGGCCTTCTGAAACTATTTCACGATAGGGATCCTGAGCTCGTAATCAACATAACCTCGTTGTTCTTCAAGGTACGTTATAGCTAACGCTTCTCTCTGAAGTTGGAAAAAGTTATAGGAATTCTATGGCATTTGTGTGTTAACAAGTAAAGTTAGCAAGTGGTTAAAATAGGTAAAATCTACAGAGCTCACCAATAGTTATTGTTATTGGCTTCTGACTGGCAGGGTTCACGATTTCCTTGACAGCTTCCAGCATGTCAAGTGCCATGGCTGATATTGGCTCGGCGTGGAGCGCCTTCTTCACTGGAGCACCGCTGACCGTCATGTAAAGGGCATCTCCTAACGTTTCAAACTAAAGGACGGAAACGCTGCAAGCTTATTTTTGCCACCGGCATATGTCACAACCAAACAACTTGCTTGAGGAGTCTGGCCTAATTTAGAGATATTTTCCTAATTGCATTTTAAGGAACGATATTTTTCATACGATGCAGCAAAGTTATGGAAAAAGTTAAGCTTCAAAAAACGTATTCCAGAAGTAAGTCCATTAATTCCAGATAAGAATGCCTTCAAGGCCCAGTTTTTTACCATCTTCCCGTGACAGCTTGGCAGTACATCTTGTATTTGAATTGTTTACGCGAACGAATCTAGCTAAGCTGGCACTACTTGAAAACGAATTAAACTCTTCACCTTATAAACATCGTGCTTTTCAGTCAACTTGTCAAAAGATGTGAACATGTTATTTACAAGGTTGACAACCTCCATGGCATCCACTTGAGAACAGATGGCGACAAAGCCGTCCAAGTAACTGAACATGACGGTGACGTTTTCAAAATACTGTAAGAGGAATTGTAGACTAAAATAGTTGAATACACAATAAGAAGGAAATAAATGTCCAAATTCCCATTTCTCTCTTGAAAGTTTCTTTTTCTCTTTTTCCACCTAGGAATAAAAGCTTTGCTGAAACATGTAGCTTCGCTGGCAACATGTCACCATTATCAAGAGTAAAATTTTTTAACACATGAAGGAGTTGAAGCAAAATGAACAGTTGCACTGATGTAATTTAAAAAGTTACATCTTTACTTACAGTATATCGTTCTTAGCCGCTCATTCCTTGCATTTGACAATAGAAACATGTCACCAAAACCTCATGTTTACGCATCGCTTATTTTTATAATCATCGCGTAAGTGTTTAGAAGCATCTTTCGATAAGCCTCTTTCTGAGGAGTTAAGACATGTCCTTGAAAAACATCTTAATCTTTTTTTTTTTTTCGGAAAATTGATGGAAGATAAACGTTACGATTAGTCTAACCTCACATGTTTCGACAGCTTTGCCCCCCAGCCTCAGTCTGTCAGCGATGGCTTTGGGCATCATTCTATATAGCAACTCTTCACTCCGCTTTCTCTCTTGCGCCAATTTCTCCATGTTTTCTTCGAGGGCCTTTCCTTTATCAAATTCCTAATTAAGCGAATAAAAAAGGGCATTATTCATTTGAGGCATTTTAAAAGCTTAATCTGCACAAAGAAAGCTTGAAAAGTTCACTTAGCAAGCTTGAATCCTGGACTCACATGGTCTCTTGCCATCTCAAGCTGAGGCAGTGGTTTAATCCCAGATAGTACCATCTCACGAGACGTATCATGCAGTCCAAGGTCGTTCATATACAGACCTATGCGCATCATCTCTTCGACACCCCCAATTCTGCATGTAGAGAAAAAGATTATGGGAAAAAATTGCATTTCAGGAGCGTTAATTGGCCGACGTAAAGATTTTCAAAGCTGACGTTTGAGCGCTGCCAATCGTTATTCGCTCTGACTAAGGGATAACGCTCTAAACGTCAGCTTTGAAACTCTTTACTGCGGCCAATTTACATCATCACCTTCGTTAATAATACTTAATTTGGCGTTTCTAAAATATCTTTAAATTCTGACAAGTCTTATCAGAAACTTAAAGATAAAAAAAAAAGAAAAAGAACCTTAAAAACTTACAAGGGTGAACAGATGTAAATAATCTTATTCCATGATGGCATGAACTTCATCATGCCCCTGAGGTGAAGCTTTGGTTGTTTGGACATCATGGAATCGTACTGTTGCTCATTTTCAGTTGAGACAAAAAGTGGACACTCCATACTGCTGTTTTGAAGTTTAAAAGACGATTGTTGCAGCGTGAAATTTGCTCTTGTCGGACGTCGTAGCGTCGGAAGCGAGCAGACCAACTCGAACATCACGTGCCTTGTCATAAACTAAACCAAACAAGTGAAGAATAAAAACAAATCATTCACGATTTTAAAACAAGAAGACTAACAAGCGTGGAGCTTGAATGGGGAGAAGCCAACATGTGGCCGAAATGAGTCACCTTACCGTGTCCCATGTAAAGTCTGCTTTAGGTCTCCTCATTGTGAACGATTCCCTCACGTCGTTGCCTATAATACGATTTCCCACAGTAGAAATGATACCATGTCCTGCCATGTGCACTGTCATATCTCGCGCAATCGCAAAACTAAATGGAAATATATTGAAAAATACTTCAATGCTGACACTGCGTTTGCTGTGAACCGATAAAGGGTCTGAGGCGGGAGGTTTATAGCCAGCGTTTTCGAATCCGAGGCGGTATACCACGTGAGTGGTCGTGTTGGTGACTTCGTTGTTCAGAATTTTGACGTCAACGTCCAAGTTGTAGAACGAGGAAGCAATTTCTTTGACCTGTCCAATGACGTAGTGCATGAAGCCCTTCCGCTTCGAGATGTAATGCAGCGTTAGGCCTGCACTCGTTTCTTCCTCGCAGAAGAAGCTTGGCGACAGCATCTTTTGGTAACCAAACCGCATGTGCTCGTGTAAGTTGTCAATGCCGATTAAAAAATCCCGCAAATGCCGACCGCTTACACGAATTATACGATCGTAGCCGTAGTGACTGAAGAACTTCACAAAACAGCTGCCAAAAAACTGCATAAAATCGTCGCTCGTCATGCCCGTTTCTTCTCCAAGAACTTCCTCACTGGCGTCGGCGATCTTCTGCATCATACTCTCACTGTAGCGTTTGTGAGTTATAAACATATGATCATTTATGCCTGCGCGTTCTCTGATCTTGTCCCATTTTTCTTCACCATATTTTTCGATCAGATAGTACATGACACTCTCCAGAAGCATCCCATACATCTTATATCTACAAGCTTTCTTAAGTCAGCTTCACCAAATTGCTTGAAATAAAGGTCAAGTCGACAATAGGCCTAGATTTATAACAAAAACAAATGTTACCATGGTAGTGCTGTCTTTATAGGAAATAGTTTGATTTTTTCGGCGCCTGTAAGCGTGTCTTTAATTACTTTCCTGATCCGGGCCAACATCAATATTTAATTCTGATGCCTTTACCGTAGATGCCTCTTTCGACCGGCCCAGAAGCATAGGTAAGTACTATGCGAAATGTGGGGAAAACCAGAGGCGGAAAAGCTGGTGGTGTTACCTTTTTTTTCTGTTACTTATTGAATAATAATCTCCTCCCCAAGTTTTAGAAAAAATCATTTCCTAAGTAACAGTTTGACATCATCCAAGTTACTAATTATACAGTTGACTGGGATCTCAAAGAAACTTTCGGTTAATAATTAATTAATGTGTGTTCCATTTCACTTTACAAAATTTACTGAATAAAAATAACCAACGTTCGAGTTAATTGGTCGCGTCGACATATACCAAAAATTAGCGAAATAAATGTTTGAAAAGAAAGTCAAGCAAACGTTCAAATAAGCTGTGAAACTTCCTGTTTTGAAACTTGAAAGTCATAAAGCCCTGATCGTTCTAGCCTATGCTCAACATTTCCAATGAAATTTCATCTACACTTAAATTTCATCAATTATTTAAGGCAGTGCACTTTTGTGGGATTGGATCAAGTTTAATATAAGGTCAAACTCCATCATATTCTCCAAACAAATAGCTTCCATTCGACGGAAACAAGAAGAGGAATTAAATAAACGCTATCAGGAGGCAGTCCTAATGTTTCACACAAATCCTTGTAACAATACGCGTCTCGCACTAGAAAAATCTAAGCAGGATCTTGAAGCACTGTACGAGGACAAAGTAGAAGGGATTATACTACGCGCAAGAGCTCGATGGCACGAACACGGTGAAAAGAATAACAAATATTTTTTAAATCTCGAGGAACGCAACCATGTTAAAAAGCATGTAAGAAAGCTGCACATTAGCGGTGTAATTTCTACTGACCCCTTTATGATTATGGATTCACAACGCAAATTTTATAAGAACTTATATCGTAGCAGAAATGTTAATCTAGATAATGCAGAATCATCGATTTTTTTCGATAGTCCAAATTTACCCAGTATTTCACATGATTCAAGAATAATATGTGAGGGTAGAATAACTGCGGAAGAATGCCAGAACGTCCTCAAAACTTTTCCAACTGCAAAAACGCCAGGCAACGACGGGTTACCCATTGAATTTTATAACACCTTCTGGCCATTACTTAGTGATACTTTGATTAATTCATTTAATGAAGCTTTTATGAAGAAGGAAATGTCCCCATCTCAGAGACAGGCAGTGATTACTCTTATTGAGAAACAGGACAAGGATAGGACTTACTTAGAAAATTGGAGGCCAAAATCCTTGACTAACGTCGACGCCAAAATTGCGTCCAAAGTTATAGCGACCCGTATTGTCAAAGTTTTACCCGAAATCATTCATAGCAATCAAACTGGGTACGTTTCAGGTCGCTACATAGGGGAAGCCGCAAGATCAATTCTAGATATAATGGATTACACGAAAACTTATGAAATCCCTGGATTGCTACTTTTTATAGATTTTGAGAAAGCTTTTGATAGTCTGGAGTGGAATTTTATGTTCAAATGCTTAGAAGTCTTTGGATTTGGATCCAGTCTTACAAGATGGATAGAAACCTTTTACAGTAACATAACAAGTTGTATTATCAACAATGGAACGCTCTCAGCTAGCTTTGAAATAAATCGAGGTGTAAGGCAGGGAGACCCCTTTCTCCTTACTTGTTTATCATTGCTATGGAACTACTAGCAGTCGCTATTCGCTCATGTTCAGAAATAGATGGAATCAAAATAGATGAAAAAAGAATTCAAAATGGTACAGTATGCAGATGATTTAACAGCTTTTGTGTCGGATATCAGATCTGCTCAATACCTTTTTAAGTTACTTGATCAATTCCAAAAATGTTCTGGCCTAAAGGTGAATTATACAAAAACCGAAGCAATGTGGATTGGCTCTTCCCGTAATAACATCGAAACACCTCTAGCATTGAAATGGCGTAAAACTGTAAAAAGCTTTAGGGGTTCACTTTAGTTACAATAACGAAGAATCAGTGCAAAAGAATTTCTACGATAAGCTCAAAGGAATTAAATCTCAGATACGCTTGTGGAGTTGGAGAGGCCTCTCTCTGTTTGGTAAAGTTACAATTATTAAGAGTTTACTACTTCCTAAAGTTTTATACATCTCGTCAATTCTTCCTTCTCCTTTGGAGTTCATAAAGGCCCTTCAATCAATTATATATAATTTTCTTTGGAAGGGTCCTGATAAAATCGCCAGGACAGCAGTAATAAATGATGTTGAATTTGGTGGCCTAAAGGTAACTGATTTTACAACGTCAATTATGTCACTCCGACTTTCATGGATTGGAAGATTTCTAAGCGATAATTTTTATCTAGTGCGGAAACAATTGATCACTTATTCTTTTACTGTGTTTACTCACATGCATTTTGGGAAGAATTTGAATCTTATTGGATCGCTATAGCCAAAGAACAAAGGAAACTTGAGTTAAAGACTATTTTAATTGGTGTCACAGATACTAATTGTTCTTTATTTAATTACTTAATCGTTTTAGGTAAGCTACATTTATGGAATTGCCGTAGGAATAATAGTCTTCCTTTTTTCCCTTCGTATAAGGAACTAGTTAAAAGAAAATATGAAACTGAATGTCACATTGCGGCTAAGTTTAATGATAGGAAGATGCTAGAGGCTAAATGGAAACCCATTTTGAATTATAATTTAATAGATACATAGGTGTGTTAGCGAAAAAAAAACTGTAAAAAGTAGGGTAAGAATCGCAGTCTAAGGAAGTATTATATAGTAAGTAGAATAAGTAACGTCTTGTAGGTGGTATTGTAAGTAGTGTTCGTCTTGTTTTGTAAAGCAGTGTTCTTCGTGTTGCAATTAAAAAAAAAAAAAAAAAAAAAAAAAAAAAAAAGGCAGTGCATTGATATTAGCAATCTTCTTAGCCAGTAATAGACAAATAGTCTATAAACCGAAACAGTACACTACAACAAAACCGAACCGTTCTTCTTGGAAATTTCAGGCGGAAAGGTGTTAACGGCAATTGCGAAGTCAGCATAAGGGACAGAAGAGCATAATTAACAGAGCTTTTCATGTTTTGGTCGTAAGAACCTATTGACAGTATTGTGGATCATGTTTACTTGATGTTAACAGAAAAAAAGGTAACTCCACCAGCATAGCCGCTTCTGGTTTTCCCCACATTTCGCTCGGTGCTTATCTATGCTTCTGGGCCGGTCGAAAGAGGCATCTAAGGAAAAGTAACTCGCCGAAATAAACTATTACCAATCGTTTAAGAGTCCACGCCGTGCGCCCGCAAACTGATTCCACCTAACGTCCATTTGTCTTTGATGCAAAGGAGCCTAATGATGTTGAGGTGGATAACGGGAACCCATGTTTTTACATTCAGCTATTTCCTCTTCCACGTGAGGAAGAATTGACTCAAATAAAACACCTTTAATTTCGATATTGCCTCGCAAATAGTTTTTAAGGGAAAAAGATATGAAATTGTAAAATATTTACCAGGCACATAACGAGAAAAAATTGACTCGTATGTGCTTGATTTACACTATGTACATATGACTGAAAGATCTTGAGAACCACATTTGACTCTAAAAACTACAAACTACAGTTGAAAACATTTCCCTCGGGCAAAAGACTTGATCATGGCTATGAACTTTCACAATTTAAAATCGTGTTTGTTACAGATAGGAATAAAGCATTTGGGTTATTATGAAAGCATTTATACGACCAGTAATGATAGCATAAGACGTAAAAATGAAAAATTCCTCAATCAGTTTGTAAGTGGTTAACAATATCTTCTTCGAAAGGCAAAGGCTCATTATTGGTTGTCAATCAAGTTTCAATCAAGTCGAAAGAATGGGCTGTCCGTTATCCAGGATCGACCATTTCAATACTATTCGTAAAACATAATGCCATATGACAGAAATGGAAATTACGACACAGAGGTTATATGTTACACTGTCAAGATACACAGTTACTGGCCGGGTATCACTAATGTCAAAAATTTTTCAAGAGTATGATGAATGAGTTCTCACAACCATTTCCGATGATTTTTTCCCTCGTTTTCTTATCGACGATTTGCCTTTCCGTTGTTGCAGAACGCAGTACCATTATCATTCAGATTAAGTTAAAATTGTACAAAATATAGATGAATAAATAAAATAAAAAAAGAATAAAATGACTTCCGAAACGATAATTTCATCTCAGGTGATACACCGTGGCATGTTGAGTTAAACAACGGATTCAGAATGCGAAATTTTATTCCGCCCGCTTGGCAAAGTCCGAACATGAATCTATTGAGTCTGCAGGATTTTATCGGCTTCCAGTTAAATTTATTCTTATTGAATATAAATAATAGGGAACATATCTGAAATAGTCTTTATGAGAACCCTTCCTCACCACGAGTAATAACAACATACGCAAACATACTTCATCTACATCGTTAAAAAATCGAGTTGATGTCGGAGCGAAAAAAAAATATATATGATTCAGTACAAACATATAAATCTATCGGCGATGATTTTATGAGACAATAAATTATTTTTATAAAATCAACATTTTGTGTAGTAGTTAGTTAGTGGTTGAGAAAAAAAGTATCGGTGCATGCTTTGACCTTAGAATTTGTCATTTGGTTAATTTAGCGGAATAAATATTGAAATATATCAAAGAAATTTCTTTAATCAGTACAAACTCCCGTTATTTTGAAAAAAAAGAAAAAGAAAACGGATTACTTTAGGAGAGAATCTTCGTGGAACTAGGCACGTTCTCTGATGTGTAATTTATATTCGGGTTAAGTAAAAAGTCTTCCCATCTCATTTAGCTCTATGAGGAGT